GTATTCTTATATTTTATATAGATATGACTATTTACTAATCTAAAAATTATTCTGGTTTATCGCGATCTTTTAAACATCGAAACATTTTTAATTATTGCAGTTTAAAGAAGAAGTTGGTGATAAAACAAAATACACTACTAGGTAACACAGATTACATATCAATATATTATATAGGTAAAGGTAAAAAAGTACCTGTTCAAAAGTTCCAGGGACTCCATATTATTTTTTAGACAATATTGTTTTTATAGAAAATAATATATTATTGTCTCTCGGTGTCCAGACATATTATTATTGCTGTCTATCAATGTATACTTTTCCCCGTTATCCTTACTATGAAGCAATTGTTCGTTTGCTTTTCGCGTAAAATCAAATAGGTAGGAGTATTTTAAAGAAAATATTAATAATTGAAAAACGTCCATAGACATTCTTTGACATTTCAAATATCTAAGGGACACGATAATGATTAATGGTTTATTTGTTTCAATCTGCAAATTACCAGTATTTATTTTTTTTCATTTTGTACAGGCGGTACATTAAATCATACCTACATAAAAAGCATTTATAATTAAGAAAAGCAATTGATTTAAAAATTCATTATAAAGTATTTAATTTAACTTAGTGCTAAAAAAAACTAGGTAGGTATTACTTATGTGCTACTATAAATTAAATATATTATTATATTATAGATACGCCAACAGTATGGGCGAGGTGAATAAATTGAATATTTATATTGATTTATAGGACTATAGATGGACCCCACCCCCTTTTCCGTCGCTTTTACATTTTATTTTTATTTTTTCCTAATTTAAATAGGAATAAAACAAGTACGTTTACAGGCTAGGGGTATTTGAAAACTGAAATCCGGCCAGTGCGTGGTAAGATATAATCTTACTATGTTAGCGTTGAATTGTGATGTGGAAAATATCGCTATGGGTTCTTACCAATCCCTCAGTACATTTATAATATCGTAAATATATGAACATTGACATTAATATTGTATTTCACATTTATGCCTACCTATTTAAATAATATTCAATATTTCAACTAATAATTACTACAAGCATTACCTATTTCTATTAATTTTATTAATATTAAGTTATACGTAATATGGATTAAATATGTTAATGGTTCATTAATTTAATTTGTATTATCTTTTGAGTATAAACAACAAAAAGAGGTGATACTACTGGAGAGTATACCTTTATAGGTGGGAAGTTGGAAAGGTAGGATACATGTTAGCGCCTGTATAGAGAACAATATTGGGGTATTTAGCAACTAATATTTTTAATAAATTTAAATGTAAACCTTCATTTAGCAAACATGTTGAGAATTGTTTTATTTTACCCCCTGAAATTTTAAATATCATCTATGGAGACGTCCATGAGAATATATAGTTATTTAATTTATATCTATATCCGAAAAAAAAAACCTTTGAAAATGAAAAACGTTTGAGAGCAAAGTTCGGTTAAGTATTTTTTGAAATTTTAACTTAAACAATTGCAAAAAAAAGAGCTGATACTAAGGACGGGTGCGGTAACCAGGTTGGCATTGTTATAGGTGGGTAGTTAAAAAGGTGGAATACATAAATTTATTAAATTTATACCTACCTGTAATCAACGATAAACCATTACTAATAAAAAACGATTTAGAGGTAATGTTGGTTATACGAGTACATATTTTGAAAGGCAGTAATATATACAATGTTCGTCAAAATTTGATTTAAAATAATTAATTCTTAAAAAAAAAAAATACAACATTATACACTTACTTTTCTTTTTGACCACTAAATACGACTTATAATGAACCTCCGATCACATTTTTAAACATTTCTACTTAGTCTAATAATTTTATCCACAGAGTGTCTACCAAATAAAAATTACGTAAAATTAGTTATTAATTATTGTTGCTAATAAATATAGGAATTTCCCACTGATAATTATTATTTCACCATCATTCGTGGGTTCATATTTTCGTCATTGATCATTGTCGAATTTTGACGATTAGGGTACTTATCTACCAAATTAATATAATAATAATTTACCTGCTTAGGAACAGTAAACAAATAGTTTAACACAAAACCAATATTTTTTTTTTTTTTTTTATAAATTGATATAGGTATGGTATAAGTAGGTCGGCAACTTTCAATATTATTCTAGTAAAAAATGTTTACGAAAATGTTCAGATAAACATTTTTCATTTGGCCAACAGTTCGATCACTGCGTAGAACTGTCATTTTTATTTAATTTCAAATCCTCTGCAGTGTCTCCTACACTTATCAGGAAAAACAGTCGAATAAACAATCGACTGAATCATTATGCCAGATGAATATTTGTCGACAGGTATAAAAATGAATATAACCTACGATTTTTAATAATTTTGATATTGAATTATTTTGTATTTATGTTAGATACCTACCAACCTACTCATATATTGTGATTATTGTGAATTTAAAATAAAAATCGACTAACTTCCTACAGGAAATACCACTTTTATCGACAATTCACCAACAGGTACCACTGCGTACATTTCACAAACAAACATTCCCGCCTTGAGCTCCTATCTAAAAATTTAAAGCAACTTTTATTTTGAAAAAGGACATCCTAAGATAAATGGGGACGAATCAGTGGCAGATATCGGAGGGGGGTTATTGAGATTTTTGTCACTACTATGTATAATTAACCTTCTTCTTATTTTTTTTTTATCAATGTGTTAACTTTTTATTTAAGTTATAATCAAGAAATAAATTGTTTTGAAAATAAACGGTTTTTGAATAGGTGCCTAGGTACCTATTATAAAAGAAATTGTTCTGTATAAATGTATTTGATATTCATTTAAATAAGTACCTATTTATTTGATTGCAAAATTGTATTAAAGATAATTTATTTAAAACATTTGCAAATATTTATTAAGCAAATTCACTTTCCTGGGTTGAATACCTCCAAAAAAATTTAATAAGTAAATTCTTTCTTTTAATATTTACAAATATCTAACAATTACTTTTTCAAAAAAACATATTATCTCATAATCAACAAATATAAGCAATCTCTGATCTTATGGGGAAAAGTGTGTGGAAGTTAATGTGTTTATAGATCATGCAGGTAATTGCTATTGTTTTTTTAATATTTTTTTTGTTTTTTCATTTCTATGTGATATTTTAGTTATTTAATTATTTTGTATTTTGTTATTATTACACTAATATTTTGAATTTACATTCATAACTTTCTTAATAAAAATTCAAAATTTGTCTTCACCAAATCAGTGTTAGGTTATCCACCTCCAACTTGCACCACATCACATATATATAATTAGTTTCTTTGTTGTGCTTAGAAGTGTTAATTTCAGTCCCCCTTCAGTATTTTTCAGACTCATCCCAAAAATGTAATAGTTTTAATTAAAAACAAATAAATCACATTAGATAAAGTTTAAATATCAATACAAAAAAATCTAGACAATTTTAATTGTTTATTATTGATTGAAAAAAAAAAAAAATTTAATTCAAAATTAATAACATTATATTTATTCAAACTAAATAAAGGCAAATTTGAAAAAAAAAATGTAGTAATCTTGAATTTTAGTACCTAACATAAATAATCTTATTTATTGATATACTTTAAAGCAGATACTCTATTTTTATTTTTTTTTATCTTATTAATCTTATTTATCTTTGTCAATATTCTTAACACAATACTTTAAAAGCCATGCAATTTTGATAAAACTAAATGTTCATAATAAATAGTGAATATGAATTTTGGACATGCTTTGCACCATGGATAGGTCATTGTTTTAAGTGGTGAGTTTAGAAGATATTGTGCATAAGTACAGTGTAATTTAGTTTATATAGATACTGAAATAAATTGCATTGCAATGAAAACACAACTCTGAATAAAATTTCAGATCATTATGGTAAACTGATAAGTTTGTTATTTCCCCTTATAGCTAAGATAGGTAACTCAGAAATCAACAAAAATAAAAACAATGTATAGTAATTTGTTGTCAATTTTTTAAAATTTGTTTAAAAGTATTCAAAAACTATAAGAACTCTAGACAAATAGTTCAAGTAAAATACCACTGAGTAGATGTTCTACATCTTAATGAATGAACAAATTATAAAAATTTTACTTACCGAAAAATAGATAGGTACTTTAACAATTGTTGAAAAAATTATTAATAATTTTGAAATCATTTTCTAATCAATTATCACCAGGTGAAATCAGCATCTATAAGATAAGTATAAAAAAATCATAAATTGTAACATTTTAAAAAAAAAACAAAATAAGTACAATATTCAGGTTTTTTAAATTTGTCCCAAGTTTGTAAAACTTGATTATTTTTTTATCTTTTGATGATAACTTTTATAATCTGCTAATCTAATGTCCGATATTTTAAGGGGAAGTGATACATTCATTTTTACTGACAAATATGAAATTTTAACCAATATTCCAAGCATAATTGTGTGGTATTGGAATTCAAAGTCTGAAATCAAAATTGGTATTGATTATTTCAAATTTTAAAAACAGATTTGAATTTCTCTTTAATTTTTCTCGGTTTAGACTATGATGATTTTTGATACTCAATTTTATTTTACAAAAAATATTGATTATTTAAACAAAAAAAAAAAAACTATAAATTTCACAATTATTTCTGTTACTTCCATACTTTTCATTTTTTGAAAACTTTGAGACGTCTCGGTTCGGTCGGCCTTGTTTGAGGACCGACCCGAGCACCCAGTTAACTAACCGCCTAGTGAGAAGGTCGCCAACCTAGGACCGAGGTCCGAAGGCCGGAGTCTTAGGATTTTGTGAGGAGGGGAGAAAAAGAAGAAAAGAGAATCTAAATAAGTTGTTTACACGTGGTTTTCTCGGGGGAAAGTATATAAATATTTATTTAATTTACCAATCAGAAGTAAAATTTAAGTTATATAACAGAAAAGCCCGGAGCATAAAAACTGTTAATTAAGAAAGAATGGATAATAGGTACGACTTATAACATTGATATATATAGGCTTATAAACTAATATTTACAGACAATTTATATTTTAAATATATGTACATTGATTGGGGCGTCGACCAGTCGTAAGCGTTGTCCGGACATAGATAGTGGCATCACGGGGAATGTGCAGGCCGGGACTTATTATGCGTATGGGTAAGGATGAATTCACATCCACGTGCGTGTGTTGATCGATACGGATATTGACAGAGACGGACCCCCACGTGGAACGTTCGTGGGCACCTTGTATATTGGGGAGACCCCGGTAGGACTATCCGGTTGCCAGGTAGCACAGATTACCACCGGGAAAGGTAGCGGAAACGTTTTTTGTTCCATCATGACTGGCCTGTAGTTTCGGTGGCCCTACGGGTGAACCTGCGAGGTGCGTCCGTATCTGGATCGCGAAATGGGGAAAATCGATCTATGTATATATCTTCCCTTTTTAGACGCTCACACACGCGGATGCGAAACCTAGCACTTAGAGGAAATAGAAAATAAGAGAAAACAACAAAATACGGGAGGGTTTTGGCCTATCGTACTTAGGACGTGGAACGCGGCGATTAGCATAGCGAGGCGGACACACAAATCTAGCTGGTTGATTCCCATAAGTGTATCGGAAGGATTTACCATACGAAAAAAAACATTTTATATAAATAGATTCATACGGAGAAACCTTAATTAAATTACCATAAAAAACTAATAAACTAAGTAACGGGGTATCGGCCAATTACTAAATCATATAAATATTACCATCGTTCTCCCGAAGATGTCCGCCCGGCGGACCGAATCGGTACTCACTTCATTGAATCATTCGAGGCACCATCATGAATCGTGCCAAAGTACACGACCTTTTCTTGGCGGCAAAAATTGTTAAATCCGTGTAATACGCGGGAGTATTTTATTAAGAGAACTGTATCTAGAAACCGTCCGGTGACAGAAATCTAGAGACGAGGTATACACACGAAGAACGAAAAGAACGAACAGAACAAGAACAACTGGGTAGCGGAGCGCGGAGACGTTCATGGCACGGCACCGCGGGCCGACGTTTTTGGCGATAAGGGGAAACGTGATATGATTGGCCGTTAACTCGTAGTCAGAAATATATCATTGCGAATTGCAACAGATTGCGATCGTATAAACCTTTGCGCGGGGGAGAATTATTGTTCATGATGACATAAAATATCCGTCGACACGGGTATAATCTATTAACCGGTCGACCATGTCGATGGTAGGTATGCTTTTCCTTTGATAACGAGAAATGGTCGTTTTTGGACGTTACAACTTGTCCGAAAATTTCCATAATAATCTATGAAAACCTAAAAAACTAAAATACAAAATCAAACCAGTTTAAAAATGTAAATTCATCAATCATGAACTGTACACTGTTGTCTAGATGCTGAGTAGTTTTATTAATAATATATTATTGATTTAAAAAATGACAGCAATTTTGTAAGCCTATGCCTTAAATTAGGTCTGAATTTATGCTTTGTCATACTATTTTTAAAAAGCAGATAAAAGTATTAAATAAAGTATTTTAAGTAATTAATTAAAATTGTATTATTTAATATTATTTTACTATTCAATTTTACACAATATATACAAATGTATTTAAATAACAAATATATATTATAATTAATATTTAAAGACAATGTGTCTAAAACACTGTTTACAAGGTAAAAAAACTTATTTCCTTTTGATAACTAAAGTGAACACACATATTAATTGGTCAAAAATAGAAGTACACATAAAATTTGAATATTAAATGACAACAACTAGGTAGCATAACTTAGTTTAACACAACACTTATACAGTTCAATTTAATAATTAAATACAAATAATTAATATTTAATATAATATATGGCAACAAATGAATGGGAGTAATGGGATTATTATACAAATTATGTTGTATTAATCTTAGCATTGGATATTCTTAAATACTATGATATGTACATAATACAATTAATATTAATCAGTATCAAATAAATAATATACTTGCACCTCAATTGCATTATTAAAATAACAAAAAAGTCTTAAGTTTTTATAACTAATTTTCCAAAAATTCTTTTTCCAAAGCAGCACCTATCATATTCCATTCTGAATCGTTCATCTCGTCAGGTGGATCAACACTATTTTCACTATTATTACCCCATTCCAAATCCATGTCATCTAAATTTTTCCCTCTGCGAAATTGTTCATTAACCGTTTCAGATTCATTTTCATCTTCATTATCTGTTGAATCTGCTGAACTGTGTCGACGTTTATGTCCTCTACTAGAACCTTAAAAAAGAACCATTGTATTAATAATTGTATATTTTAGTCTTAAAAAAGCAAAATACTTTACACAATGGTAGCCTACTGTTTTAAGTGGGAAGTTGAGAAGGTATAGAATATAGGATAATTTAGTTGATATACTGAAAGCAACGATAAATCATGGCAATCAAAAAACGATTCTTCGTAGAAGTCAATAATGGGGTAATTTCAGGTAACTATTAGTCATGTTTTTACCCTTGTACTTAAGGTGACCCAGATATCAACAAAAAAAAACTAATCTATAGTCATTTGTTGACATTTTTTTTTTTTAGAAAACTATTGACAATCTAAAAAATTGTTCAATTGAAGTACCTTTGATAGAAAAATCTGCATCTTTTTAGGTGCTGTGTGAAAAAAAACACATCTTTGTAAAACTAATAGCTTCTTTGTTATACTCAGAATCTATAAATTTAATACCAAAATTAATAAAACAATATAGGCCATGAATACTTATGTGGTTTATTAAAAACATAATAATGAACCCGTAGTAATATTCACTGCTAATTTGCTGCTATTAATATATATATCAACAATTTTAAATTAATAGTAGTGATGATTGTAAGTTAAGGATGACCAAAACAAATTTTTTTCACAAACATATTTTTATATTTTATTTGTATGAGTGTAACAGTATCATCAAATCTTTTTTAATGAAAAAAAAAATTGTCCAGTTCCCGAGCAGTGATTTTAAATGAATATATTAGGTATAATTATATATTAATTCATTTTTAAGATTTAAATCAGGCACTGGCAATCCATGCAACCCTCCGAATATATTTCATGGTATTTAAAATCCTAATTTTGTGTCTTAAATTTTAATAAAAAAAAAAAAAATGTTCATTTTATGCTTTGGAATCGTGAATATTATATTTTTACTAATATAAGCTATGAGCTTAACTCACACAGTCGCATCCCTGAGGGGGAGGTGTGAAAGGGATCTCTCCCCTCTATAAGCCGTGTAATGTTCTTTTTTGTTATACAAAATATCCATAATTCCTTAATACAAATAATTACAAATACAACTGGTTCCAAATGCCAAAAAGATGATTCCCGATCTTAGAAATACTTTGATTGAAACAAAAATGAAACACTTTTCATTTATACATTTCAATAAATATTCTCTCAAGAGTGAGAGAATTATGGAAAACTAAGTGGAAACAATTAATTTGTAAAGATATAACACAAAATAATATTATTTAGAATCAAAATTGGAAGTGATTAAATTAAATTTAAATTTTAGATTCTGAGTGTAATGAAGAATGTACTTATTGGATTTACAATGATTTTTTTTTTATTATAATGTGACAAAAATGTCTACCAGAAATCTTGCTTCAATATGAAAGTGTAGCACATTTGTTGATAGAAATTAATGTTATATTGAATAGATTGTACTTTAGGAAAGTTATTTTTTGATTTTTCTCTTTGAAGATTCTCAATAAATTTGTTAAGTGTTTTTATGAAAATATAAAATTAGAAGAAGTAGAATACTTATTAATAATGATAGATTTTAAAAATACTTTAATATAGCTAGCCTAAAGGAATTTTGTAACAAATATTTGAACTAATGTCTGAATACTATTAGTTCTGTACAAAATTCCAAATATAATCATGGTTAAACATCTAAGATGAACTACATAATGTGTACTCAATATAAACACATCCTAAATTGTATTTGTATGGTAATTTTTTTGTCAATTTCGTTTAGTTAAATATTACTAAATGTTATGACTAATTTAATCAAATTTAATAAGATTAACAACTATGAATGTATTAATTAGTAATCATACAAAAGTAAACTTGTTAAAATGAATTGTCTTATACATTAAATTATAATTATGATAAACTGCAAAATAATTTAAATAGAAATTTTACCAGCTAATGATTCTTCTGAACTCGAATTGCCATCTTTATTTTTATTTAACATTTTGTCTGTATTATTCTCATTATTATCATTATCACCATCACAACTATCATCATCATCATCTGTCATATCTTCTACCTCTCCAGCCATACGTTTAATATCTTCATCAGAAAATGAAAGAAGTGGGTTAAGAGTATCTGCAAATTTGTCCTGTTCAATAACATTAGGAGACTGGTTAGGAGGTGGAGAATGTTCTGGACTACTACAATGTGCTGGTGGATCACGACTAGTAGATCCACAACCTTCTGATCGAAGAGGAAATAATCTTTCCTCAACATGTTCCCAACGTTCAGCACAAAGCCATAACCATTCAGGTGTCACAGTTTTGATATCTGGACGTTTACGAGCAGCACTAGCTTTAAGTGTACCTTGACGAACAGCAACCAAATGAGTTGTATCAGGCTCAAGTTTTTCTGTGACTTCTGCACCTAATAATTGGGCCACTTTATATGCTCGACTTTCAGTCAGTGGCACAGGAGTAGGTACTAAACCGCTGAACACAAGCTTTTTTCCAGCTAATATTTTTGAACGGTATGTAGGAATAATGCGCTTCATATCAGGAACCTCCACTTCTTTTCCATAAAATTCACATTTCTGATCATATTCTTTAAAATATTCCTTATGCAAATTTTTCAAAATATCTTCTAAGTACAATAAATAATCATCTTCTTCTTCAACTTCAACTTGATCATCATTATCTTTATTCACAACATTTTTTTTTTCTTCAGTGTCTAGTGCATTTTGGGAATCATCATCAGATAAAACTTCTCCATCTTCTATTTGTGCATCATCTTTAATAATATCTTTTTTTTTCACAGTTATACCTGTTCCAATACAAATTTAATATTTATTTAAAAAAATATGTAATTTATTAAAAAATAATTAAATTGCGTACATTTTAATTAAGTAATAAGAAAATAAAAATGTATATTTACCTTGAACTAAATGAGTGAAATCAACTCTATTATTTTTTTGTGAAGAATTTTCACAATTTTTTTGTAAATTTGGTGGTGCATTTATATCACCAGTGTGTTGAAAAAAATGATATGGTTTAACATGTATCAAATTTAATGCATACTCCCAAACATCTTCACGATCATCAATAATACATACCATATTATCACCACAAGGAAACAACCCCCTGAAATAATCATATTAATACCTACGCTAAACTTACAAATAATAAATTAACTATAGTCTAAAATCAACAAATTGAACAATCATTTTATGATTATTATTTATATGACAAATTAAAATAAATAGAAAAATACTTACTTAAGATTTCCTGTTTTACTGTTTGGATTAAAACATTCATCTCTTGATAAAACTCTGTGAGAAAACAATTTGCCTTGTGGATCTAATATATGCGTTATAGTGTGAGCATAATTACGTGCACCAAATGTACATATGTGAAGTTCATATAGTTCACTAATAGAAGACAAAAAATTATATGTTCCAGGCCTAAGTCTTGTATGATACCATGGTGAATTAGGTCCATACAATTGAAAATGATGAATATCCTATAAAAAAAAGTATAACATTTTAATATTTTTAATTATAATTAATAAATACATAAAGATATAAAGCATACTTTAATATTGTTAGGAATGTTGTCATTTGTTGTATGTATAAGTGTTTGATCCAAATCTACAAGTAACACCAATTTTCTATCAGCAAGCAATCGTTTTTCATCAGCTTTACCCAACAACAAAGCACTCTAAAATTGTAAATTATTCATTTAACATTTATTTACAAGAATAAAACATTAAATAGCATACCTGTTCACTGACTTTCAGGTCAGGTACACTGTGTATCATAGAAACAGATGCAGTTGATTTAGCTGCATTATCAATTCTTAAATCAGCACCACAATCTGCACATAAATCACTAACTACAGTACTATGGCTGCAACCAGGCTGCAACTCAAATACTGGATGTCTAAAATATATAAGGACAATAAGATGAGGTCAAATCATAGTTTAATCAAAATAATAAAATCATTAAAATTTGAATGAAACAATAGTTTGTAAGTAATATTATACCCTGCAGGAATGTCTTGGCCTTCATGTATTAGTATTTTCTTAACAACACCAATATGATTCGTTCGAAAACTTTTCCGTTCTGTTTCTCCATCTTCTTGATAAAGAAGTACAACAGCAGTACTGTTGACCAGGGTGCCCTCTTTTACCCGCCATTTTATAAGTGTTGCCTTCTTATTGACTGTTGGCAATTTCACGAAAATCTTCTCTGCACCAGTCTCCATGAATTTATTTCAATCAAAAACTTAAATGACTACAATACATATTAATCGACAATGGGTGTATTGACAAAAAATAGGTATGAACAATTAATATAATCAAGTTTAATAATCCGAAACACGTTAACAAAATGGATGGTTGAGAACTGTTATAATTTATTAAACACAACAATAATAAACTAATGAAATAAATAAAGCAGTTGTGAGAATTAAAGAAATCAACAATTTATTCGAAATACTATTTAAAATGTTTTGAATTTTTGATATCACTGAGGAATTACAAAGTTTGTTTGTGATAGTGGAATGTCGTTTATTATTTTTAAACGTATCAACATTAAAAACTCAGATACAGTGTACACAACATTGAACAATAACTATGTTATTATTTAAAAATATAAAATTATAATTAATATAATTAATGTCCATACGTCATGAAAAGGAATAAATTCGAAAACGTTACGCACCGGTATATTCTAATGCATATTGTTGATAATTCAGCATTATTTGACATTGTTTTATTTTAATTATTGACATAAAAACTGTAAATCAATAATTTCGTGACTGTTTGGCTCCATAGAGTGATTATTATTTGGCTGGAACTGCGAAGCACGACAAAAGGCCACTTAACAAATAATCACTAAACTTAATATAGCCATGTGATACAACCGACAAAACGCCGAAAAACAAAGTCAATCATTAAACACACTTTTTGATAACTATTGTCCACAGTCATAATATTATTAATGCTATTAATATCTAATGCCTATACAATATGCTCATTTTAATTATTACATTTTCATTATTATTAATTATTTCCTACATAGGACTATCTGCCCATTATTCCCCATTATCGTAATTTGTTTACACAATTATAATACATTGTTATATATTAACCTGTATATGGCTGTATAGCTACACAGAGTAGAATACACTGTAGGTACTCAGCTACGATTTGGGTACTTACTATTACTATTACTTATTAGTTATACGAATATTTAAATCGACAGTCACCTAAATTAACCATTATCGAAATGATTTGTCTCCATTCAACTATGTTCTGTTTGTTCTGTGATTTTTGTATTACCTATAGTGTTTTGTTGTATTTGTTTATTTTAGTAGTTAACGACTGAGTACTGACGGCAATATACATGGGGTACAGTAAATATAACAGAATAGAGAAATACACAGATATTAATTATGGAACATATACAGATTAAGATACCTATTGACAAATGATAAGTTAAGCGTTCACGATAGTACAACTTTGTTTGATACGATCTCATTAGCGATAAGCGTAATGTGTATGCCATACGGTACCAATTGTTGTACAATGTGTAGGTTAGGTAATGTGTAACGTGTAGGAAAACAAAACCACGGAATAAAAAGCCACAGGTAAAAAAAGCCAATTTGTTTATTATATTATTATTTATAATTATTTACATTAAGTGTAATTATAATTATATTATTAATTCTATAATAATAGCAATTTTATACTTTTATAATAGTAATGAATGTATTATTATTATTGTTTACTGATGCCTTATGTAAAAAAATTTTTTAATATCGATTAATATTGATTGTATAATGTCTATTTTTTAATTTTTATTTTTATTAAAAACTTTATTCAACTTATTTTAACTTCAGTAACTTTTCTGGTAAGAAAATTAATAGTTGGTCGGGGAAAAACAAAAAAACACTTATAAGTACACACATTGTTTTTTTCCGTGATTTATTTTTCCTGTGGATTTTTTTTTACGTGCCTTTTTTTGATTACCGTATAGTACGACGGGGGAGCGCGTAAAAATCTGGGATGTGGAAAGTACAAATCTTGAATCCAGGGTTTTACGGTCATCGAAATTTGAACCATTCAAACCTGGAATGTAAAAGTATGGAATGTACAAAAATATTTAAATACTTAAAAAATAATTTTCTATTATTCTAGTGTTACCGACTTTTGGTCCAAAAACATATACGTCCGTGAGTTTGTTTATCATTTGTGAATATTATTCATCATAAAAAGCGCGGCAATGCCGACTATTATTATACAAGATAATTCCGCTGGTAGCGCTAACGATTAATTAGAACAGCTGATATTTTCAAAAGATGTCGGTTTCAAGATTTGGAATTGTTTATATTGGCCGATTCCCAACCTGTATACATTTAATCGTGAATGAGTCTGTATCAACACAACCGTTATCACTTTTTTGTCTTGATGTTTTATCCGATGTATACACATTCAAATAGAAAATCACAGTTGCGGGTTATTCAATATTCATATTTTAGATTTCAATTTTATTCCTATTTATTCAACAAAAATGATGGAGGTGGATGAAGAAACGTTTGAAACTAGTAAGTTTATACTACTATACACTATCTACCATGTCAAATATTTATCATAACTTTTAACTAATAATATTAGGTAGTATTATTAATGGAATATCTAAAAACGACTTCAGTAAAAGACTCATTGCTAGTGAGTTATTTAAGAGCTAGTCTTATCATTAAAAAAATGTTAACAGATAAATAAAAAAAAAGTACATATAGTAAAAAAAACAATTAAGCCATTATCAGTACTTTAATCCATATTTTGAATATCTGGAATCCAAAAATAATATAATAATGGTAATCCATCTATACATATAATCTGGATTTTTTTGATTTTTCACATATTTAATTATTTTATTCTAAAAATTATTGGCCAAGTACAATACAAAATATAATAATTGTTAGCATAAAATAATGAAATATGTGAAAAATCAAAAAAATCCAGACAGAATCAAAATCCACCCAATGTATTGTTATCATATTCAATCTACAAGGTTTAAAAAAAAGTTATTAAAATGCAAAAATTATTCTCTAGTTTATATTCTTTTAATCATCCATGTATTTATATTATTTACTGAAAATATTAATTTATTGGGTACCTAATACCAGTATAAGTATTTAACTTCCTGGACCTTGTAAAATATAATTTCAGCTCTTATTGTTCTACATAAGAAAAAATGAAATCATTTTCAAACCAATCAATAAATATTTGAATATATGAATTGTCTCCATTTACATTATTTATAAATGTTCCAATTTCAGGTGAAGAACATCAAGTTTCAAATAAAGAGGAACCAAATGAATGCTCTACATCGTTCGGAAATATATCTTGTATAACTACAGGTTAGTTTTCATTTTTGTTTAAATTTGTTAAGCAAATAATGTTTACCTTACAATTGAGATTACTTATGTTTTTTAAATTATGCTTAATCTAAACTATCTTTAATTATAATTATAAATTCATTTTTAAAGGTGAAGAAAATAATGATTCTACACATGAAACTGATAAATCTGTTCACAAAACTGAAACTAATGAATCTGAAAAAGAAAGTTAGTATTTTTCTTTGTATTATATTTACAAATTGTAGTAATAGTTCTAAATTTGTTACTGTATTGTATAAATATTTGGTATGATAGAAATTAACACACAACAAATTAATTCTGTTTAAGGTGTTTAAAAGTTAAGAAATTAATATTTTATGACATGCTCTTGGTAACTTTTTGGTATGTTAAACGACAATAAAAAATTTTTGACATTTTATCATAATTATTACCTGTATCAGTATGTAATCATCAAAATGAAAGAAAACATTTTTCTAACCCCCCCCCTAAAAAAAAAAAGTAGTCAAGTTGCTCTTTAAGATTAATTACAAAAATTACCAAATAAAAATAATATATTGTATAAAAATATTAGTCACATCAAAATAAAAAAAGTTATAGAGAATCTACAAATACAGATGTACTCAGGAAAAATCACAGAAACCAGTGATATCAATCCTACTGCTCTTTGATGCTTCATTAATGCACAATTCAAACAGTACTAGAAAATGTTGAATAAACTTTAGTATTATAATATAGGTTTGATTATAAATATAATGGCTATCATATTATATGCAATCTACTGGCAATATTGTGGCTGCAGTATTCAGTCTTCCGTTTTACCGCTTTATTGTTATACAATAGTATATAGTTACTATAATGGTAAAACGGTTGACCGAATACTGTAATATAGTGGTATTTAGTACTTATAGAAATTATACATATATTTGTGTCATTGTCCCGATTGTTTCAAAGTTTTGTTAAATATAAAGTTTAATAGCAAGGCACCTTTATGATAAAGACTATTACATGGAAAAACTATTTATTGGTGAAAAAAAGCAATAGTTGTGTATATATATATATATATATAATAAAATACTATAGTGGCTTTTATTTTGTATATAAAATCTAATAAATTATGGACTATTTTAAATGATATAAAAAAGGTTTTTAATGTCAATTAATTCTTGAAGTTGTTATAAGTAAGTTGTATATTACTGAAAGTAAAGATTTACATTTTACAGATTATACTGAGTATAGCATGTTGACAGGTTTACTAGTCTAAGGTTAGTTACTTAAGTTACTAAGTCAGGTTTACTAACAGGACATTTTTGTTTAAATTGTATAAAACAATGACTACAACATAAATCTAAACTATAGTAAAAATATTCTTTGTATTTTTCTAAGTATGTTTGGGTCTATTTTAAATGTTGAATAATATTATCTCTTCTTTTTTTGCTTTGTATTATAGTCTCAATGTATGGGTCAATTGAAGATTACACCTATGATCCAACTGCTCTTATAGAAGTATCTGATTTACTTGGTAATTATATTATGAAATTAACAGCTATAATATGTACGTATATACTTATAAAAAAATAATACATATTTTCATTATTTTAGACCTTGTTGGTAAAAATTGGTCACTTTTCCGTGTGTCTCCATTGTGGAATTTGGATTTTAGTCAAAAATATTTAAATTTGTTATCCAAAGAGTTGAAAAAATGTTTAATAAAGAATACTCAGGGCACAAAAACAAAAAATCGCCAAAAAAAACCAATTGAGGATATCTCTGTAAAAATTGAACAACAAGATGCACATCATGAATGTGTGGCATTAAAAGTAATCGATTATAACTATAGTTTAGTCTACAGTAGTTTGAAAAAAAAAATATGTATATTTTTATTTTCTTTATAAATATTATAAATTATAATAGTATCAAAACATTATTTTATAAATGACTATATTATTATTTTTTAAATCATTTATATGTTATCTTCAATCTATGCTAGGGTTAACAATGAGTAATATTTTTAACTGTATGTAATTTAAAAGGACAGTGAATGACTTAAAGGCGCTTCAGATTAGAAACACCTGAATATTAATGGTTAAATTAATAGAAGTATGCATCAAAGATTGAGTAGGTCTCTAAGCCATTTGCATTTAAGGGGTCTTACTGGGTTTTCTGGAAGATGGTTGGAATGAAGTTGAGCGATAAGGCTATTGGGGTAATGTTCTGTTTTGGAATGAAGGTGTATGTAGAATGTAGCAGCAGCTTGATTGATAGTAGAAAAACAGCTATGTATACTATGACTTTATTACTATTATATCACTATTTAAAAAAACAAGAATATACTCACATTTTGTACAAGTTAAATAAAAATAATTTCTCTAACTTCTCAAAGAATTATTCAATTTTTTATGATATTAATCCTAAGCTGAATTTATAAAGTAAAAATTACTCAATCATAATATTGTAAACTTGTAAAACTGTAAACAGATTTAATAAACTTTATCATATTTACGTAATCATAAAATTAAAAACAATGGTAATACACAGGCATTATGTAATTAAAACAAATTTAATAAATATGGAATTAGCTGTACAATATTATGTTGCTAATTTTATAATGTCTATTTTACTATACTTAATAAAATACTATTTATAATATTTAGTAAATAACAAAGGTTAAGTACATTTTCAATCAATTTGTAGATACTTGTTATAATTAAATGTACATTATATTTTTTCACAGATTGATGTTATTATTCAAGAAACTAATGTTCAGCTTTACACGGGTTTTTTATTAAAATCACCAAATTATACTGAAAAATATAATAAAAATAAATTATCAGACATGCCTCTTTTAATGGTACAAGGAAATCAACCATGCATTGTAGCTATACACAATTGGTTATCTGATCACTTTGACTGTGTTATTCGTCCATATACATTTGCCTTATATCAATTTCTGTGGATTATTGCCATTTCGATGGGTGATGTGGGAAAGTCATACAACGAAACTGTTTTATACCATTATCTCTATAAATATGAATTAACACAGGGTCAAATGAATGTTAAGTGTCATGTTGAATCTTCATTCCTTCGATCAGTTTTAGCCAGGTTCGTGATAAATTTTTACTTAATACTTACTTATTATGAATTGAATATAATGTTTACTAATTTATTAAAATAAAAAGTGGATTCAAATTTGTTTAACATTGATAATAATCACCAGAGGTACCTATACAAATTTATTTTTATTTATATTTTGCAAATAAGCACTGTGTCTTTAAAAATGATATCTTTAAATTTAAATTTTACTTTGATTGTACCAAAATTTAACTTCCATGTGGTTTAATTTTGCTATCTTAAATAAAAAACTTATTTTTATAAATAATAAGATGTATTGCACCTGTAACGTGATAATATTATATTATTGATAAAATAGATGAATACATAAATATATATTTGTATTTTTTGGAATTATTCCATAATATTATATATATATATATAATTATTATTTTTAAATGTGAGTGATCAATAAAATAAATTTGTATTTGTTACATTTTTAAACCTATTTATTAATTTGGTATCTGAATGTATAGACTTGCTTTGGATGGTTTATCTTCAGAAGCTACATCATTTCATTATTCAGATTTAATTAAAATACAATCAGAAATTGAAGATCATTTGAAGACGATTTGTGGAATAAATGTATCAAAATTAAAATTAAAAGCCTTTGAAGCTCCGAAAATTGCTTCAGTCAAACTTTCTGGAAAAGTGAGTTAGCCATTTTGTATTAATAAGACAGAATATTTATTTAAATTTTTATTTCAGATAAACATTAAATCTTCTGTTCTATTGGATATGATAATAAAATACCTCATGGAACTCGAAAACAATAATTATGTATTATAATTTATAAAATAAATGACATATTGAGTAACTTATTACTACTATTATATTGTTTATTTTTTTTTTTAAATAATAAAATATTTTGATTTTAAGTTCAAAAATATATACTGTTATAATGATATTTATTATTTATTTACAATTTGTAAATATTAAAGCTACTTATATTATTTTGTAAATTATCTATGTATATTATACATATTATACATTACTCTTAATAATTCTTAATTCCTATTCATTCTAGCAGTTACACCACTAATCCATCTTTACATTTCTGCTACTTCCAATTTTTTATATTCAATGCTTAATGTTTATTGTCTTATACTGGGCCCCATACATCATCTGCCTTAAAATAGTTGTATAATAAATTCTTATCATAGTTTTTTAAAAAAATATTCAAACAACATTTACATATATTTATTTACGAGTATTAATTATTTTAATAATTTGTTTTTAATTTAATATTTTATTATTTACATATAATCCATAACTCGTGAGATAATTAGATGATTTAAGAATTTTGTGTATCTCAAATTTATTTTAATAGAAGAAATAACTAAAAAATGTATTACTATTAAAGAAAATTAGTGTCTATGGAAAATTATAATCAACATTTCATTAAGTACATATTCTGTTATGTACTCATATAGAGTAGTCAGGCCCAATAAAATGTAAATATGTAATCTAAGGTACTAATTAAATTTGGAAATATAATGTATAATAATAGATAATTTCAAAAAGCTATCCTAGATAATGGGGATAGATGCACTGGTGCAGCCTGTTATAGGTTAGAAGTTAAGAAGGTAGAGAAGAAATTCAATGTATATCCGTACACATCATTACTAATGAAAAAAACGATTCTGAGCAAAGCTTGATTTATATTGTTGTTTTGTCAACAATATGTATATCAATAATATTGTTTAATATTTTACATATTTTCCCATTTATTGGAAAATCAAAAAATGACCCCAAATTACCCTCCCAGTCTGATTGTCTTTCAGAAATCAATGCTATCATTGTAAATCTGAGCAAAATTGCTGATTGCAATAGTTGTTCAGATATAAAAAAAAAAAAATACCATTGTAAAACCAATATGTTCCTCACTCCACTTAAAAACAAAATTTACATGTTTAGTGAATAAATAGCGTTTATTTTTTAATAATAATGAAACACTATCACTAAATGTTGACAATAAATATTACAACATAACTTTTAATTGAAAAGTTGTAATGTTGTCGCAAACTATAATAACAATCAAATGTATGATTTTATAGTTAAAAAAATCTTTCGTTTTTTTTTTTTCAATTATATAATCATAATTACCTAACCCATTGTCTTGTTTTTTTATTTGTTACGCATTCTGAAAAACAATTACAAAAAAAAAACGTGTAAATTTTGTGACACAGCAAACTACGGAAGTCAACTAGCCAGGCGCCCTTTGTGAAAGACCACAAAGATTTCTTAAGTAAGTACCTACTTCAAGAGTTTTGAATCAGGGGTCGAAAGGCAAACATTTTCCCTAACAAAGACAAACATTTATTTTACAAACATGTTTGCTGAAATAAAGTATGTGTGTGGTGGTACAACCAGGAGTGGGAGGACTGGCATTATACATCTTCATATTTCACCCCCCCCCCCCTTCCCATAGTTAAGGTCTAGAGATGCCCACTTACTATGTAGATGAATTGTTAGACTTAAAGAAATGCTTGAAAATTGAATAAGAGTTTCATTATAAATTGTACTTAGTTGTCAAAAGAAAAAATTTTATTCAATGTAGACATTTTTTTTATAAGAATTTTGATGATAATTATAAATATTACAGTCTTTCAAAACATTTATACCCAAACTCCGCTTAGAATCGTTTTTGTTAGCAATGATTATTATATACAGATAAACATTGAATTCCTCTCAGTATATCTTACCTTCCCAACTTCTCAGCTACAACAGTGGTCCATCCATCTTTCTTAGTGTGTCAATTTTTTCTTTTTTATTTGTTGGGTTTTGTCACCTTATGTATTGTTTTACTTACATTGATCTGTTCTTGTTTGAACTCTTCTATAAGTTTCCAAAATGTTGGATGACACAATCACCCATTATATTAATAATAATAATAATTTTAAAATAATATATTTTAGCTGTTCTGAACATTTGCTATCATGAATTTTAGCTATTTTGGTTTTATTGTTTTTTCGTGATACCAATTTAAAGATAATAAATAAAGAATTGTACAATTTCTTATGCTTAATATTTGTCATTATTAATTTATATTTTACATAAAATATTCTTTCAAGTTATATTATATAATACTTAAGTAGTTTTATGATTAGTGAACTTATATTTATTCAATACCGATATAAACATACTGGGTTTATAAATAATAATTACAAAACTTTCTTAAATTAGGTTTCTGGCAACATTCAATTTTAAGCGTTTTAAATATTCTATGTATCTAATTTATAATAGGAAACTTTTTTTTTAACTCAATCCACAAATTATATCTCATTTAAATACATACCAATAAGATTGTATTAGATACAATAATAGCATATTAAAAAGGCACATTTTAACTAAGTAAAATGTTCAACTTTCCAATAAAGGAGAAATAAGTTTACAAAATATCATATTATATTAGCATATATATAATTTTATTACAAACGTTTTAATTTAATCAAAATATGGAGATTAAAATGTATGGTGACCAAAATGTACATCAATCAAATAAATAAAATAAGGTAAATTATATTATAAGATCTAAAGTAATTAAACAATTAACAAATTAGTATATACACAAATAATATGTGTTTCTAAAATATTTATGGTTCTAAAAACCATAATAAGAATTACGCGTTCAGTATGAAAAGGTACAATTCAAACTTTAAACAATATATAACAATTAAAATTGAATGATATTATTATTATTTTATAGTTTCCACAGTTGAACCTAAAATGGAAATTAAAAACAAAAATCAGTAATTCAATTTCATTTTGCATACAAACAATTTAAGTTTGAAAAAATTTATTATTTGTTGAAAATTAACTCAATTTACTGCAATTAATAACTTTTAATACTGATCGCATACACAAATTATAAATATAATAAAACAATTAAATTCTAACAAACAAAACGTTTAGGAATAAATAAATAAGTTCCTAAATCTAAGAATAAACACAAAATTATATAAGAGAATATTGAAGTAAAGTGTATATAAATTTTTTTTATATATTTTATAGAATTATACATAAATGACTTATTTTATTTTTACAGCCAGACCAATATCATATTATAAGTACCAATAAGTGACGTAATTATATAAATGGATATATTCACAATACTAATTTTAATGATGTAAGAATATAGAGCTTGGGCTATTAATAGAGAATATAATTCACTAAAAAAAAATAATAACCTGCATGGAAAGCAAAATTATAAGAATTTCAAATGATTTTAGATTTATAAGTTGACCTTCATAAATAATTAACAGCAACCATTTCCACTAGCACGATTATTGCCACCAGGTATACTGCTATTACCGGTTGAATGTTGAGGTCCAATTTTAATACCATTTGCCTAAAAGAAAAATTTAATAAAGACTATAATATTTGTAGATGATAAAAACACAGATCATCACCAATTCAAGCCACTTTATTTCCGCGGTCAAACTGATAATACATAATTCTAATATTACTATAATGATAAAATAAGTTAAGGATGTTTGTTTACATTTGTATACATAACAACTATTGTGACTTCTATTTTCACTAAATTTCTACGTCTTACCTATGTTTTGTCATTATCTAAGAACACTTTATAATTTGAATTAAAATGCAACTGACCTCATTATTAATATCGAATACACCTTCTTGAATTTTTTCATAGATTTCTTTAGCAGTGTTTATGAATGCTTCTTCTACGTTATCAGACGTTTTAGCAGAGGTTTCCATAAATACCAATCCATGTTCACGAGCAAATGCTTCACCTTCTTCTTTCTTGACTTCTCTTTTAGCTTCCAAATCACTATAAGAAAATAATTAGGGACATTTTTAGTGACCCACTAAAAATATTTTACTGTTAAAATCACTAGGTACCTTTTATTGCCAATAAGCATAATGACCATGTTGGAATTGGAATGTTGTCTAGCATCTTCTAACCATGTCGTCAAATGATTGAATGTATCACGACGAGTGATATCATACACCAACAGAGCACCAGCCGCTCCACGATAATATGATCGAGTAATAGATCGAAAAGCTTCTTGACCAGCAGTGTCCCATATTTGCAATTTGATAGGTTTGGTCTCAATAGCCACCAAACGAGCACCGAACTCGACGCCTGAAATAAGTAAACATTTTAGAATAAGGGGCTGTGGCAACGATTTTATTATGTGCAAACCAATGGTAAGGTCATGAACGGGCTGAAAACGCTTGTCGGTGAACTGCAACAAGAGACATGATTTGCCCACTCCTGTAACATATGCCAGTTAACATATTTTATAACGTAAAAACGAGTCCGACGGGAAACCCACCAAACAACTACTACTGACCTGTATCGCCGATTATGATGTACTTGAACAGATACGCGTATGACATGGTTGTGCACTGTGAACCTCTGCAAAAGACTAGTAAGCTAAAACGGAATGGCAAATAAAACGCACTTGTTATACCGGAGATCGGGCGTCTGCGTCAAAGCGGAGAAACTACAATAACAATGAAAAAAAGAATCTAAAGTAAATCGACTAATATGTGTAAATAACGTAAAACAAACCTATTGTGTGTGAAACGCGTAATACGTAGTAATAATTGATCACAAAGCCATTCGATTCATATCGTAATCGTTACGTTAAATTAATAATGGTAGTGAAAACTTTGTGTTGGACAGTATGTTGTGAATATGTGATAGTGGTAGTGGAACGATTATTTCCGTTTTTACTATATTATTCAATATTGTGTCTTTATCACGGTCATCAACGAATCTGGACTGGTCGGCGAGAGAGTGGGGGATTTTCTCATTCGTGATAAAGATATTGACGTCGTCGTTTTCCGTGCGATGTGGGAAGTATCGTAGTAATTTGGACGTCGTCGTCACGGATGACTTCTCACCCCGGCACCCACGAATACCCAGTTCAACCAAGCATTTAAAGCGTCAAAGCTGCGTAGCTCAATAATTGCGACGCGCGACATTCATCGTGCTAATAACGTCAGCACTGATGACAAAGCTAAAAACTGTATATACAAAAATGTCTGAAAGTTCGAAAAGTTACTCTAATAAATTGACTAACCTAACGCGAGCTACCTCACTTTAAACTCAATCAGTATAATGTATATAACTTTCTAACGTAATGCAATACATTAGATACTTACCTGAAAATATATTCAATGACATAATATACAAAGTTATTTTTTTTATCATTAACCATCTCTGAGGATTTTAAGTGAATTTGATTTCTGTTTTTTCTAACCATTTTGGAATCGGTTAAGCTTTATTTTAAAACTATTTTTAATGTTTTTCCCCGACTCCATATACCTTAGAGAAGTAACTACTTTTGTTTTTCAAATAGGAATCCCCTTTTTGAACAAAGATTTGAATAGAGAATATTTTTCTAGAAATTGTAATATATATAACACTAATATCACATTTATTGTTTATATGTTATACACGTTTAAATTTATAGACCAGAGGAGTAGGGAAAAATCACCAACTTTTCATATGCAATTTTTTACCTTTCCCTACTTCTCTGGTCCTTTAAACTTTAAACGGTTATAACTCATAAACAATAAATTTGATCATTGTGTTATGCATATCACAATTTCTAGAAACATAATAAATATCCTCTATTCAAATCTGTGTTTAAAAAGGGAGGTTGTTATTTAAAAAAATAATTCACTTAAAATCCTCCGAGAAAATAGCTGGTTCATGATAAAAAAAAAATCATTCTGTATAATTTTTTTTTCCCAAGTTTGTGTTGTGAACCAATAATATTGAAATATCTTGACAAAAGAATGAGGTAGCTGTAACCTTGTAATGGCAATTCCCATATTAACTGTTTATTCTAATTTAACACGCTAAAAAGTTTAATGTTTTATATATTATTTTTATTACACAGCAAAAGTAAAGTAAACAGCTGCGTATTGAACAAATAGCGAAATAGATTAAGATTGACCAACTATTTACATTTTATAAAATCACTAAAACATTGTTAATACGTCGTAGTTAATTTACTTTGGTAATATGAACAAGTGTTTAATGCGTGCCTAGACTATGCAGAGTCCGTAGGTACTTCTGAATACTGATGTTAAGTAGATCCATATTTCACGGTAAAAAGTTAAATTTTGTCAAGAAATAATTCACGGCGTAATCGCGTTGCTTATTAATTATCATCATAAAAGCATTTAGTATTGCCTAGATTTCACCCGTGCTTAACAACATTGAGAAGTTGAAATTTAGTTGTTTTTTTTTTAAGTTTTACATGGATAAAATTGTTTTATCCGAGCAGAAATTCTTGAAATTTCATATTTGATTTGATAAATGGGTATCTATTAAATCAACAAGCATATTTTAATATTTATCCCCAATTTGTAAGTTAAAAAGTACGAAGTTATATACCTAGTGCGGAAGAATAATTATTATTGTTAAATGTAAAAATTGTTTCCTTGCAAAAATTCCGCCTGCCAAACAATAAAGATTAATTATTATAATATGCCATAGTAAATAATAATAAATGGCATTAGTGATTTAACATATATGCATGCACTTTAATTTCTCGATAAGACGATAACTATTATATTGTGTTAGACAAATTTGTAGATTATTATAATTATTGGCGTTAATTCTTGAAATGTTTCCTTTATGTATGTATATTATACTATTACTATTACTATATACTAGGGTGTAAAATTATATATTTATTAGGGTGACAAGTGTCCCGCTCACAAATACGCCACTGCGGAGGTTCGGTCTTTTCGTAACCCCATTAGAACCCACTGGTCTGGAATCTCGTTCATGGTACCACTTCGTGCACGTGGTGGCGTAAACGCCAGATGGCCTGAACGGTTGATACAAATATCTAATAATGACACTTGTAAACATACGACTAAGCACGTGGCCAGGATTTTTTTTTTTATGTGGGGGAATCTAAATATAAAATATATACCCAACTACCAATAATCTGATTTTTTTGTGAGCTTCTAATATTTAGGAGTCCAGACCCCATGAACCCCCTTGGCTGCATACAACTATGATAGTGTTTGGCCATTTTGTCTGTACAAGCACAATTGGTAACGCACTACAAAGCTATCACAATATGTACGCCATGTTTTATACAATTTTAATTTGTCCTTTAGGTTTTATTAAAACAATTTAAATAAATGTGTAGGTGTGTAGAATAATTGAATGATTTATTAGTGTCGTGTATAATAGCGAAAAAAATAATACTGTTGTAATGGACTTCCATTAATTTTTCAAATACAGTATCAGTGAATAACAATTGATTTGGTAATTTATTTCATTGGGCAACTGTGTATCAAGTCAATTTCAATCTTAAATTTAACATGCCACGGTTAGGTTAGGTTACATAGAACTAATAAATTATATATATTGGGCAATAGTGCAGTAGCAATATATTAAAACACTCAAAATAGCTCTATTTGTATTATAGTAATACCATATGGAAAATAATTTTAAATTTAGAAATATGTATTAAAATATTGTTTTTTTCTTATGTGACATTACTATACTTTTATAGTTTATAAGTACATATTACACAATTGCAAATATTTTTATAATAAATGATATTTTTTATCATTAAAGTATTTGCAGGTTATTTGTTCTTTTTCTTCTTAGTTTTCCATTAAGTAGGAGTGTTCTATGAATATATATGCAGATGTAATTTGTTTTGAACATTTATTTAGAGATTTTCTGAATTTTCTAAATAATTTAAATAAATAGATATTGCCATTTTAAACATGTTTTTATTATATTTAATAACATTGGGTATTGTTTATGGTGCCTTAATGTATCATTAATTTCTAAAATTTTTTTGTAAATTTATTCCTAAACAAACAAATTTAATATTTCTATAATTTGTTTAACTGAAACTAAAATAAAACATAAAATTTAACTAAATAAACATAATTATGAGTAATGACTAAAAAAATCATAATTTAATTAGTCAATTTGGTTTTTTCACGATAGGCATTTGCAAAAACGCCTAAAAATAAAGCTATATACCTAAATATAAACTACTTATAGTTATTATATAAATACAATTTAATTAAGTGATGGACATAATATTGGCTGGCAGGCCAAAAGCATTCTCTGCCGTGCTCGTTTAAAACTAGACATTACATTGTTAACACTTTTGACTAATGCCTGAGCAGAAACAATGTCACTAGTGTTTATACAATTCATATTTCCAATGTTTTTGCAATGTTGCTTTAACAAATTAAGGGTAATATTTAATGTTCCTTTTTGTTCGACTTCCAATCCAAATTTGCTTAATAGTTTTTCCTTAAATGTTAAACAATTTATTAATTATTTAATTTGAAAGAAAAAGAAAAATTAATTTTTTAATACATTAAAATTGGTTGGTACACTAATATAATTAGGTTCAGCTAACTTCACTGATCCACCAATAAAATATCTACGTAAACCATCAATACAGTTTCTAGATTTTGGCAACAAAGCTTCTAATACAATATCTTTTTTATGTGATATAAGATTAGCGAACTGTGGAATTTGATATGATGCATATCCTTCAACTCGTTCCTTGTCCCACGAATCAATTGAATACACAACAAAAGTTATAAATGCAGAGTTAATGTTCTGATCTGAAATACAAAATTAATTATTACTAAAAAAAAATCAAAGGTGGACTAGGTAACAGGACAATAGACAGTTCTTATCTTGATGCCGTAGATGACAATTCTTGATAAGCACTGCTTATTACATATAAGAATATAGAAGGGGGATGCAAAGGTGTAAAAGAAATTGTATGCACCTTAAGATTTAAGTGTCGTTATGTTATATATGATTTTATAATGTACACCCAGGGTCCCTATCACTATATGAAGGTGTAATATCCTTCCCTTAAACATCGAAATTTACATTGCCAAGTTGACAATTCAACAGTAATTTAATTTTAAATAAAGCAAAACTAATAATTTCCAAGGTTTTTATTGATATTTTATTAAATTATTCCTATTTTGCTATTTTATTATTGTCAAATGTATTTCTGATAATAGTACAAAAAAATTATTTTAAAATCGTAGATTTGGTATTTAGAGTTAACAAATTTTTAATCACACACTTTCCTTAATGATTAGGGGAGTCCAAACCTTCTACCCCCCACGTGAATTTTATTTTTGCATAATAATGTAACATGTAAAAACTTAACCTTTAGAATGATCAACTGATTTTGGTAATATAATAGTGACATTAAATAAATATGAAAATATGGATATCATATTGTTATTTCGTCGACATGTTTGAGTTGTGCCACGGAGAGAATCAGTATTCGGACATTCCCATCCTGAAAAAATGATTACACATATTTAATAAAATTACATTAGTAAATTATATTAACTTTATCTGGGATGTGTAGGGTTTATATGTTATAAACTCCATAAAAAAATCAGGTAATAATACCACAGAAATTTAAAAATATTTTGTAACAACTTTAAATTGTTATTAATTATAGAATTTTAAATAAATTTATGTTATTTAATCACTAAAATGTATTTTAAAAAATTTTTTCACATTATGTTTGCATAAAAAAAGTTCTTCTTTGAATTTCAGAATTGACCCCTAAAACTCTGGACAAAAATTACAAATCATTTTAGATGTTTATAAATCAAATAAATTCTGTTTAAGTGGTATTAATACACAAAAATATGGCTGCAGATTTTACTTATATGGGCAAATTTTTCAATATTAATAAATAAAAATTGATGGATAACTATTATTAAGTCAGTATTAGTCAGTAAATTATCTTTATATATTAATAGTATATCCTCAATTTAATCTTACCTGATGGAAGATCAACACAATAGCGAATAAATAAATTGTCATATTCAAATCCACTGGCTGATTTTATTTCAGCAAATATTTCAATAGTGTCAGATTCTGGTACATAAAATTCACAATGTTCCAATTTAAGTAGATTTAACTAAAAAAATAAAACACACAATTATATGCATGATTTTTAAACTAAGTATATATAAAAGGGTGATCCGTAGGTGTTGAAAATAAATGTCAAATATTTGAATTCAAAGACTCAGAATTCTGTTAGGTACATTGTAAAAATAATTTTTAGTATGACAAGACTACCCCTTCACGTGCCTCAAAGAGGTTGAAGTTAATAAAAAAGGGGTAGTTTTCGTTATTTTTTTTTGCATTTTGGACATACAAAAAATGTATCAAAAATTTTATTATAGTAAAAAAGATTTACTACATAAAAGCTCTCTTTAATATTTAGTGAAATTTACCATTATATGTGAAATATCGATTTAAAAGTTTGTAGATTTGAAATTTTACATAATCTTGAATTTTCTATTACAAATCTACAAACTTTCAAATAGATTTTTCACATATAACGGTAAGTTTCCTCTGAAATGATAAAGAGAGCTATTTCATAAGAAATCATTTTTACTATAATAAAGTATCTAATACATTTTTTGTATGTTGAAATAAAAAAAAAATTAAAAAACATCACCTTTTGAGGTGCATGAAGGAGTTGACTAATCATACCCAAAATTTACAAAAATTATTTTTTCAATGTACCTATCAGAATTTTAATCCTACAGTACACAATTATTGAAGTTTAAAAATAAGGACCACCCTAGCTAATACATAGTAATAGTTAAGAATGGTTATCAAGTATAAATTTTTTTTTACATTCAAAGTATTAGGTATAAGTTCTAAGGTTTTATTTGAAAGATTTTCGATCCAAAATCGGTATTCAAAACATGAATCCTTAACAGTGCTAATTGAAAGAATGTATCCTGCAGAATTGTTCATGGTAAAATCAGGAAATATTGTTAGTACGCGACTGTTTTGATTCCAATACAATGAAGCCAATACTAAATTGTTTTCTTCATTTTCTGTACTAAAATATAGTAGATCAATAGTTAAATTTATTTGAAATAATTTCAGCATTAAAAATCATTTAAAAAATAATATTGTACCTTAATTTAAATTGCAAAATAATAATAATTACCTATAATTTTAATTTATAACAAGAAATTTGAATAGACTATCCTGGCACTACGATCATAGGCATGTTCATGAGGAGTAGGGTATGCACTACAACACTCCCTGATAGATCAGGTGACCGCTACAGACTTATACTAACTTTTGTACCAACCATTAAACATGATTAAACAAAATTTAACTTTACTTTCCTAAATCTTTAACTTAAATGATAGTGGACTAGACTTAAAATTCAGGATCATTTCTAGAATTTGAATTTGGTATAACAAATAAAACTGTCCTTCAGTGTTTATTAGTAACATATTAAATGATTTTCTAAATATTTACAAAATATTAACTCTATTTATAACTATGCTGGTCACAAGTTGCTCTTGTGAGAGATCATTTCCTAAATTAAGTTTGTTGAAAACTAAATACAGAAGATGTATAATGCAAGATCAATTAGAGTCAATGATATTAATTATTGAGTAAGAATTTGCACCTTAATTAGATCTAAAAGATATCATTGAAGAGATTAAATATTTTAACAATACTCAATGTCAACTTGAACTTTAATATTAATTTAAACATAGTAATAATAACAAACTTATTATTTAAACATATTTGTATTATTTATTTTCGGTTAGGTTCAATCTATTTAGTATAATATAATGAATTTAGAAAATTGAAATCAAATTTTTTTTTTTATTAAAATGTCAGTGAGTACATACAATCTTGCTCATTAAAAAAAGGCATTAATATTTGTTTTCTATATGTTATCTATGAGTGGGTATAAATTAAAATTTTTAAGGTTGCACTTCCTGTGAATTTACATTTACTTTTAAAATTGAAATTCATAATTTAATTTAAAAACCTTATAAATATTTACTGAGTATATGCAGTTTAGTATCTGTTTTTATTTTTTTTTTAAATCTGTTGTGAATCTTATTTTAAATCTAATCCTTAGAAGTTCTAATTCAAAACCTTGATTTTCCTAAAATTGAATTTACCTACTGAATAAAATGTCCAAATATTATTAATAACAAATAATTTGTGTTAAAAGTAATGTTTGATCACCTTATTTATATTGCAAGTTAATCTTGTTGGTAATTATAAGGTTTTGTTCATTGAATTCTGTTTAATGTTTATGCTGACATTTTATATTTATTACTTTATTAGGTTTATTTTCATACCACTAGAAAAGCTAATTTAATTTAACTGATATCTTTTGTAAATTCACATTGGTAAACCTAAATTTCCAATAACTACAAGTTTAAGCAGTACGTAGACTACCAAAATTAAAAAAAAATAGATCTAAACCACATACTTTATAAAAAGGTTAATCAATAACAGTTCATAAAAACCATAAATAAATCTATTTTACAGTCTTTATACTATACAATTTTATCAAAATATGTTGTTATAATTAATCCTTATACCCGTTATTTCCAAGGTCCAAAAGTACATGCATTATTTGATTCAAATTTGGCAATCTGTTTTGTAATTTCAAAATGTCAGATGGTGAATCATCCAGAATGTTTTTAGTAAAAAAATTTATATTTTTCCTATTATTTTTTAACAGGCTCAATTTCTTAAATGATTCTGTGAGTATATTATTGTGAACCATAATATCATGCAAAATTGTTCGACCAGTCTAAAATATGGTAATTTGTATTATTTATTTTACCGAGATAATTAATTAAGTTATACAAATTATTATCTTACATGTTGATGATTAAATTCAGTTTTTAAATGACTATCTAAAAGTTTTCCTTCAATTGAAGAAGAAGTTTCTTCTAAGTCATTTTGATCTTGTGGTTCATTAGTGGTTTTTTCCATCCAATAAAATATTTTTTCAACCCTTTTAGTATTTTTCTTTTCAATTTTAGTATTTTTATGATGAAATGAAGTCCGAGATATTTCTAAACATACTCTAGAACATTTAATTATAAAATTAAATACAAAAATGTAATAATTACAAATTGTCCAATAAATTTTTTAAGCACAGTTTAGTGTATTTACATAGGTAGTAATTTGTATTTATATTACCTAAACTTAAAGTGTTCTATGGAACCTTCACATCTATAACTACCTAAATCGTAATCTATGTCATCTTTATTAGACATTTTTTTAGAAAGTTTTAATTAAATTTAATTAAGATTTAAACATATTAATCATACGCACAGAAAGCTGACAACAAAATTTAGTATTCATTATTTAACCATTAATAAATTAATGGGTAATACTAATATAATAAAATATGCAATACAAAATAACGAACATTAACACAATATTTATGCAACGCGAATGTTGTTACTTGTTACCAAGGTGTATTAATATCATCGAATATATCTCATAGGTTCAGAGGTTTAATCAACCTTGTTGTCCAAATGACATCATTACCATAATACAAACAAAATATTATTTTACATAAATTATAAAATAATATTGCTTACATACAAAAGTAAAAATCGTGATATTAAATATTAATCATGGATAATATAGATAATTTATACATGGTATTAACCACGATAGTATCATAAATAATAAAAAGTATTAACCATGGTTACAACCAAATATAAATTATCTATTCTCATAGATTAAAGAATATTTAGAACTTCTTAGAAATAAACATTTCATAAAGTATATTAATGTATGACGCATGCGCTCAACATAATGTTCTTTCAAAAGGACGCTTGATCATCCGCCATTCCGCCATCTTGCTACTTTTCTGTTCGTATTTTACGTCCTAGTGTCCAACTCCTTTTGTCTTATATTCGTTAATGTCAATTTTTTTTTTGGCAAATTGGTTTACATTTGTTGAAATTGAGTTATATTATTTGTAATTTGTTTTATTTTCTATTAAACGTTTATTAAGGTAAGATATTATTACTTATATTATTTGTTATTTATGAATTAAATAAGTATTTTGCTGTTCTATCATGTGTTTTGGAACAAGGATTTGTCCAAGTTGATAGTTTAACGTTTTAGTATATGGCTTATGATGAGAATAATTATGTAATCATAGTTTAGTAGGTACATATTTTAATAAATTCCATTACACCGTAACGTCTATATTTCGATGTTTTGGCTATATTCTGGTTTTTTGGGAGCCTACAATATAGGTTTTTTTATTATTTTATTAATCCTAACCTATCATCCACTTCATAATGTGCTTTTACTTATTATAACTCGTTCAACCTAAAATATTTTTTAAAAAATATTGAATTATATATTTATAATATATTACACATTAAAATGTTGGTAAATACTAATTAGATATTTGGTAATTATTGATGATACTTGGGAAATATTTTTTTATTCAATTTTTAATTTGAGCTAATTTTGGTACTTCATATTTTTATTTTGGAGTTCATATTTGTCCATATTATTTAAGAATTAAAATAACTTATCAGTAGTCATGTACAATAAATTTACTTTACTCTAAAATTATTAGTTATATTATATTTTTAAAACTGATTTCATTAGGCTCGTATATATAAAAAGCTAAGCATCTATGGCATAAACTAGAAATTGATAACTTGTATGGCTGTTGATACTATTTCATTTTCTAGCTAATTTAGCTGCAGTTAACTCTGTTCTGGCTATTTAGGTGACCCGCCTATTATATAAATTTTTTTAATAGGTACATACAATTTATGTAATTAGTAAACTCTTCACAGTTTTAAAATAAATCGTAATGTATGTTATGGTAGGTATACCGGTAAATGATAATAAAAGTAATCGAAAATATACTTTCCTTTTTTTCTTTGCCATTAATCAACGCAACTTAGGTTGATTACTTTTATTTAGATTTAGATAACTAGAATTAGAGTTATCTACTTCACTTAGATTGGATAAATACTTAAAAAAATAAAAATAAACCATAAAGTTATATTTTTTAATAACATTTTTTTTTACTGGTATACTGATATTGAATAGTTCGTCCAAATTCAAGCCATAACTTAAATATTTACATTAAATCCTTTTGACTGCAGTCTCTTTTTGCTATTATTTTGATGTCTTATTTCTAAATTTCTACTTTACTTAAATTGTCAAGAAAAATATCTATACATACTTCGCAGATGTTATTATTGTTACTAACCAACTTTTTGGTCTTATCTACTCTTCATTTATTTCATAACACTACTTTTAGGATCTTTGATTCATCACATGTTTGGATCATCCTATGCATCTCATCACATTAATACTTAACCTTAAAAGGTACTTGCAGTTTTAATTATTTTTACATAGATTGACGTAGCTGTTTACATTCAAAGATTAGTATATAAATTAGGGGGGATCTACTAGGAATCAAACCTTGTGCTTCCATATGCTGGATAAATACACTACCACTGTACTATTTAGTACCGGACTAAAAAACACTTTTTTATTGGACTTGAAATCTGACATCCTGGGTTTGAGTAGTTGTTGTTATGGTCCTTTGTTGAGAGAATGATGCAGCATTTGAGGCTGTATCAAGTTTCTTATATTTTTAGTATTTTTTTTTTCCTACATGGTCTAGGTATGCTTTGTTTATAAAGGTATTATTATGTATCTATTAAAGATAAGGAAAAATATGTATAATATATATATATATATATATATATACATTCTGTATAATTTCCGCTAACAGTCACCTCTATGTAACTGTCATTTTTTTTGGTCCTGTCAATTGTTATGTCTATAAGATAACTTAAAATAGCGGTCATTATTTTTGATCCCTTTGGTGACCCTTATATGAAAGTTTTACTGTATATATAAATATATATATATATATTGATGACTTGGATGTTTGATAATTTTAATAAGGTTTTAATTGTTTATTTTAGAAACAAATTCTGTTTAGTAAGCAAATCATATTATTATTCATTTTTTTTTTTTTATTTAATGTGTACTTATTTTTTGGGTCAGGATTTAATGTTTTAATCGAATTTTGACCATCGTACATAGTTAAGTGTAGTTATTAATATATATATATATATATATATTTTTTTTTGTCAATTTTCTTTGACAAGGTGTAAAATATTTATTAATTACATTTATTCTTGTTAGTAAATGTATGTAAGAAACAAATTAATTTATCATGATCAATTTTGAGTTAGTTCACTAATATAAGGAAATATGTGTACACAGTCAAACAACTATTTTTATTTTTCAAATAATTCATTATTTTTTAATGCTATTTAAATAAAATATGGAATAATATAACTTTATTTCATTGAGTATCTAGAAATAAATAGACAGATTTCAAATTATTTAATTTTATACATTTTAATTTGTAAAAAAAAAAAAATCAAGTCATCTCTTGTAACACTAAGATATGACATGAGACATATTATATAAAACACCTTTTCCCTATCATTTTTATACATAATTTATACAATTGGAATATTAGTATTGTTTTGAACTTCAAATTGAGGGGGGGGGAATTATTAGTTCTTTCTGTGTTTTAAAAATATATATATACATAGGTAGGTATTTCAAAAAAAAAAAAAATATATTCTAAGTATGATGGTCAAAATTGATTTAAGCCACTGATTGTCTTTACTTGAATTTTTTTGTTGATATTATTTTATAGCGAACAGACGTTTTTGAAAATCAAGTTATTAAATAATTTTTAAAGTAAGTAAGAACAATAAAATTTGATTATACCATTAACTCTATGTTAAAACACACATTTTGTGGTTTGAAAATATATAAATTCATGGGTTTTCAAGTATAATATTTATCTTGTTTTATAACGATTATTTTTTTGTATGGCTTAGACTTGTTTTATGCATTGACTTTCAATATTATTCATTATTAATACCAATGTTTTTCTTTACTCTGCCAATTTTTAGTTTATTTTTTAAGTATGGTAAAGAACAAGAAAATCTAAAAGTATAATTTGTCATATGTTTTGATATGATAATTCTATTACTCAAAATCCTTCGAATCCTAATGACGTCCGTCGGCGACACCGGTAGTTAAAATAAAAGCAAAGGTTTATTTTTTGATACAGCTGAATAATAAACCAATCAGTAATGGTTTTTTTAGAAAATCCAAATTGGTATTTTTGAATTATTTTACAATAATTAGTAATTAATTACTCTTTGATGGTGGTTTTTGTATGCAATAAAATATCATTTTTTTTTTTTTTAATCTTACTATTTAAAAATCTGTTTTTTATCTATTATATCACAAAATATAATTGAATAACTAATCAGTTTATAATTTATGTGTATTATGTTAAATTTAAAATTGTTTAAAATACATGGTAATAATGGACACTTGATGTTTAGAAAATTGTTAACTTTTCAAAACAAAAAAAAAATTATTTAGACAATTTAAGAAACAAACAGCTCTAAAATATTCAATTTCCATTATTGTCATGTTTATTTTTTGGGATGAAAGTATTCCCTTCTATTGATTTTCAAATACAAACCTATATTAAAAAATCTATAAATAGAATAGTATTAGTTAAATAAATATTGATGTTCAAATATTAGATATCCTTCAGCCCATTGATAAGATATTTTACTCTAAGTTTGAGTAAGGGGAGAATTGCGGAGGATTGTTGTGTAGTGGAATAATGACGTCTAATAGTGTTCTGTTAATCCGTTCTATGGTGTTTATACTACAGTTAACATACATTTTTAATTGAAGTGAGCCACATAATTGTTTTTTTTATCCCTATCGCCAATGTCTGTATACAGTGGTTTGTCAACAAACCGTCATACCATTCACATATTTTGAATCTTGTGTCTGAATATGCTGTTCTTATAGGCTGGTTTAAATTGAGCTGTTAAAATACAATTTATACTCTTATAATATATGTATATCTGTACTATTCATATCAAAAACCAGTTGCATGTTTATCGTTCAAACCTTTTTTTGCCAATTAGGGCCGTTCTTACTATGAGATTTTAGCTTAGTGGATGATAACCGGCAGAATTCCATCAGTTAAAAATCTGACTGTAAAACCTCTGGTAACCAGTGATTTTTTCTGTGACTGATCTATGTAAGAACCAACTGTCTGTTAAATTTTAGTATAACTGCCGGTTAGCGCTAACCAACACATAACCTAACCATACATTTTAGGAACAGGTCTTAGTCTTCAATCTTATGGTGTACCCAAGGTGAATTAATAAGATGTAAACACTTGACTTGTCAATTGATAGAAAACATTAAAATTGCCTCTAGGTTCACTGCTTACCCAGTAGAGGAATAGAAATATTATTACTTGTAAGTATTTGAATAGGAATTTTTTTTTTTTTTTATTAAAGCACATTTAAAATGATACACTTCTGAAGATAAATTATGATATATTTATTAATACTTATACATTATATAATAGTATAAAATAGTTCTGTATTATATTGTTCATGAATAATATAATGGTGTCAAAAGGTATTGCTTGAACAATTCAATATTTTGATGTGATTATTATTTGGAGGTTTTACTCTTAACTACTTTTAGTAATAATTAATACTAATACTTTTGTTAATAACATTATATTAAATATATTTTATATTAAGTCAGATTTTTTTAAACTTTTTTCTTTGTTTTGTCTGACACTTGGTTATTTTATTTTCTGGTGGCACAAATCTTTCTAGTATTTAAATAAAATTATATTATGTATGTGTATTAATATTTAATAATGTAATCAAATATATTTTAATAATTTAATTATATTATTAACAAAAATATAATTATATTGGATTGTTTAATCAATAGTTATCTACTTATTGACACATACCAGGTATCTATATTATATTATGTATTTATATGTATTAATAAATTTAGCATAATTTATCTTTATAGATTAATTATTTTAAATGCATTTTTAAGATTCAAAAAAATAGAAAATATCCATAATTTTAGTAATTTTTCTATTTAAATACATCCAAATAATACAAGTTTTGGTCCACTTATCGGGTAGGCAGCGAATTTAGCATCAATCTCAATTGCTGTAATGTTTTTAATCAATTTATCTTAAGCGGGCGGATGAAAGTGATTACACCTTATTAATCCACCTTGGGTACACCGAATTAATTATTGATATAAACCTTATCAATTTGTTCTTCTCGATCACAAATATTACTTGGCTTTTGAATGCATTGAAAGCCACTGTAGCTCTGATAGCATATCAGCTATAATACAATTATCAAAGAACATCTAAACATCTTTGTTTGGTGGTGGGGTTTTGCCAATTTGATAATGTAGTGCATGCACTACTTAATCTAATGATAAACACAAATAATTGTTTGAAATGGAAAGAGCCACAGTTGAGTGCAACATTTTTCAGTATAGTTTAAAATCTGATGGTTACTGGACGTTTTCTACATGTCCACGGTTGTCCACTTGTCTGATATTTTTCTTCTTGAATCTCTGATGTTATAGTGACAATGAACATAGTCAAAAATATGAGTCCAAAAACCAATTGGTACTATGCAATATGGCTGTGAAACTGTTACAAACAGTTTTGACTTAAAAACATCTATGTAAATAATACCCTAAATATTCATGGTATTAATTCATTTTGGTTTTTGTATAGTTTAATGTTTTCTGAAAATATCTATATTTATTATATAGGTAGTATCTAACAAATTTTTGAAATTGTATTGTATTCATCCTTATTTTAAGTCTTTTTCGTATAAGTAAACAATAAACCACATTAAGAATTTTTTTTTTTGAATACCTATAAGTGTAGTTTATTATATATGATATATATATATTGCATACGGTGGTTGTTATCAGGAGCTGGGTAAGCCTATCTAGCTGTAGAAGTACTATCTAATCGTTTGGTGACTGATCTAAAGAGTTCAGAATGAGTAATGGCACTAGGGTGTTTGTCGGCGGCCTGTCTCATCGCGTACGCGAGAGGGATCTCGAGAGGTTTTTCCAGAAAATTGGCAGAGTCAAGGATATTGCTATGAAGAATGGATATGCTTTTGTGGTAAGTGTACAATTTTATTTTAATTTATTTCAGCATGGGGAGTGGTTCAAGAGTGTATATTGGCCGTTTGCCTTATGGAGTGCGAGAAAGAGATATAGAAAGGTTTTTCAGGGGATTTGGCCGTATTAGAGAAATATTGCTTAAAAATGGCTATGGATTTATTGTAAGTAATAATGAGTGTTTTGCATAATTATAAATAAGTAGTTACTCAATAATAAGGGTTATATTTTATTTTCATATACATTATCCTTATACACAAATTATTTTATAGGAATTTGATGATTATCGTGATGCTGATGATGCAGTATATGAATTGAATGGCCGTGAACTTAATGGTGAAAGGTAATCTACAATTTTTTATTTATTAAAACATTTGTCTCTATAAAGAGGCACCATTCTGGGAACCACACTTCTTTTGAGATTTAATGAAGGCATATGTGTTTATTATCCATTATGATTTGTGTTGATAAACTTGTTATGCTCATGCATTTTTGTTAGCGTGTTGCTTACAAATCAAGTAATAATGGTGTGTATATCCAATGCAGTAGAACCTCAATTAATTGCCACTATTCTCATTGCAGTAAAATCTTATCGCCTTATGTTCAAACTGGTTTATCCGAAACTTTCTGACAACAAATAATTAAGTGATATCTTTACATTTTATGGGTGACATAAAAACAGTTGATTATGATTGTGGGCATATTTTTACCAATAAATAATAGTTATTATATAAGTATGCATGTCAATGATTATTAAAAAATAATAAATAATCTATATTTATGTTTATAAAGTTTATTTCTGTTTACCCTGTCTTCTGATTATCCATCAAGGCTCTGATCCCAAGGCTGATGGTTAATTAAGGTTCTACTGTACTACCCGTTATTTCAAAATGTATTGATTTGAAAAAAAAATTAAGATAATTCAGCAAAAATTCCCATTATTTTTGGTGGGAAAATGGCAACCTAAATTTAAAAAAACCATATTATATAGATTGGCTATGAGTTCTAATAAATTTTGTTGTCAACATTTTTAATTTACATCAACATGTTGACAAGATATTCTACTTGTAAGTTTAGGTAGGAAGAAAGTAGTACTACTTTTCTTGACAAGTTGACTTAAGTCAATAATTTCAAACACTGAAATTTATTTGAAATTTTACTCTTTCTATTTGTGGTGTTTTTATTATATGTTTCTGTTGGAAAATCTTATAAGGTGGTGGTTTTACTCCGAAAATAAGGGTGAGAAAAATAACATAGATTTAAAATTGCAGTTTGTTTATTAAATTTTATTTTTAAAAAAAATTGATTCTTTCTAAGATAGTGAGTTTCCCAGTTAAGTGAATTACATTTTAAAACTAAATCTAAATGTTTTATATTACGTGTAGAGTTTCTGTTGAACGAGCTCGTGGAACACCAAGAGGCAGTGATGTTTGGCGTGGCTCAGGACGTGGTGGAGATTTACCACCACCTCCACCAAGAAGACCTCGTCGTGATGCTAGGTATGTATTTTAATATGTTTCATCTAATATAATAATGTAAAAAAAGGCTGATATTTTGGATAAAAGTGCGGCCACTGTTATGTTAAAGGTGAGAAGGTTTAATACAAAAAGTTATTTACTTTATACCTGTAATCAAGAAAAATGATTTAGAACAACGTTTAGATATGCATGTTCTGAAAAGCCATAATATTTATGATTCTTATCATAATTTGATTTTAACCCTTAAAAAGAAAATTTAAATTACCCTTAATTTAAATATCTATAAGTAGCTCAAAAATTAGATTTGAAAGTTTTGTTCAGTTATTAAAAAAACTATTTTCATTAATTAGTTTAAAAACGAAACACAAAAGAATTTATTAGTCAATTAGTTACTTTATTAATTTCATTGTTTCTTATTTTCTAGTTTTTCTATATTCTAACAAAAACAAACTACCAGGAAAATAACAAAAATGAATTGCTAACTAGATTAAAAATTTAACAATATACAGTGTCATTTTTCTATTGGCACAATATTTATGGTAGAAAATATTAGCCTTACAAATTTTAAATAATACTAAATATGTTTTTGTCTTTTAGTTAAAATTATTATGATAAATAATTTAGATATCAGTAAAAGATTTTCTATCAATATTTCAGTTACTACTTTTACAGAACTGTTTAGAACAGGTTTTGTGGTTAAAAATAATATTATCCATATGATCTCATGGTACTCCATATAGGTATATTTTTTTTTTAGGCCTCTTGATGACCTCTTCATGTTGGACAATTCAAATTTTAACATATGTATTATTGTTTTCCTTGTTTATTAAAATAAGTTTCTTTATGTCACATATATTGTATACTATTTAGGTACCTGTTCCCATTATATTTTATTATTAAAAATGTTTTTTATATTTAGGGATGACAGAAATGATAGGTACGGACCACCAACACGAACAAATTATAGGTTAATAGTTGAGAATTTGTCAAGTCGCGTCAGCTGGCAGGTAAGAAATCATTTACATGGGTATTTATAATATTTCATTACCATTTTATATTTTATTTACATTTGTTATTCAAAGAAAAAAAAAAATGTTTTTTTTTTTTTTGGTTTACCTCTGATATAATTTTTGGAGATTTTATCTTGTTCATTTAATTATCTCCTGAACTTTTATTTCACACGTGGTTTGTTTTTGTGAGGTGCTGATAGACGTTCCGTCAATAATATATTATCTGAGGAAAGAACTTGCTGTTCTATTAAGGTTTAATCATTACTTTGTACTAAATTGCTCTGCTATCTAAAAGAAATCATAATATTAATTTACCATTCACTTTATTACCTATTTAATAATTATACAGACTCATGATAATTAAAAATTTATATTTTTTAATTTTTATCTTAATATTATAAAATGAATGGTTTAAGTAAATAGTTTGTTATAATAAAAAAATTCTTAGTTTTAATCGAAAAAAAAATGACAAAAATGACAAAAAAAAAAAAAAAAAAAAAAAAAAAAAAAAAAAATGAAAAAAAAATGTAATATTATTTTTCTAAAGAGCCACCACAATGTGTTGGGTTCGATCGATGTCCATACCAATGACATTAAACGCTTGATCGTTGGCCGATAACATAAGAGTGGCACAATCAGGCACATAGGCCAATACCACAAAAGATCACAGTACGATATCACACATTCCATTCCGGGCCTAGGATGATCGGCCTAACCACCAAAGGTGTTCCCAACAATACAAGCCGATCAGCTGCCCAATTTGGTTTACCCCCCATTCATGTCGCCCCACACATGGTCCGAGACCGAGTCGCTTTTCAATACCATTCCAAGTGTTTAAGAGGTATGTATTTAAATAATAACATAAACAATGTTTGGTATTTGATAGGCTTTTAAAATAAAATTGTAAAAAATCATTTTGAGAATATAAAACAAATTAATAACGAGTTAAGGACCTAGAGGATGCAGTAACAAAAAGCAATTTGGTATCAGTCATCAAAACAACAAGGCCACACGATCATCAAAAGCACTTAAATCAATCAACAAAACCCATTATGTGTAAAACCATCTTCAATTCACTAACAGCAAATGAGCATTTTCTTCCCATCATTAGTTCATTTTTCAAGTGAAGTCTTCCGAAAACAATCCCATTTTAAAATTGATATAAATTTGTACTTGGCGTAGAACTATTAATTTAACAATAGATATTATTATAGCAATACATATAAGGTATTTTTCAACATAATTTATGTATTTACCTGACTACAGGATTTAAAAGACTTCATGCGTCAAGCTGGGGAAGTTACGTATGCTGATGCTCACAAACAACGCAAGAATGAAGGGTAATTAATTTTTAAATATTTTTAATAAAATCAAAATTATTAAATTATTTATTTTTAAAGTGTCGTGGAATTTGCATCCTATTCGGACCTTAAAACGGCATTGGACAAGTTAGACGATACAGAATTGAATGGACGTCGCATAAGACTAATTGAAGATAGAAGCAGTAGCCGTGGCCGAGGTGGAAGACGTAGCCGTAGTCCATCAAGTTCTCGTTCTCGTTCTAGGTCTCGATCTCGTTCACGCCGCCGTGTACGTTCTCGTTCGAGGTAAAATATATTGAAATTAATTTATTTCTAATTGCCATCATTATTATTTCTTATTATTTTTATTAGAAGTAGGTCTCGAAGCCACTCCAAGTCAAAGTCAGAGTCTCGTTCAAAATCTCCGTACAAGTATGTATCTAAAAAACAAATTTGTATTGTTTTGTTGTTAAACTTAATTTACGATACAAAATATAATAAATATGTTACAATTTGAATTATTAGCCATGATAGTAATGAATAATTTTTTTATTTTGAATATTTTAGATCGCCAGCTCATTCCAAATCACGCTCTCGCTCAGGATCTATAGACAAAAAAAGGTCTCAATCACGCTCCCAGTCAATATCCAATAAACGTATTAAGTGAGTCATCTAGATACGTATTTAATATTTCTAGTAGTTTACAGATATTTTGAATATCTCTTTTATTGTACTGTTAAATAATTACAATAGGTATTTAGATATTTTCTTTGCTATTAAGAGCTGTGTTCTCTCTAACGTAGAAGAAGGCTTTTATGTGATTCTTAAACTGAGTTAATGGCTGATAATCTATCACAATTGTTTGATTATCTAATAAAACTGTTTAAAAATCATAGTTTATGTTGGTAAGAACTGGTCTAAACAACAAATTTAATATTTCTATTTAAAAAGTTCATATGTGCTAACTTTCATTTGATACTGCCAATGATTCATACTCTAATGTGAGCTTTGTAATTTATCCAAAATGTAATGTAATATAATATTGTCCACTTTTAAAACGAATAATTGATATCTTTGTTTAAGTATTAGTTAAATTATGTAAAATAATTGTAAAAAAAAATATATAAATTATTATTTTTAATATTTTAGACGTGATTCCCGCTCGCCAGATGAAAAATCTCGTTCACCATCTAGAGAAAAAAATGGTGATGCCAGTCCACAATCTGGTGATGATTAAAGATACTTATTGAATCCTCTATTATTATTTTTATGGCGATTTCAACTTTTTCTATCCAATTTAACTTACTGTACACTTAATCTAATTAATTGACTAGGTTATATACATGTTCATCGTCGTAGTTAAAGTATCAATTATCGATTTTACAGAACATTCATTTTGTATTGTGTGACTTTAAGATAACATTTTAAGAAATATTCTTGAATAATTTGTTTGACATAAAATAAATCGTTCACGAATTAATAAAATTATATCTGGTATTATTTTTTTTTCTTCTGTACAAGTGTTAAAACATAATCACTTATTTTATTTGTATGATGTGTGCAAGATGATTATAATATACTTATATTTTAGACGTGGTGTATTTCATATTAATATGTGTTTAATTAATAAAGTTCCCTTCCATTTTCATTATGTTTGTACATAATATTTCTTGTGTGATAATTTACAATACTGTAAATAATGGTGGGGTCAGTTTTAAAACTCGTTTGGTAACTCGTAGAACCAGTTATTGAGTCAAGAGTCAAATAATATCAAGGTTCATTAAATTGTCTTTGCAAGCTATTCACCAAATATCTAGTAGTGTGTATTTATTATAACATATACAAACATAGTGTATTTATTTTTTTTTTTTTTATTTAAAATAAATAGAAAATAATGAACGGCAAGTATTTATCAAAGAAATATATAACAAATTAGTAACTTCATAAAAGTAAAATTAAAACTATTAAACTTTACTGTTTCTAGGTTATTTATCTTTGAGTATTATTTTTTGTTTATTCTTAACTGCGTTGGCTGCTAAACCCTTAACTAAGAGAAATTCTACTGAAAATGTTCGATTGCCACCAACAGTATCTAATAACAATATACCAGACATAGATGTTTTTAATTGGAAACTATGCAAAGTATAAAAATTACAGTAGAATGTCTAATGTTTAAAATTAATTAATTTAATATAATATAGGCTTTGAATGATATCGAGGAAAATAATGCAGTTATATCTACTGTAAGTGTTAAGCTGGTGTTATTGGTTCTTTATGAAGGAGCATTAGGGAATACAGCAAAACAGATTGAAAATGTTGTCGATTTCCCTGCAGGTTCTAAATCAATTATCAGAGACCGATATTTACAAAAATTGCAATCATTACAAGTAAATATTTTATATTGAATACTTATTAAATTTAACTGATCAATACTTTGCTCAACTAAATAAATGTTAAACAAATTTAATATTATTGTGCTTTAGCTAATTTATGTAAAAATTAAGATATCACATTTATATTATTACAAGACTAATCATTATGTTCATTCTTTTGTGTTCACTATATAGATTTTATAAATATGGTCTAAGGAATATTTTATATACCTGTTATTCGTTGAGGCTTTTATTGCCACATATACATTTTCGGTGATCTTTTTTGTGTACAAATATATTAAAGAACAAGAATTTATTGTTTGAAAAATACGAATGGGTGGCCTTTGATATATTTTATGGAATTTTGTTGCTTTCATTACCAAGAGAAAATTAAACTGTAAACCTAACAATAAAATTTTTATTCGGCATACTCAATTAAATTTAATAAAAACTTACAAAACTAAAATACTAAGAAATAAAAATGTTTGTTATTGTTGTGTAAGGTTATCTAAGTTCAATGATGTTCTAGAATTGTGGAGGGGCGGACATGGCATTGAATATTGGGTGCGGCTTTTTTCATGAGTATTAATCTTTTCTCATGTTCTGAATTATGAAAAATTTGTCTGAAAGAGACCATGCCACGAATTAAGATAATATAATTAGTAGGTTTTGAATTTTAATTCATGCTATTAAACAGAGAACCCCTGACCTGATATTATAATATGATTATTGATTTTCTTGTTTGACAACCCGGAAGTAACTCACCCAACGTTCAAATTGATTAGTATAATTGATCAATAAAAGTAGGACGTGAGAGATCTTTGATTCAATTTCTATGTTTGAGTTATTTTTTTAACATTGATAAATTGGTCAACTATGTAAATCGAGAGGTTGTTTACGAGATCTAATAGATATGTTATTTACAATGACATCTTTTGTAGGGACGAATCACAATATCTCTATATGCTGACATTTTAATATAGTGTTTAAAATAAAACCCATTTCCTATAGGACTTAGGTACCTACTTGACATGAATGTGAATATAATATGCTTTATACTTAAATAATAAAATTAGTGGCATACACTTATGTGTTTAGATGTTATTAAACAATATTTAAGCTCAGTTATTTTAGATACAGTTTTTAAAATTAGTTTCCCAATTACAATATATTATCCATTTATAAATATGTTTCATCAAAAATAAATGAATCCCCTAAACTATAATGACGGATTTGCATACAATTATTCCTATATTTTGTTTGCCTATTGAATATTATATCAAAATTGAAATGGACATCTAGTTAAAATTTAAAAGCAATGTTAACTAGGTGCTTAACAGGTATTGATTAATCAACTTTGCCTATTGATTTAAAATAATTTTGGCTCTACATGTTGATTTATTGTTGGTAGGTACCAAATTATATTTAATTATTTTAAGTATTTACATTTTTAACTAGAGTCATAAACATAATTACGAATTGGATATTGGCACAAAATTATTTATGGATAAACAATTAGTCCCAGAAAATGAATTTCTAAAAACTATTAATCAATGGTATAACGCAAGTTATGAGGAAGTTGACTTTAATAAGCCAATAGATGCTGTGAATGTAATAAATCAATGGGCAGAAAATATTACTCATGGGCGTATTCAACATTTAATAACTGAAGGTTAGTAACAATATTTATGACATATAAGATTAATTTAATGTTGGAAATTTACTTTTTGGGCATAATGAAATAATATAATATTGTCTAATAATTTTAAAATATTGTTTTCAATAAATTATCACTTCATTATAATAAAATAAATTGGTTTGTTGTTTTCAATCTTAAAAGTAGAAACATCATTAATATATATTGTGGTATATTTACAACTGGCATATAATATATAAATCCCCGCCATTGAACACTTAAATTTTTTTAAATATGATTTCTGCCGTATCTACCGTTACCAGTACTATTAGCACTACCTGTTTTGTAAATTGTATGTATTTATAGTATTAAAAAATACAGATCGATTTGTTTATGCCAAGTTCACAAAAACATCACCACTCACTGGTTTTTCCGTTCATGTGTGGACCCGGAATCTGGCTAATTATCGGAATACAGTCTGTAAATATAATGACTATAGACATGTACTCCAGTTGAAGGTCTCATATTATTGATTAATATTTCTATTGAAGGTACAATACTTTGATGTTTATTTCCATTATTTGTTTGCAGAAAATGAGTGGGGAAACAGTTATTTTTCTCCACGGGATGAAATGTTTTCCAATGTACCTTTATTCCCACCCGTGATAATCTTTTAAAATATTAAATATGCTATAGGCACTGGCGGTTATAAATTAACTTTAAATATCAAGTACACCTACTTATACGTCTTATAGATAGATAACTCAGGGGCGTTATTTCAGTTTTTCAATAGAGATGCAAACATTTGGATCAGATCGATATCACTCCTACAGACCATGTATACATGGTATACATACTTGTACATGTATATTTATCCTGTTTACTTTGCGGAACTCAAAAATATTTCTCTTAAAACAAAATTAAGAAATTAAAATTCTGTACCTATACTTCTATTTTTTGTAAATTTGTTGACATTACAACTATAACATTATAACAGCTATGTTAACAATTAATCGCCTATCATGTCTCACTTTCACAACTCGGGTCTTAGACAATTGGACACCAATTTTTGTCAATAACATAATTATTATAGGTACTCGTCATCTACATACTATATAAGTATAAAACCCGTGGTCCGTCCAATATGTCTGTAATGCTTTGCGCTATGGGGGGAAAATCTCGGTTCAAAATATTATGCTTGTTTTCAATTGAATTTATGACGATTCTATCTATTTTCTATAATTTCGAGCCGGTGAAAATCGCTTATTCGGCGCTGATTGGATTACTACAAATCAAATAAATAATATTACGGTGTAGCTGAATTAGTTTCCGTTTTTGAAAAAAAGGTATTTTAGCCATAGACGGAGATTGGAATCATCCAAAGCACCTCTTAATTGTGAAAAAATGAATAAATAATTATTTTAGTCCCCCTCTCTCTCTCTTAAAATGACCTTTTATCATATAGTTTATTACGTTTTTATGTGTTGTAACAAACTGGTATGCAGGTATTATCATATACAAGTGATGATTCAATTATACAATGTTATTTTTACTTTTGACATATAACCACTGTTATAAAAATTGTTTTTAAAATATCTTAAATATTTTTCATAATAATTGGGAATAATCAAAAAAGACGAAAAACACGATTATTATTATTTCAAATTTGTATAGCTAATGTCTACTACTAAAAATATTGCTTCAATAGAAAAACAACAAGAGATATTTTTTGTTCAATTTTTAATCTAGTTGGTGATGAAGAAAGTCGTTTTTTATTTTCTTTGTAGTTTTTTTAACAATTGAGCAATATTTTTGAATTTTTTTTAAATATTTAAATGTAGTGATTTTTATACGTAATTTTTTTTGGCAAGTACTTTATAGATCAAATTGTTAGACTAAATAGAAGTACTTTAAAATTTAATAGAATGTTCATTATAAGTCGTACTTAGTGGTAAAAAATTATTGAGTGTACGTACCTAATGTAATATTTTTTTAATTTAATTTTTTTTTTTTATCAAATTTTGACGAAAATTGTAACCATTATGAACTTTCAATATATATACCTTTACTTTACTTCATTATTTCTTGTTATCAATAGTTTATCTTTGGTTACAGGTATAAATTAAATACATAACTTAATGTATTTCATGCATTGATTTTACTATGATGTGTTTTTTTTTATATCTGTTAAAAACTTTTCTACAAGAATTCTTGCTTGGATTTTGAAGTGACACATTTTATTTATAAAACCTAACTTTATCTAAATAATATATTCTGAAGTACCGAAAAGTGTAGGAAAACTTGAAAATGTTGGCAATAATGAATATAAAACTGCCTAATGGGTGAAAAAATTACAAAAAAAAAATTCGTTACTTAATACATAAATTGTGGGGTTTAAGTTAAAAATAATGTTGAAACTTAAACAACACTTAAAGAGAAGAATATTCTCGAGGAGGATGTACATATTTTTTTGGTCATAAAAAAAAAATTATAGCTTTATTTTTTTTAATTTTTTTTTTTTAAATAGTTATAACTTTTTTTTGAAAAAAGATACTTAACAACCCTTAGAAATATTATTTTCTGTACATTTACTTACTTGATGTTAAAATCTAAATTCAACCCGAATGCCACAATTTGTGTTCTAAGTAATATTACTTTGCTATGTTGCACGTTAATTAGACAGAGTCACACATGCATGTATTACATCCTCTAAAGATCAAATTATGACGGAAATCTTAAAAATTTAAATACAAAACGATTAAAAAAAAACTAATATATTACACAGTTTTTTTGAACAATAAATACCTACAATTTATTACAAACATCGTGTTAAGTTTTAAAACACAGTATTATACAAAACCAAAAAAATAAACAATTTTAATTACCTGTAAATGATAGCTTATAAATTGTTAGAATGTTTTTGGCAATTTTATCACGTTTATAAAGGATTAAAGTGTTTCAAGTCTTATAATTATTTTTCTCGAAATTACAAAAATACTTGTCCTAGAATAATGGGGACCGGTGCAGTCACTGTTACAGGTGAAAAGTTAGGAAGATAGTAGAGGGGAAATCTGTAATCAACAATTCTATAATACACCATTATTTTTAATGAAAAAAAAGATTCTGAGCGAAATTTGGTTAATAATGTTGCTTTGACAAAACAATAAATATGTCATATGGTGGTTAAATAATTGCATATGCATTATATATATTTATTTAATATTGTATCTATTTTCCTGTTTTTCCTACATTATTCCTAGTTATTGGAAAATCAAAAAATAACCTCCTTAAGGTACTTCTCTAGTCAGATTTTCTTTTAGAAAAGGTGCTATCATTGTAAATTGGAGCAAAATTGCTGGTAGAAAAGATGTTAAAAGAAAAAAAAAAATAAATAAACATTGTAAAATCAATACATTCCTCGCTTCAGTCTAATGAATCTAAAAATATAAATAAATTCTAAAACAACGGAGAAAACATTATTACTTACATTTTCCTGTTTTTTTTTTAATCTTTTGTCGATTCTTCTCTCTAATGCACAAATTAAATTTTCTTTCTGAAAAACTGATACACTTGATAATCGGAGCAAGATTCACAGTAGAAAAGTGGTTTGATGACAGAAGAAAAGAAGAAATATATAGGTAGATGGAGTATTTGTTTTAATACATTTTCGTGCGCAAATTTTTAATTTCCATTTAACCCGTTAATGAGTTATTCCACTTTTATGTTTGCTGTTTTATTTGTAGGTGAAAATGGGAGAGTTGTAGTGCACTATTTAAACACTGCACACCGTGTTGCTACACAAATAATAATTATGTTACATTTGCATACCCCAACACTACATATTATAACATAAATAGTATAATGATTATTGTTGTTTGTTTATAATTATCAATTTTATATTTTAATGTCTATTTTAGCTGAAACTAAAGAAAATACAGTTCTTCTTTTATTGAATGCTGTATATTTTAAAGGCTATTGGGCAAATCCATTTAATGCAAATCTTACTAAAAAAGGATCATTTAATCTAAATTCAAAAACTGTTGTTGAAGTTCCATTAATGACTATTTTTGACAGTTTTCAATTATCTACTATAGAATCACTTAATGCTCGAATAATTAGCTTACCATATGAGGTAAAATAAAAGTATATAATTATTGTTTTATATTTATTGTATGTGTATCTAGTTGTCATTATTAGAGTGTGTTGATTTTAATCTAATTATCTAACTGATATTATAGGGGAACAAATTTGTTATGTATATTATATTGCCAGATTCTAAGGATGGCTTAAATGATTTGATCAATAAAATAAAACCATCATTGTTGGGTGAGTCAATAAAAAATATGAAGACACTTTCAACAAGAGTTGTACTACCGAAATTTAGTTTTGAATATACATCAATTCTTGGACCAATATTACAAAAGGTTGTTATTTTTTATTAATACATTTGTTTACATATAATTTTCAATATAGCTGCTTTCCCCCTTAATAATTGCTGTAATACTTTCGCCTTATACCTCTATAAATCCTAAACTTCTGGACATCTTTATTATTCTTAAAAATTAGTACTATTTAGTTAAACAAATGTTTATTCCTATTATCTCGCTATTTTTACTCACTCATTGTCTATTTAAAAAGCATTAGAGTAACTATTAAATTTTATTTTTTCTCAATACTTTCCAAAACTTCACAGATATTTTGTCTGGTCCTATTGTTTTCTTGTACTTCATTTTACACTTTATCACATTTCCTACTTCATCCTCATTTATTTTATTTACCAATTGATTTTTCTTCGCCTACTGTTTCTTGGCAATTACCAGAAAGAATCTTATAAATAATAATAAATCAATTAACCAAAGTTAAACTCTGTTTTTTCTTTACCTTTGATAGTAGTATCTATGTAATCTAAATTAAAACTGTAATTTTGAACTAATTGATTTTTCACCAATAGTTAGGAATGACTGATATGTTTGGAACAAAAGCAAATTTAACAAACATAGGAAAAGGTCCATATGGTAGTCTCAAGGTATCAAATGTACTTCAAAAAGCTGGAATTGAAGTAAATGAGCAAGGAAGTATTGCACATGCTGTGACGGGTTCGTTTTAATTACATTTTATTTTCAAGTGGCTAACACAGAATTAAAATAAGATAATATACCATTTATTTTTAATAATTATTATTTGTTAAATCTTTATTAGTTATTCATTTGAAATAACTTATCTCATAATTTTCATGAAAGAGATGTAAACCCCCACTATCCTTCATTGTTATTTTACAATACAAGAATTAAACCTATCATATTTTTATGTTAATTAATTAATTTTGTTAATTCAATTGTAGAAGTTGATCTAGATCATCGATTTGGCACATCAGTTGAAGCTGTTTTTGAAGTCAATAGACCATTTTTATTTGTGATTGAAGATATTTCCATGCATACCATAATATTTGTCGGAAAAGTAACAAATCCACTTTCACGAGGCTCAACAGTAGTTTCTATACCATTGATTAATACTTCAAATTCAACCACAATAAAACGTAATTGTACAATATTTAATATTCTTACAGAATCACTAGAATAGTCAGTGGTTTATTGAAAATAAATTATGACAAAATGAGAAAGAAGATTAAAATAGAATGATAATCTCCGTTATTGAAATAATAATCGTATTATGCATTTATAAAACAGACTGTAACCTGTTGAATGATGATAATATAATAATATTTATTAATAAATATTTTAAACTGAGGGGAATAGAGGTTCGATTTTAGAATATTCTTGGTCACAAGGTACAACAATTAGGTCTTTGATGTATAACTTCTATTAAATAAACAAAATCTAAAAACTGCTAGATCTCTATTTTTTAATGTATTTATATTTTATTATTTTAGCTGTTGTGGAAAATAATGATGTAAGAATTAATCTGGTTCAAGATACATTTCCATCGTCATTTTCCTATTTTGATTATGATTTATTTCAAGTAAATATTTACTAATATTAATTTTATTTAAGTGTTTTTAATGAAAATTTAAAATAAATATTCTCAATATGTACATTATTATGAATAATATGTATTTATGTTTTTTTTACATAGGAACTTAGTGCTGTTCATCTAGATACAAATTTTGTGGTTTCACCAGCTAGTGTAAAAAGCATTTTATCATTATTATTGGAAGGTGCCCGTGAAGAAACTTTAAAACAATTAAAACGTTTATTGCGTTTACCAAATGATCAATCTGAATTACATAATTTATTACGTTCAAATCAACTTTCAATGAAGAGCAACATAGTTGAATTAGTAGTGGTTAATAATGTTTTTGTTAAGAATAAGAACAGTTTATCTATTAATTTCAAGGATATTGCAATTGATTTGTATTCTGCAAAAATATCTGAAATTGATTTTGCAAATATTGATGCATCAGTAAAAATGATCAATGAACAGGTTTCCTCTGATACAAAAGGACTAATTAACAATATAATTTCTAAAGGTGCATAAGAATTAAGTTAAAGTATTAAAAATTAAGTTTTGTTCACTTATTTTAATAGTTATCTATGTAAAAAAAAAAAAAAAAAATACTTTTTACTTGTTAATTAAATACAATATATTTAATATATTAATATAATTAATAAAGCACTATTTGAGAATTGTATATAGTACACATATAATAAATTAAAAGAATGTTACAGATGATTTCGATGGAAATACTGAACTTTTATTGGCAAATGTGCTTTATTTCAATGGTGATTGGTTAGTGGAATTCAATATAAGTAATACTAAAAATGCATGTTTTTACTCAAAACCTAATACATGTACAGAAGTCAATATGATGAATTTACGGGACAAAATAAAATATGGGTATATATCAGATATGAATTCTCATGCCATTGAACTACCTTACAAGGTAATTTATTTATTAATAAGAAACAGGCTTGTGCCCAACAAATAAAAAAAAAAATTGAAGATTTATAAATAATAAGCAAGGCCTATAATTATGTATAAAGGAGTAAAAATAATAATTTTCACGGTGAAAAACAAAGAAATTGAAAAACTTATTTTTCCAATAATTCTATTGTTGGAGATACCATTTGTTTCATTAGGAGGGTGGAAAAAGATTTCTGGTAGTAAAGTTGTTATAAACTCAAAAAACAAGTATAAAACTGATCAGTAATCAATAATATTCGGAAAATAAAAATAAAATACTTATATACATACACCTAAAATATATTTTATTATATACATTCTAATTCTACATTTATTTTACAGGATACTAATATGTCTATGATTGTATTATTACCTGATGAACAAATTCCATTTACACATTTTTTAAAAGACTTAAAACACAATTCTTTACCTACAATAATAAATTCATTGCAACCAAGAAATGTGGATTTGCAATTGCCACGATTTACTATGAGCTATTCTACAAAATTGTCAACTGTCCTTAAAAAGGTAAAAATAATACTTTTAATAAATAACAAGTTGTGTTAATTATTGTATAATGATATACAGTATTGTATTTCCATCATGTGTGGCATAACCTACAAAACAGTAATTATTCTTTGTGACAAATTTTAAATAATCCTTAAATTAAGTAGGTGCTCACCTTATAAAACAACGGATGTTTTCATACCGGTGTTTAAAAATAATTGTAGTTTAACACTAGTTGTAAATATGTTTTGTATGAAATCTGTAAATATATTTAAAGTTAATTATATTTAGATGGGATTAACAACAATATTTGATGAGAACGCAAATCTATCATCAATATTTAATCCTATTAAAAAAGTGCACGTTAAGGACGTCACACATAAAGTTATAATCGAAGTTGATGAAAAGGGCTCTAAAGCTGGTGCAGTTACAGGTATTTTAACAATTAGTTTCTATTAATACATTTTTACTTATTTATTTTTATTTCATTTTAATTTCATATAATGAATATTGGGTCCTACTGAGAACACTGGTGTGGAGGCTCAATAGTTTTTACAGTGTTATAAATTAAATATATATGGTTACAATTAAATACAAGCTAAGACATAGATCATGAAAAAATAGGTGGAATATGTATTAGAATTAATGCATATTTGATAAAGGCCATTACTATAATAATGACCTTAATATCATGTATTTGTGACATACATCTGTAGGAGGACTGGAAAACTAATATTACTTATGAGATGACTATTTTCAAAATATTCTGTATTGAAATATTAATTATAACATACAATATAATATATTCCAATATATTAGTTTGATGAGCATATTTATACATGATTTAATCAGTTCGGTTTTTACCTATATATAAAATATTTTTTTTTATTATTATATTGAACTTTTTTTTTTGAATATGTTCATTAACAACTCAGTGAATATTTAGCCAATAAAAAATTGATATGTTTATTTTTTTAATATTTCATAGGTATGACCTAATTATATATTGTGGATATAAATCTCATTTTAATATACGCAAATTTCGAGTTATTGTTGTAAAGTTACAATTGTATTACTATAATAACATATAATTAACATATTTTATAAATATTTAAATTACGGTAAAAATCAAGTAGTCAATTTAAAGCACTGTATTAAATGTTTGGCTGATCAAATCATGTTTAATATTGTTATTTATATTTTTTTTAAGCAATTATGTATTAATAAAATAATTATATTTTGCAGTTCTTAATGTTGTAACTCTGAGTAGTTTTTCAACACCTCAATCACCAACGGTGCCTGTAAATATAAATCGGCCTTTTGTATTTTATATAATTAACCGTTTAACCAAAACTGCACTATTCAGTGGCCAAGTACAAAATTTAAATCCTTCTACTGAACAAAATAATTTGATGAACCCACTGCAAGAAACTGTCTTTAGAATACCATTCGTTCAAACTAATACAATAAGTTCTCCGTCTATTGCATTGAAACAAACACAAGAGTATCAACAACCAGTACCCACAGATTCAAAAAGTGTTGTCTACCCAATTAATACAATTCAAAATAATTAATCTCTTTTGGTCATGTTTGAAAATGATTCTAAATTGATTTTTGTTTTAAACATTATGCTTACAGTGTGCCTATTAATATTATAATAGCAGTATTAAATTAGGTTAAAAATGTGTATTATATATATTATAATATTACCTAATTATATATATATATATATATATATACATTATACATATACAGAAATACATTAAACAGGTATATGCCATATGAACAACAAACATGACATTAAAATTACTTTAAAAAGCTATTAAATAAACTTCAAAATTCATAATTTTTCTGAAAGAAATAATGTTTTACATTTTTTAATAGAAGTACCTATTTTATGAATTACTAGCTGTCCCGCACTTGACGTTGCTTGTACCAATTTTTATTATTTTTACCTTTATTCGCGTTTTACTTTGACTATATCAGAACTTAAATTTAATGAAAAAAAAATAGGTGGAAAGTGTTTCATTTTTTCATCTATTACCATAGATATTCGCACAATACAGGTCACAGGGATTAAACTATATATTCATTATAATAACGCTAAAATAATGGGGACATAATAGTACTGTTGCAGTACTGTAACCGTAAAAAAAAATTTTATAATCAGTTTTTTTTGTCATAAGGTTAGGTTTGGTGTACAATGATTAATCATTGCTAACGAAAAACGATTTCCGTTAAGATTTTGTAACCTCTACGAAAAAAAACTAAAATAATTTCACCGCTTATTTTTTTGGACGAAAATAAAATAATATTTGAAAATGGATAGCATTTTTTTATGGAGGGGGGGAATTCGCGTGATGGGCCGGCGATTATTCACACAGAAGTTTTCCGATTACCATCCACCGGTTGTTGCATGGACGTCCTCTTGGATAGGTCGTAAGAGGTCGGATGGCGGAATATGACTAGGGAAATCCGAGGGATGTGCGTTCAACATCTTTATTATTAGCTGCACTTTGTCCACAGATCGAATTTCTTCCTGTACATATACACATTGCGACATCGTAGTACGGTGAAATTAATATCTTGCACGAGGTTTTGCAGATCTTGTTAATTAGACTTCTCTATCTAATAGACAGAAAATCTGGCCGCTGCTGTCTTACAAGAAGAACACCAAACTCTAGAGGCCCCAAACACCGTGGGGGTTTCGAATTGCATTTTCAGAGGGACTCGCTCGGAATTATACAAACATCATCATCGTCGAGACCGTGGGCCATGTCTTGGACTACGACCTCGAGTGGAGACTTGCTCACCATATGGCGAATTGGACGGCTGAACCACGCAAGACCTCACTCAAACGTACGGACGTTAAGCGGTTGATATCGGCAATGAAGGAACACAAGCGAGGAGTTATGGTACGAACGTTCTGTGAATAACATGCTTTAGTCGCGCCACCAAAAACCTATTGATGCCGTTGGGGGTAAAACGAATAAATAATTTTTATACATCATTACTACTTATTTTCGGAGAAATGGTAAATATGACCACGGATTATATTTTGCGGAGGACATACGAATCATAAATATTAATTAATTGCATAGTTACCTATTAACGCATAGGCGCCGACTTTTAGTTTTAACACGGGGGGCAAATAAAAAATTTAAACTACTGTACATGTACATAATTTACATATATATAACGTCATAATCGTGGTAATTTATCTCTAGCCATATTCAGCCAATAATTTGTTTTGATGAACGTTTCTATGTTAAAACTCATTAAATGCTATAATCAAATATACTCAAATAAATTGTACCCATACACAAAAATACTATTTTTACGTTTTACTTCCGTTATAATAGAAGTTTGAGGGCTATGTATCCCTTAAAATTAAAATTCGGGGACGATTGCCTTTGTGAAGTCGGCGCCTATGTAATTAACGTATATGTCCATGATAAAAACAAAATATGGTTATATGAGGCGTTTTAGATATTTCGATATTAATTAATCGATAATAAACACCGATTTGATATAGATGAATCGCAGACGCTTCGTCCCTGTCAAAAAGTGAGTTCACGGACGTTTCGTCCTCGGCAATTATTAAGATAGGACGTTTGGTCCTGGGGAGTTATAGCCATTAAAATAAACTGCTAACTGTATAGTTCCCACAATCAAATATTGACCCCTTGAACATATGAGCTCTGCTATTAATTATTATTTTTATTTTATTTTTTTGATAAGTAATCACTTAATTAAGCAGGTGTCTGATTTAATTTTTACGACGTCTAGAAAAGACAATTATTAGTCTTCTGTCCAAATTTCAAGTCTCTTCAAACGTTTTGAACTGAATTACAATAAAAACACAAAATTGAAAATAATTAAAGCATTATTTTCCTAAATTATCCCGTTTTCCCTGCGTTTTTGTCCTGTTATTCCCGATTATTATGAAAACTGCTTTAAAATCAAAAAATAACCTCTTTAAAGTACAAACTCGATAAAATTTCTTTTCAGAAAAGGTACTATACTTGATATATCGGAGCAAAATTTCTGATAGAATATTTGTACACAATATAAACAAAAATAATAAACATTATTGTAAAATCAATGCATTCCTCATTCAGCTCAAAATCTAAAACTATCCTTTATTATTTTTATGTAAAGGATGATGAATATAATCTCATAACTAAAAAAATATTAGTATTATTCATTGCAACATATAAGAATTAAAGACAATGTTTCATTTTAAAAAAGATTTTATTATTATTTTTACTCTCGTCATGATTTCATTGGAATGTATGTAATGAATTTATTACGGTTGGTTTATTTATTTTTTATGATTTTAGGTATCTATACCTATAGATAGGTACATGTTTTTATATCCAGTAATTAATTCGTAAATTAGTTTTTTCTTTTTAGATTTGAGGAAGCATATATCATCAATTGCTCTCTTGCTTTATTTAATTAAAAATTAAATTAAATAAGATTAGTAGGTAATTTAGAATAAGAGCTGATACTGTTGACGAGTGTGCTACTGTTGTAGCTGGAAAATTGAAAAGATAGGATAAACTCATTTCATTAATTATATCTCAATGATTGGATAAATTATTGAAAAAGAAATATGATTCTGAGCAAATTTTGATTAAATATGTTATGCAATTATGTATTTTTTATGATTTTCGTTAAAATTTGATTTTAAAACGCTTAAGCTTTCTGTGTTAAACCTCTTTTGAGTAACGAGAACCCCCATACGTTTAATTTAATATATTTTGCAACATTGCAAAGTCTTCAATTAAAAATAATTGGCAATTGATTATATTTATCAATGCTTAGATAATAATACTTAAGTAACCGAAAAATTGTATTTATTTTTTTTTTATTAAATGATCATAACGTAACTGTCATCTATTTGATCAATCGTATGAAACTTTAGACTTACTACTGGAATATAACAAAGAATAACAACCACGGTTTTTTAAAAGTTTCGCTCACTATCCGCGTTAATTTTTCTACTTCATTTTCAGCAATGAGACGAATAAAAACTTAGCTCCTTAATTCAATGTGGCAAGATAGGTTTACAAACTCACCTTTATTACATATTGAAAGGGATGTATCAAAAAGTTTATGCGTTGATAGTTTACTTGTACTTTTATTTGTAAAAACGGATCATAAATTTAAGTTAAAAATTTAACATTGTGACATATTTAATCATTTTTTCAATACATGATTATTATACATTATAGATAAAATAGTGTTTTTATTGTTTCTTTTTATAAGAGTTAAGTCCATGGACGCTAGGATTAAACATTTCGCGGGAGCAAACTTATTATACTGTATTTTTTGTGTTAAACATGGAATACAACTATTGTAAAACTAATAAAATTAATATTATTTCAATAAACGAATGTTTATTAAAAATTGATAATTACATATTGTTAGTTTTAAATTCTGAGTGGAGCGAAGAAGCTTATGATTTTACAAAGATGTTTATTTTTTTTCTCTGTACAACTTTTCTATGAAAGGACTTGCTCCGATTTTTTTGTACAGTAACTTTTCTGAAGGGAAATCGGAGTGGGGAAGTACCTTAAAAAGGTCATTTTTCGATTTTTTCAAAAATTTTCTCATCAAATGTGAAAAACCAAAAAAAAAAAAACCAGAAAATTTACGAAATATAATAAATATAATATTACCAATTTTTTTTTTGTGGACAATTTTCTACCACCACTTTTAATGATAGCAATATTTCTGAAAGGAGATTTCACTTGGAAGGTACTTTAAAGAGGTCGTTTTTCCATTTTCCCTGAAGTTTTCTCAACAAATATGATAAAGTGGGAAAACTGGAAAAGTTGGTACAACATACAACAAATAATATTAAAGGAAATATATAGAGCCTATTTTTATTATTTCACTATAATATGGCATATATATTGTTGACAAAGCATCACTATCTACTGAACTCAACTAAGAATCGTTTTTTCTTAAGCAATAGTTTATATCATTGCTAACAGGTATACACTAAATTACCCATAACAGTGGCTGCACCCGTCCCCATTATCTTAGGACATTTTTTTTTTTTTTTATTGATCGAAAAAAAAAGAATATGTACTTAATATTTTTAATGATATAATTTTGTTTTCGATTGTCTATTTCATTTAGGTTATGCTTGTGTTAGAGATAGAGTATTAGAGATTTTTAAAAGTTTTACTAGTGATATTTGGTTTAATATACATAATAATATTATGTACATTATACAAATTAAATTACCTTAAATATTCTTTTTTCTCGATTTCTCATTTACAACATTGACATAATCATGATGCTAAATATTTCGGTTTTTTTTAAGTATAATTATAATATATTTGCGTATATTGTTTCATTAAAATGCTATGTGGTCTATAGGTATAAGAAAATGTGACAATATTTTGAAAAAAAAAAGGAAGAAGTTTAATTTGATTGTAGGTAGGTTATTAGAAGGCTTCGTATAAGAAGCCTTTCAGAACAGTATATTATGGTTTATTTATATTATATATTCAACGACATTATTGTACAGCGCTGATTCATGCAATAACATATTATACGTCGTAACATGTGGCAGCACTGTGCGTATTTCTCCCGATTTTTCCTATTCTAAGCCGCCAAAACGCCGCCATACAGTTTCCTTCGTCGCGCGCCCGAGTGATTTACGTTGTTCTCCAGGTCGTCTAAAATAAAAAAAATATGTCTGGCACTTTTTTCAAATCGTCGTTTACCATCAATACGAAAATGTCAAATGTCGAAAGTTCAATATCGATTAAGTGAGTATCACTTTACCTACCTATTTTATATAATAGTTGAAATTTCATTTGTATGATTTTTTTTATTATTACATACTTATACAAATAAAAATTCTAGTATTTTTCTTCTCAGGTTTATATATTAATTTAAATCGTTTTAAACATTTATGTAGTCACCTAGTTTCAAAACTAACGTTTTATTTTACGTACCTATATTTTGATTATATATTGTACCTTTAGATATTGTGATTTTCCCTCATAACCCCTTATGCGTTCATTTTTTCTATATTAACAAATATATACCTATATATTATAACAGACACAATAATGTATAGACATAGACTTCTTAACAAGGATTTTTAAGTTAGTGAGTCATAAGCCCATTTATTATAATATTACATACATACTGAAATGTTGACCTAAATATTACTATGGGGAAGGAATTTACCACATCTTTCAATCACATCCATCATGTTTTTTAATCTTACTTTAAATAATAATCAAGGATATATTGTAGAAGAAAATGTTTTAATTAAATATAATATGTTTGTCTGTATTATTATTATTAAGTATTTTTTTTTTTTGTTGTTGTAAACACGCAGTCCCATGGGGTGTTAAAATTACGTTTACAGGAGTTAAGGCCCTTCTATATATACAGTTATGCCGATGTGAATAGTAACACAAAATATTACAGTTATCGGATTATACCATTGATCGCCCATCTCCAGTCCAGTTAAACTAATATGTAAAGATCTGCTCAAAATATTATAAAAAATGATAATAATATTTATATGTTAGGAGTTTTGTTCCATTATTTCAAAAATTGCATAATGTAAAATGCATTAAAAACGATTGCATAAAAAGTATAAACATTCAATGATATAAACTATATAGATTATAAGTACGCGAGCAATATTATCATAAGTTAGCAATGTACTTTCATAGAGATATAACTTATGAAGTAGTACCTACCCATATATCACATTTTACAGTTTAGTTTTGTTATAAAAATATAATATAGGTATTATTTTTTCTTTCAATGCATTTTCTGGGCTACATTGACCACATTGTGGTCAAAACGATTTTCAAAATTAATAACACATATTTAAAAATACTTTTTTTTATTGACTTTTTTATACCATTATTTGAAATCAAATGAAAAATAGAAGTTCATTGTGATCTGTAAGACGTTGTTATTTACCAATTTAAAAAAATAAGTTAGGAAAGCCCACTCTGAGAGAGTGTAAAGTTCTTCATTTGTAAACCTATTTAAAATGATTAATTGTAATGCTATACATTATACTTTTAAAAGAATTTAGTTATTAAATACTTTAATTTTTAAATTTCTTAATGTTCTTATACTTTGATATTTATTTTTTTTAAATTGTCTATTATGAATTTATATTTTTAAAAGGTATTCTTATTCAAATGAATATTTATAATGATATGTAATAATAATTATATTACAAATAATATATTACCTTGCCAATCAAATCAACAATCATAACAATATAGCAGAACAACGAAGAAATGATCATAAAATGATAGGAAAATATTACATAAACAATAAGTTATACCTATTTTTGTAAAGAAATTTTTGTCCATAAAAATGGCCACATCCCTTCCCCTAAATGAGTATCCAGTAATAGATTTATAAGACATTGGGCTTATCTTTAAGGTGAATATTAAACTGCTAAAAAATGTTTACAACTTTACAATATTGAAGAAAAATTAATGTAGTAAAAATTATGGTATAACCTATACAACAGTTTACATTTTAGTTTTACTACGAAAAGTAGATAAATACATTATACCTAGGTATAGGTACCTACAATATTTTCAGTCACGACTAATAAGTTTAAAATTGTTTTAATGAATTTAAAATTTCCTTATAAATAATACTTGGATAGACATTTTATTATGTTTAGTAAATATTAATGATACAAGGTAGACAAAGTATGCCTATGTGGCCTATGTATTATAGGTAGGTTTAAATGTATAATTTTAAAAGCAATTATAAACCAATAATAATTATTGTCTTAAATTGTTGTTTACTCGTATATAAGTAGTAAGTGTCATTTAAATGGATTGTTTAACGGTTTTAAAATCGATATATAAAAAAAAGAAGATTTTACGAATGAATATATTAATATTACTACGCTTTTATGGAAATGATTGAAGTACCTGTATACCTATACTTATGCATTTTAATTAGATAGGTAGGTAGGTATAAATATATAGAAAAACATATATTTTTCACGTGACTGTACTTATCGTTTACGTAGAAAATAACACCATCGCATATAACAGTATAATATATTCTTGCGTTTATAATAATAATAATAATAATATTAATATTATTATTATTATTATTATTATTATTATTACGATCTATTGGGTTACAATATAAGTATAGACGTGGATTGAGCCCTCCCATTCATGTGAAGTTTTTGACAATGTAAAGATGTGTCGGAACAGCGCGATTGTTTCGTCATGCTCAAAATATATGGGACTATAATACTATATAAACTATTATGTTGCAGAGTATAAAAAAAAGTATGGAAAATATGCTTCCAATTATATAATGTGACAACCTCAGGGTACTTATATATTAAAAACGTGATGGTAACATTTTTTTGTATTAATATCTATAGCAACTATACATAGGTATACATGTTTCAATAAAAAAAAAAAAATGAATTAAATTTGTTTTTAAATCACGTGCGGATTATTGTCACATATGCTTAATGTTTATCATAAATTATCTTTACTATATACTTATTCATAATATATTATAAAATATAACATAATATAAAAATTACATTTCTATAGACTATGTAGTAGTAGTAGATCTACCATAATGCTGTAGATATATTATAAAATATAATTCTATACTATAACCTGCCAACTATAAAAATGCAGTTTAATTTTTCTGTAGATTATATTTTTTTTTTTTATTTATGTCTTTATCTACTAATGCAATTTAAAATTATTTAAATATATTTAAACTAGTTGTTAATGTGGTATTTACATACAACTATATCCCGTAGAAAATGGATATTAATTTTAATTTATATGTTCCTTTTATAATTCAAATGCGTTAATAGTGTAATAAGAATAGTTATATCTTTGTTTTTTTTTCTAAGTACGAATTTTATTTTAATTGTTATTCACGATATTTTGCTGTAAAAAATTCAGGTCGATTAATCCATGGGAAACCGAGCGTTTGATAAGATTTTTTGGGCGTCATACTGACACAATCCTGTGTTAGTCAGACCGTACAGTGGGAAATGTACCTGCCTACCTACAAGCTACAAGCAACCGACATGTTTTTCTTACCCACCTGCGCACTATCTATACACAATTCTACCGTGTTTTTATACATTTTACTGATCGAAAATAGATTCAGCCGAAACAAATTGATTAGTAGACACTTTCTAAGTGTTATTTGCAATGGTACGTATACCTATAATATATACACATCTATCTGCTGAATTTCCATTGCAAAACTGTCAACTTAATTTGTTGATTAGGAAAATAACGAAAACCATAACAAGTATGGTATTAATCTAATATGTAAATGTTACAAAAATACAGACATAGTGAATTACTAAAAATTGTTTTAAAAATACTAATATATAGATATTTTCATATTTTGATTGCAAATAATTAAATAAAATGTTTTAAAATTGCATAAAATGCATGTTTCTAAATGTGCAACTAATTTGTTACTCAGTAATAATTTACTTGGAATCTTAAAATAAATAATCTTAGAATTAAAATGGTAAGTTAGGTTCTGTTTTTAATTTAATATATATATTTGTATTAAAGAAAAACAAACTATATAAATGAATAAAAAAAGAAAAAGATGGACAAGGTTCGTACGTTAGGTGGGCTACTAACTGTTGTAGTTGAGCAGTTATAAAGGAAAGGTATAGGATATAAGATGGTAATTTAATGTTTATCTGTATGCAACGATTAATCATTGCTAACGAAAGATAATTATTTGCGGAGTTTTAGTTTGGTCTATCAATTTAATCCACAGAGTATTTACCGTGAATAAAAATTACGTAAAAAACTCACAAAATTAATGTCAATAAATAGCTCAAAAATGATTCAAATGTTTTTAAAATGTTACCACATCTATAAAAGGAAAATATAAGGTTTCAGTCCAAATTTCAAGTCTCTACGAACATTTTTAACGGAATTAAAATAAAAAAAGAAAAATCGAAAATAATAAAAGCATTATTTTTGTAAATTTTCCAGATTTTTCTACATTCTTTCCCTGTTATTCTCGTTTATTACGAAAACTGCTCGAAAATTAAAAAATGACTACATATGGAATTTTTAGACGGTTTGTAAAAAAAGGAATCTGAACTATTTCTATCTTATAATATCTATGTGATGAAAATATCTTAGCTAAAAAATGTTTAAAATATATGTTTCGAATTGATAAAATTAATTCTATTGTAATAACTAATTTTAAAATAGTATTTTGTTATTTTAACGGCTGTGTTGGAAACATATACCTACTGATGAACTATGAACTTTAAAATAAACAACAGGTAATAATAACATCACGGCAACTTCCCACTTCTTTGATATAAAATTATGATCTTTAATTATCCATGCATAAATTAGGTATATACATTATTAGTAGCGCGATGAAGTGATTTTTGTTACAGGGTCCAACATTTTTAGAAATAATTATTCATATTCCTTTAAAGATACAAAAGTAACGTTTTCTATAATATATTATTAAAATTATACGTAGGTAATAAACTGCTGACTGTATAGTTCCCACAATTAAACATTGGCCCCTTTAAAACATGAACACTGCTATTATTTTATTTTTATTTTTTTGATAAGTAATCACAAAAATAAGGAGGTGTCTGGTATAAAAAAAAATATCTATTCCAAGTTATGGTTCTAAATAAATGAACAATACAAAAAGTTGTGAATGGTCTTTTAATATAGTGTTTTAAATTTATTTTATTTTTTTGAAAAATGTATTTAATAGGTACTGTAAAAAAAGTTCTAAAAAAGTTTCGTCCTAGTACTTTAAAAAGTATAAAAGTATAGCTAAATCCTGTAGATTTCATATGCTATTCGTAGTGGTGATAATCTTAAACAATTAAAAACTAATTGGGGGGAATAAATGCAAGAAGTTATATATTATTATGAGCTCTACATTCGACATTGTTAATAAGATGAAATTATTTATTGTTCTTTAAAAATTGTACACACCAACACACCAAATACTATGCTATTTACAACCTATAAGATAAATTTAAATCTTTGGTTTTTGGATATTAACAACACCATAAAGCATATTACATTTAATTGTTGATTGTTTAATAGTCCAACTCAAAACTCTTAATCGAAAAAAAAAATTGTTGATTGTAAAGCACTTTTTATATCTATTGAAATTAATTTTATTAAATTTAAATGAATTAAAATGCTGTTTAGCTTAGTAGACCATTTCATTTACAACGCTTTTCGCTTTTTTATTTTCACCAAATTATTAACGGCCCATGACAACTGGGTCAAACGTTCACTTAACAGCGCCCGCATCATATATGAATTACAAATTATGAAGTTTAGTAAAAGGAAACATGAGATTAGTCGAGATGATTGTTGTGTAGTTTTACTACTTTGAAGCAATCTGATATTTTCACGAATAGACATTAGGTTTAATATATTTTAGGATTTGTTATAGTTTCAAGTTTGTAATTTGTATACGATTTATTATACAATCAATTTTCACATATCATGAAGGAATGGTTAGGTACTTTAATGCTTATATGGACAAATCAAATATTTAAGTGATTAATTAAATATTATTTTTATTATAGAAGTTATATAGAATAGAGTATACATATATACATATAGGTGACTGTCTCAAAATAATATAACAACTATATCTATAAGTAAGTTAAATTTATATTTAAGAGTGGATTAATTAAAATTTCGTTTATGTGAGAACATTTATGTACATGTATAACGAAAAATTGCAGTTATATAAAGTGTAAACGTACTTATTACATCTGTATTTTAGACAGATATCTTCATTAAATACTAAATGGATCCATATAAGTCTGTAGGTACTAGAATTTATAAATTATTATAATCATGAGTTTAATGAATTTATACGAAGATTGCTGTACTTATAGAAATGAGAATGAAGAATCTTCACACGTTGAATAATAAACGTGTATCTAATATGTTATTATATTTAACTTAATATATTAATACTTAATAATATTACGAGCATTATAATAATCATTATCAAGTTGATTTCATATTTTATGGTGCGAAACACGATAAAAAACAAATATGATAGATTTGTAATCTGAAACCGATGACCCTTATTACAAAACATTCTCGGTAAATTATATTTAAATTTACAAGGTAAATAGATAAAAAGTTATTTTAGGTGACTAGACGCCTATTGTTAATAAAAATAACATTTTAAATTTACAAGAGCAAAAGTAACAATATAATATACCTATTTATTTTATTTGTTTTAAAACATCTATAATTGTTTAAATAAAATCAAAGCGAAAAATATCTAGGTAGGTACCTATATATTATAATATAACCTAGGTATATTTAATTATCCTTGTTGTGTCCGAACATCCGTTCGTCTACATAGTTACTAGTACATATAATAATTATATGGTTGTTATAGCTGTTGATTTGATTGACAAGAAGAATAATTACATTATTAATAATATTTATTATTATCATTATAAGTATCAATTTTAAATAATAGGTGCCTATCAAATATAAGGGGTATCTACCGTAAGTAGTGGTTTTTTTTTTTTGTTGAAAACATATGTTTCTAGTTTCAAAGCGCGTGGCTCCATATGCACTCCGATAAGAATTTTGAAAATATTCCTAGATTTTGTAGAATTTTCTCAAGGGATCGATTGAAACAATTTACCAATTAGGTCTTTTGTTTCAAAATAAAAAATCATTCAAGTTTTTAAAATTTGCTTTTTTTCAAAAAGTTTAACGAAAGTCCTGTTACTATTTACAAAAAGCGGTATTTAATTTATTTAGGTTTCTAGACATAAGACTATATTATGTTATATTATGTTTTCTTTTAAAATTACAAATTATAGTTAATTGTTTAAAATAAGTACGTTTAGAAATCGGAAACTTTGTACACTCGGAAAGTAAGTTTTTCTAATTTTCTGTTCAATCATATTATATTGTAGGTATTGAGCTATTAGTTTTGTTTTTTATTTTAAAACAGTACGTCCATTCAACAACAAAATTTATGATCAAAGACTTCTTCGCGTTCATCACATAAAAAAATGGACGCGACACAGAAGGGTTTACTCAGAGATCACAGGATCCCTTCTGCTGATACCGACCAAGAATATTTAGAACAGTATCAAGAAAAAATAGTGGACAGTCAAAATCGCCAATTACTTCCATTACAAGAAGATTTGGCGGACTGGATCAATAAATCATTGGGTAAGTGGATGGTAAAATTGCTATACTTATAATAGTTACTTACTTGTTCATTTTTGAAATTTATATTTGTTTGTTAACTATCAAATCAAAAATGATGCAATAGTCAAAACCTTAGGAACGTGCATTTATAACTTATGTACTTATGTATAAGTGCAATCTAAAAAGAACTTCCAGTAAAATTGTTAAGCAATTCTTATCGGCCAAAACAATTATATCCACATAAAACCAAATGAAAACTAAAAAATGTCAAATATGAATAGCTTAAAAATAGCCAGAATATTTTTTAAAAAAAATGACCATCTCTAAAAGACCAACATAAGTATTTTATGGAAATGTCAGGTCTCTATGATTATTTTTAATCGTATTACAACAAAAAAAAAATAAATTCGAAAATAATGAAACAGTTTTTTCAGTAAACTTTTCTATTTTTTCCGAGTTATTATAAAAACTAAAAGAAAATGAAATACTACACTAGAATTTCGGAGCAAGATTTTTGGTAGAAAAACAAAATAAGAAATATCACAAAAAACACTTCGAAATTTATAACTTGTCTCTATTTTTATGATCTTAAAAATATAGTCCAATTTATTTTGAAATATGCTAAACAAATGACGTTTCATACGAAAAATAAAAAAAATTGTTTATACATTTTTTAAAAACCGAAACCTGTGAAAACTTTTTTACAGCCTTTCTCCCCCCCCCCTCCCGCTTGTTATTTCAATTATAGCGATCGTAGGGAAACTCAAACAAATTTTGATTTCTGATACATGTCAAACAAATGACTAAGCACCAAAAACAAAAAAAAACAAAAACAAAAATTTAAATTTTGAAAACTCAAGGACTGGAGAAAAGTTTCTACAGTTGCCCATTGGTATTTCGGTTATAACCTATGTAAGAAGTCTATACAAATTCTAGAATGTGCCAAACAAATGATCTACTGTAATAGTCAATTCATGAATATTTTAATTTTATGAAAATTCACCTATATTAATAGGTATTTAACAAAACAAATTATGTATATAGGCGTCTATAGACGCCTGTAATACCTATACCTATACATTTATTAGGTAAGTTAATAAGGTTAAATTATCTTATTCACAATTATTTATTAATTCATCATTATTATTTTGAAAATGTATTTATGTGCGCGTTATAATGAAAAGAAAATGATTTTTTAAACATTAGCTAGGTAAATGATATAGGTATTGATATAATATTTGTTCGCCCGCAACTATTATTTTTCCGATTCAACCGTTTTTACATTGGGTGCGCGGAGACCTAAATTGCACCTGGTGTGAACAGTATTTCTGAACTCCCCTTCAATAATATAATTTTATAAGTTCGTGGCATTATTATTATATATATATATATATATTTTTTTTAGTAACACACAATACTCGTTATTATAATTTAGGCACATATTTATATTATTTTGGCTAAATATTACTATCAAATATAATATTATGTACTGTTCAAAAAAATGTATTTATAGTGACTATATTATCTACTTTACAATAGAAAATATATTGTATAATATTATACCGATGAATACCAACTGGTCCTTGTGGAGTGAACGTATAGACATAGACCGTGATGTATCAACTAATACGAGTATAATATGTTAGGTAAATTGATGCATCATCAATTTTCAGTTTCACTTAAAATCTGTTAAATTAAATCTATCTTGAAATCACATATAAGTGAAAATAAAATCAGTAGTATTATTTGTAGTACACTAGTACCTATACTATAAATTGATAGTAAAATGACCACATTAAATACTCACGGATTTAATTATTGGCAACTCCCAAAAATTGCTTTATCATTATCTTAATTTTGAATCATTTTAAATCTTTTCTCCTTGCGTTAAATAAATCATAGTCCATAATAATATAGTTAAATATTTAAAAGAGTACATTATATTCAATCATCAAAATATTACTATGTATTTACAATTTTTGGATTACGTGTATACAATTTATTTTATTTTAAGTAAAGGTATGAGCTGAATTAAATTGTTATAATATTTTTCTACGCTGCATATTGCAATATTCGATTTAGAAGTCACGCAAAAGGATTTATGATGCCTACAGTAAATGGGAAATCAGAAATACTGCAAGCCTCATGTCATAATTTATTTGGGTTTGTACCCAGGTACGAGCACGGAACCCATAAATATTATCATTTTTATGTAGGTAGCTAGGTATTTTTTGAAGCCATATGTCACGCTACATTGCTGTATTAAGTATCGTTATACCTATTCAAAATTCAACTATATTCACCATATTGTTATATAAAACGATTTAGTTCTTGTATATTATGTAAAACAAAAACTACATTATTATTTGCTTCGTATCTAGTTGAGTTTTATTAGAATCGCTCAAATCACTGTTTAACATGAAATAAATCTCAACAAATCATAAATAATAACAAATTAAATATTTTGTTTGTGCTTCGACGTTTTACTTATATAACTTATTACAATAGATATAGCTTATCAAAATGGATAAATACGATTTGTATATTATATCGGAAACAATTTAAGCAAATGTTGTCCAACTGTTATGATCACTCATCCTAAAATAAAACAACTATAGACACAAAAAATAAATAAATACTAATTATAATTTATATCACATGTCGTAATCACGTAGACAAGTGTAGGTGTATATTTTATGCTACGTCTGTAGGTATAATGTAATTTTTAAAAAGGTGTTGTTATATTGCAGCTTATAATAATAGTTCATAGTATATACTTCCAAGATTATTTTTTTTTTGATTTAAATAGCAATTATAAATTATGTCAACTTATTTAGAAAGTAGGTAGTCACAGTTAATGTTATAGTATTTCTGTTATTTTAAAATATATTTGAAGGTTAACGGTTAATATTTTTATATTTAAATGTCTTGTAAGTTATATACTCGTAGTACGCGTTATTATCAGTCTTCGTGCGTTAACTATGCAGATGATATTATAATTTATAGATCATATAGGTTTAAAAACTATATTATTTTTATTATTAAAAATATATACAAATTCTTACGTATTGAGTAATTATTTTATAGTTTTAGGCAATGGTCTATACTTATATAGATACATTCTGATTGATCTAATTTCTATATTACAAAATATATATATATATATTGGTATACCTAATTACTTAATAATGTTTCAGTCGAAATGTATAAGTTTTCTTGTTTATTCGTTTTTACAATTTAGTATGTGTATTCTTAACAGCATCACGTCTACAGCCATGCTCACACACTATCTATGTTATATAATGTATATATATATATATTGTTATACATGTATTCGTTTGACTACTGTAACAAATCAAGAGTTCATGACTATAGGGGGTTCGTTGGCCTATATAATTTGAAGTCGCCTCCTGTTTTCCATTCTAAATAAAATCGATCCTGCTATATTCCAGCCAAAAGGTCACATAATAATTTTGTTTAGGTATTTGGTACCTAAATATAATAACGTCTAACATCATACTATGTCTAGTTGTAGGTAGTCTAGTTACAAGAAGAGTAATAAACTATGTTGGTAGACTTTGAAATGTCACGCATAAAAAAAATATAGTCATAATAATAATAATAATAATAATAAATAAGAAAAATAAAATAAGAACACAACCATAACAAAAGGAGCCATGGCATCTTTCGTGATTCACTATTCTATCTTTCTCGCCTATCTTCTATTATTTGTGGAACAAAATAATGGATGTTTTATTATATTTTATTTTTATTTTTTCATAGATAGCGGTTTTTTTCCTTTTTAATATTGTGTAACCGTATTCAATGATCAATAATTTCACTTGCTTATATAAATTGCATAAACTGCGTAGTTATCCCTCGAATGTCTAAACTCTATAAAAACATATCCAGCCGAGAGGGTGAAATCAATATTATTTCAGTTAACCCAGTCACAGCATCCCCGGAATGACGTCAGTACATTGCCACCCGTCCAAGGCCAAACGGAAAATACTAGTGAAAACCATGCTTTGAGAAAAATATAATATTTTTATACATATTATACACTTCATTAAATATTTCTATTTATTATAAATGTTTCTACCTATATTTAACGATTCTGTAGTATATGTATAGGTTTAAATATATATACTATAATAATCTCGTTATGATAAAAATACTTACCTTTCTATTAGTTACTGTATTTATTAATAATAATAATTAACTAAAAATTAAGTTATAGACGCATTAAAACAGACAAAAAGCGAATATATGAGTACATTTAATTTAACTGGTAATGACATTAAATTTATAAAAAGTAAGAAGTAAAAATGGAGATGAGAAATATTATTATACGAAATTCAACAGGCTATTTTCAATAGTTTTTGATTTTACAATTATTATTTAGCACCCATTATAGTTATACTAAAACATTTAATATCAAATACCAAACAATTCTAGGTAAAAACAATAATCAGGACTCCTTTTCGATATACATATAACATTTTACTGATCAACTTTCTCCAAATGTTTTTTTTATACTAAATAACATATTCTGATAATTATGTTAAACAAAATTAAAATCTTAATATGTCTACTAAAAAAATAGTCTTTTAAATTCCACCGAGGTTTAAAATGTATAGATAGGTGTTTTCAATGTCGTTTGTATTTCATAAACCAAATTTAAAATTAAAATATGATATACAATTAAGTTTATCATTTCTTAAAATGGAAAGTTTTGAAGTAGACTAATGTGTTGATATTTGAATGTGAAATTGTAAAAGTAATTATCTATAATTGAAACATTTTAGACAAGTTGGATAGGTTTATAATATTATTATTTATAACACAATAAGTGGAGAGATAAAATAGAAATGTAAGGAAGTAAACTCGCATGGAGTGAAAATTATTTCATAACATTGCAAGTAGTTTTTAATCGTATCATATTTTTAACTTTAAACATAATATGACATATAGTTAGTGAATTGCAAATACGTCTTAGGTGTTAATTGAGAAATAAACCAATTTCTATTAATCAACCCATTCAATTTTTAATAGTGGGTACTTATATTGTAATAAATATATGAATTTTCCTAAAATTTAGTGATTAGTAGATCAAAAATATTCCATGACCCTCGCAACATTTTTAAACACTACCAGGTTTTTGTTAAATTTTATTTTTATGTGGTATACAAATCAATATTATTTTTATATACTTGAGATTATATAGTTATATACGTTTATTATTGAACGTCAATTAAACTGGTATCTATAATGATTGTTAAATGAAATGAAAAAGAAACAAATTATTGTTATGAATAGAAAATATAATTTGATTTAGGTATGGATATATTTGTATTCAAGGGTGTATACACAGGGAGATGTGTAGATAGATACCCCCCACTCATTTCCAATTTTTATATATATATATATATAATGTACCAGAATATAACGAAAATGGATATATTTTTACAAAACTAAAGTCATTTACTAAACTACACCAATTTATCAATTTAAAAGTTGAAAAATTTTTTTAACGGGTTGTGAATTTTTCAAACCAGCGATCGCCACGAATATTTAAAACAAATTTTAATTCAGTTTTTCTATCATAATATCATTAATGGATCTATTATTTACGTTATTTTAAAAATATATTATAGTACTATTCTCTATAACTAAGTATCTACCTAAATTGGAAAGTGTTTGGCGTCTGCATAAATCGTTAATGGTTTTCCGTAAATCCAATATTCGATTTGGGTCACCATCATTGTCGAAGATATTTAGTTTTTTTTTTTTTTTAAATTGTAGTAGTAATTTATACATAATATAAAATACCTATCTAAAGTAGGTTATCATTTATTTTATAGTACACTTACCTATTTTAATAATCTATATTTATTAATTATTACAATACTGTCAATACTACTTAGATATTCGATATGTAAATTATCTTCTAAATTAAGAATTATAATTATTAACCACTTATAAAATATATTGTGTAGTTCAACCAGTGGCGGAATTATGGGGGGTCCAAGGGGTCTGGACTCCATCCCAGACACCAATATAATTTATCAATAAAATGTTACCTATCTTAAAATACATATTATTTTCCAGACTACTAATTCAATTTTCTTTTTTTTCTTCACCTTCAACTCATCTATTTGGGATCAGCCACTCTCACCCTAAACTCCCATTTGACTCTATCTCCCACATCGATATCACATTTTTTACGTTCTAAGTGGATTATGATCGATAAACTAATCCATAGAGTAAAGTTATAATTCGAATTTTTTTTTTATATTTATCATTTGGCCTGTCCTAATAAAATTGTCTAGTTAACTAATGAGATTTTTGTGTTCGATTGGTGGGAAAAAAATGCAATAAAAAACCAGATACCACCCATTCATCCTTATGTTTGATTGCCTAATCTAACCTACATATCTATAACAGATGATTTATATAAGTGGATAATATAAAGCACTTAAGAAATTAAATAACGTCTTATAAGAATTGACTGATTACAATATTAAACATATATTTTACATTTATAATGTAATTTCACATATTATACACAATAATTCGTGTATTTTCTGTCTGTTTATAGTATTCAACTGGTATAAGTTATGAATAAATACGTTTATAAATGGTGTAAGATACGAATATATTGATTGTATACATAGTGTGAGGTACACGTCATATATTACAAACTGGCGTAATAATAAAGAGAAACGCTGTTTAAAAATTAAAATTAACAATTGATAGGTATGTAAGGAATAAAGGTAAAATATTGAGCATTTTATTTTCTATACACGACATACCTATTATTAGCCTACCCTTACACGAAACTACAGTGTTAAACTAAACTTTTTTTTTTTTTTTCAAGCATTTCTGTTTAGTCTAAAACAATTTTATCCACAGATTACCTACCAAATAAACTTTACGTTAAATTCGCAAAATTAAAATGTTGATAAATAACTCACAGATGGCTCAAATGTTTTAAAAATTATAACACGTCTAAAAAAATAAGGTTTCTGTCCAAATTTTAAGTCTTTACGAATATGTTTAACTAAATTACAACAACAAATACAAAATTGAAAACAATAAAAGAAATATTTTCATAAATTACACACACCATATATTATATAATATAATAATACAAAGTGTCCTGGAACTGCGTTTTACCTTTTTAGTCCTACCGTAAAAAATATACGCGTTCCGTGTTTTCCGTGCTGCTGGACCGTATAAAGTAACTCAGAGCCGTTTCAAAATAATTTAAATACCTATCTATAGGATCTTTTGTGTAAAAGAACAGAGACTTTGGCGAAAATTCAAAACATAGGATTAAGTACGTGTAGGTGTTTTGCATCACCTGAAGCATCAGGTGTTTTATGTGAATTTGAATGAGACTTAAAAGGAAGTTCTACAAAAGTGTGGCGAGAGCGACTATGTTGTATAGTCTGCAGTGTTGGGTGGTAGATAGACAAATAATATAACAGGGAATGAGTGTAGCAGAGATAAGGATGTCTAGGGGGATGAGTAGAATAACGAGAGAAGATAGGATTAGGAATAAATACATTTATGTATTCATTAAATAAGTTTATTCATTACCTCTTAAGGTAGCTTAAGCGTGGCTTCGATATTGAACAACAAAATGAGAGATAGGCTAAGATGGTTTGGGCACGTTATGAGAAGAGAAGAATCAGAATAAGTAGTAAAAATTGGAATGGAAATTAACTTAGGTGGAATGAGGGAGTTGAGAAAGACTGAAAAAAAGGTTATTGTATGCGATTGAGAATATGAGAACAACCGTTTGGAAGTTTAGAATGAAGAGGACTGACCTCAAATAGTTAGGATGAAGCCATCGTAATAATTGCATGTAATATATTACTCTGAAACACGTTCATTATTTGTACAAATATTCAATACGTTTATATATACACGTAATCTAGATCAAATATTTTCCTCGAATATTTGTGCTCTTTTGCATATCGATTTCATAAAAAAAAATTAAATAGGTACTTACATGCATATAACATATGAATTATAAAGGCAATTATATATATTATAATATAATACAATTATAAAAAAAAAATTGAATTATTATAAAACAGGTACCTATGGGTGAAGATAATTTACTGATAAATAAAATAATAAAATATGTATCACGTGTTTTTGTATTGAAATCAGTTTTAATTAATCGTTGACCTTTTGTATAAAATGTATTTTTAATTTTTACTAGCATATGGTAGGTACCCATGTTTTGTGTATAAAAATAGCGTTTTAAGAAAATATCAATATATTAAAGAAATACGTATGTATTATTATACCTATATAGGCATTTTTTTTTCTGTAACTACAAACAAATTACAAGTTTTTATTCAGGGCAAAATGTCAAGATCATCAGTATTACAGAATATGATAAATTATATTAATAGAATTACAGTTTAGACTGCAATACGTGTATTCACATTTATCTATAATAGAAGAACAAAAATAAGACCATTTAAAAAATTTATTGTTTATTTCAAATTTAAATGTACGACAAGTAGTTAACGACCTACGTTATTAAATCCTTCTATATAATATAGTTTCTCTATCTTATGGTTTTAGTTCTTTGTATTTTTTTAAATAAATTGAGATTAAATAATTTAAAAAAGTATCTACCTAGTTATTTGTGTAGCCGTGTAGCTAATATAAATCATTTGATTTGCTATAAAAACAATTTGTTTTTCAGATATCGATTGGTTGAATGCTATTAATCTTTTAGATATGTTGGACAACGGTGTCATCCTGTGTCGCTTAGCCAAAACAATTGAATGCTTAGCACAGGAGTCCATAATTACAGGGCACTACAAAGGCGTATGTCGATTTATGTTTAATAATTTATAATACATATATAATTTAAGAATTTATGGACAACTATGATTAATAATTTGTCATCATTTTTTACATATTACCTATATATAAATGAGGAAGTATAGAAAGATGTGAGGTATAAAAATAATTTTTCTACGGCTCTAAGATTAAATTAAAATAGATATTATATAGAGATTAGATTAATTAAAAGGTGAACACATATTTGAATTTGTTACTTACTCGTTATTTTCACTGAAAAAGCGTAGAACAAAACTCTTCGAACTTTTTGATACCCCGAAAAATGTGTTTCAATATTTCAAGGAGGGAAAATCGTAGATTATAGAAATACTAATAACTTTCTCGCTGTTAGAAATCTAAAATCAAGAAGACTTGCTTAACTCATACAATATCATATATCATAAACAATTTTTAGGATTTACCAACAATATCTTCACGTTGTTTCGAGTCTGCAGCAAGGCACAGTTTTTTTTCAAGAGACAACACCGAAAAATTCATTCAATTTTGTCGTCGTCTTGGTGTACATCAACATCTTTTATTCGAAAGCGATGATCTAGGTTCATATTACACATTATTTACAGATAAATATTATTTTAATCAATCAGACAAATACAATTTTTGGTTTTTTCTAAAAATGTTGTTTTGCATCCCAGTTTTGCAGAACAAACCTCGTAATGTCGTATTATGTCTGATGGAAGTTTCCCGGTTGGCTTCTCGGTTCGGGTTGGAACCACCGGGTTTGGTGCAAATGGAAAAAGAAATTGACGCCGAAGAAGCCAGAGACCAAAATGACAACTCAAATACATCACAAATATGCACTCCGAATATTAGACATCGGTTAGTTGTGAATATATTTTACTTGGTATAAAAATAATAATATATTCAAATCGCAAATGAAAAACTGTGCATATTATTTATAGCTCGACCAGTGCAATACCAATGGCCATCAGATCGGTGAGCAAATTAAGAAGGACAGAGAGCCTCGGAGCTGCGTCAATGGCCACTTTGAAATCAGAATCAGACACTACAGACGACGATTGCACGATGGAAGGAGGCAATAACTTCAGCGAACTTGATTACAAAGTATAAATTTAAATTTAATTTTTTACCTCCCAACTAACTATAACCTAGTAATCAAGTAACCTATATACATAATGTTGGACGTAAATAGGTATTAAATTAGCCTATTTTTTACAGGTAAAACAAGCTAGTCGACAAGCCCTTACACAGTGTCGTTGTCAAGGCAAGAAACTGAAATTGAAAAAAATAGGTGAAGGAAGGTACAACATTCACGGCCGAAACGTATTCATTAGGGTAAATGTCAATTAATGTTTTACTTCAATATTGGTATCGAATTATTTGATGAATATTTTTGTTGAAATATTATATCTACTAACACGTTTTTTTTTTTTCAAAAGCTGTTAAAAGGGACACATATGATGGTACGTGTTGGAGGCGGATGGGATACACTAGAAAATTTTCTGACTCGCCACGACCCATGTCAAACGCCCGGTCGTCCGGTAGTTCGAATCTCCTCACCTTCCAATAATCGAACACCATCGCCAGCACCGCCAAACAGTCGTATACAGTCACCTTCGCAACGCAAGTCGTCCATACCGAGATACCTGGGATCAAAGTTTAATTCACCCAACGCATTCAAAACACTACCCGAATCTACACTTTTAGCACGCTAATGGTTTCCTAATTTTATTATGTTATGTACATTGATAATTAATAAATATTTTATTTTAATGTAACACGTTATATATTTAGATAAATAAAACAAAAATATAATATTATACTATTATGTATCAATTAAATTGGCTCCAACAATTAAATGCTATCTACACAAAAACATACAAATTCTCCACTAAAGAAACTAAATGGCAAGATTGTAAATAATAACAAGGTTATAAATATATGTTTAGTAATACCTACAGAATAAAGGTTAATTTTAAGACTAAGTAAACTACAAAAAAATATTTTCATAATTTTAAAAAATAAAAACAATATCTATAATATTAGTTCTATCTTAAAGCAGGTAACTAAAAATAAACACAAAATAACAAATTATTATTGTATAGGAAACTATTTACATCCCATGAACATGTTAATAAGTGTAACAAATGGATAAATGAAAAAATAATCAGTACACAAAATATCATCAGATCTTAATACTAATACATTGGGTTTGTAAAAATATACTTATAAGAAAAAAAAATAAGACTATCAAAATAATGAAATTTTTTTTTATCTTGACAAGGCGTAGGTATTTTTTGTACTATAAATTAAGTTAATATCAATAAACATATATTACATTAAAACAATGTATTTAACAATATTTTTTCATGTTAAAAATAAATTAAGTCAAAAATGAAAATTAATGTTTAACAAAAATATTCAAGATCTATAAGTTACACTTAAATATGATGGAAGACAAAAGTTTGTGCTTATAAAAATATATACTTTTAACTCGTTAACAATAAAATATGGAGATATTTAACTCTTAATTTGCACATTATCAAAGTAATTTTGAAAATATGTAAAAAATTAAAGGCAGATAAATAATTTCCACAGATAAAGTTAGTGATTTTTTTTTTTTAAAATTGGAAGATCAAATTCTTATGCACATAAATGTTAAGTACAACAGTCTATTTTCATGAAAATGCGTAATATTAGTTATTAATACATGCATTGCAAATTCAAAATATGGACGGAATATTTTCCTTCGTTTTATATAATGATAACATTTAGTTCAACTAATAACAATGAGTTAAAAATAATTCACAAATCTAACCTAATAATTAAGTTGAGCAAAACATTTGAACCAAAAATCTAATACTTCAAAATATAGTCAAGCTTGAAGTCACAGTATTGAAAAAAAAAAAAATTATATAATAGGCTAATATTACAAATAATATTAATAAAATAGTAGTAAATTACGTTGGATATGTATTTATTTACTAGCTAATTGCATGTTCTTGACAAATGGCTGACAATTCCTTAAGCCATTCTGTTAGAATTATAGCATTTATTGGCAGGTCTAGAGATTCAATTTCATTTTCTTTATAGTACCTACATTAAATTGATTTACAAACTTAAACTTGAATCGAAATTTTATAAAAAAATTTATCGTAATACAACATTATCTATACCTGTATCCATTACTTGTGGATTCAAGTACAGCTTCTTTTTGACCAGTATTTCTCCTGAACATTGCTCCAAAAGCAATAGATAAACTACGCCGTTTAGTTTCCCCTAGAACCCAATTATGATAATATATTATACAATATAAAATTTAAATCTCAACAATGAAAGATTTTCATAATTCATTACCTCTTGTAAATGGCTCAGGATTTTTCCCACCAGATGATCGATGACTTTGAGTTTGAGTATTACTTAGTTTATTTTCTCGTTCAATTAAAAATGTTTCTGCTTCTTTAATCTTGTCCATGCGTCCATTTAATTTAGATTCTATAGCTTGTTTTAAAGAACGCAATATCTAGAATAAAATAAAAATAAAAATATTTTAGAAATGTTTAAAATGGTATATTCGTTAAAAACCATATGTGTATAATATGAAGTTATAAGTACTTACTTGAAACAAAGAACGTATACATGGCTGAAAAATCATAGAATGATTGAGTAATAACGATTGAATCAAAGGTTTGTTGTACATGGACAGACGAGTTATCACAGCAGTTAAACGTAAATTTATTCGAAAATCTTGTTCAGGCATATTTTCTAGTTTTGAAAATAATGCCTCAAGAAATGGACCTAAAAATGAATTTAAGTAAAATTAAACAACTCTTATGATTGAAATATACTTAATAAATCTTACCTAAACAAGGATAATGTGTAAATTGTTCTTTTGTTTTTAATGTGGATTGTCTTATAAAGCATGTAGGTGAATCACTTCCACATGGTGATGATGTGTTTGATACCATTTCATCAGTTAGATTGGGTCTAATATCATCAGTTCCAAGCATTCTAAAAAACAAAAAAAAATTAACAACTAAAAATCTGCTACTTGAGTAAGATATTTTGAACAATTTACTTCTCAATGTCTTTTATAGGTTTGAAACTTTCATATCCACTTGAACTATCATCAGCTGATAAGATACTGCTTTGATCATTCTCTACTTCATGTGTTTTAATTTCAACTAAAAATACAAATAAACAATAAAAGTGAAAAATCAAAATTTGTTTAATCATTTAATCTTAATAATATTGGTAAAATAGGTATACATACAAAATAATTGTATTCAAATTACAATAAAAAAAGAAGTCTAAAATAATGAAATCATTATTTCTATTGAACTTTCCTGTTTTCCCATAATTATTAAGAAACGACAATGAAAGTCAACAAAAACCTACTTATGCTTCTCTTGAAATTCAAACTAAGATTTTTGATAGAAAAATAAAATCAAAATAATTTCTATTATGTGTACAATAAACCAGGAATTATGATCATAGGAATTATATAATCTTACAGACTGTAATATCCTAGACAAGAAATTTTCGGAATGTCACTCACAAGAATAATCCAGAATTTCAAAACACTATTAATACTGATAATCATAACACCGGGATTGAGCATGTCTATCCATTTGTGAAAACAGCCATAAAATTATGACCCTTCTTTTAATCTTAATTTGTTTATTCTGTTTGTACTGTGTATGTGAAACATCGCCATCTATCAGTGTTTTTTTGTTAAATTCCGAAATTCTTGTCCAGAACATTACAATGTGCGTATTTTTGTATTCAGAGTTATTATAGTGCAGTATTTTCTGGTTTAAGCATTTATGTTTCAAATTTTTAGTCTGAAATATTCTGGTCAGGGCATTTATTTTTCCAGCCAATTATAGTCCGGAAATTTACAGTGTTTCATATTCCGGATTTCTACAGTCACCGGTTTTCTTGTCCGTAAATTTACATGATTATCTTCTGGGATTTTCTAGCTGTCCATATAGAAACACAACGAACAATTTATTTGTAATTCCTAATTATATTACCAAATATTTTTAAAGAGCTTTTGTTTTGGTTAATATTTCCCCCAGATCAGCTTTTAAATTCTAAGTGGAATGAGGAATAATGTTGTACCATTATATTATTTGTAAAGTAGCATATGCCCATTGAATATACCAGTGGTTTTCAACCTGTGCGTCACGGCTCCCAGGGGCATTGTGGTTTATTATTAAGGAAGTCACATCTAAAGTAAATACAGTACAATAACACAGTCAATTATATATTTTAAATTTTATTATTTTTATTATTCATGTAAGAGAATTGCTAATGAGGTTTTCAAAATCAGAAGAGCCGTGGACCCAAAAAGGTTGAAAACCACTGGAATATGCAATAAATTAATAATGATCAAAAAATAATGTAATATTATTACCAATCGTATGAGATGGATTTTCTCCATCATACAAATATGTCCAATGCTTTGTTTCTATAGCACATTCTGATATCTTAATTCGTGCACAATTTAGGTAGCATCGATATTCAGAATATAATGTTTGAGAATCAAGATTCCTGTGCCTAAACAAAAAAAATGGATTAAACAAAAAAATTAAAGTTCAATTGTATTACTTACTTAAACACGTCTGGTATTAAAGATAAAAATATATCGGCTGATTTACAATATGAATCTACTTGTTTAATCCGTGAACGTTGACTAAGCATGATGTGTGTGCAAGGAACTAAATATTTAAGAACCAGTTCCAACATGACATCTTCACAGTTTAAATCTAAAACTGTTTCCATCAAAGCAAGTGTAGAAATACAAACCTAAAATTAAAATGAAAAATACATATTAACCTTAAAAATATTATCTTAAAATTGATGATTGTAGATGTTAAAACTAAAGAGTATAAACTAGGAATTACTAACTAAACAGTCAATACGTAAGATAATATATATATATATGCATATGTAAAAAAAGGAATTACATAAATTCAGTCTTTATTATTATTTCTTCTTCTTCTTCTCCTTTATCCCAACTATTTGGGGTCGGCCATCCTTGTCCTAAATTACCACTTGAGCCTAATACCCTACATTGTCCTCATATTATTTTCAATCACATCTAACCACCTCTTTTTTGGTTCTCTTTTCTCCTTTCTTCATACTTGATCCATTTTCATTGTAATTACTACTGTTTCAGATTTCTCACTTCTCATGACATGCCCAAACCATCTTAGTCTATTTTCTCTCATTTTGTCCACTATCAAAGCCACACCTAGGCTACCACCTCTCATAGTATTTATTATTATTTATTTTTAAAATGTACATATTACATGTAATAAAAAAATATAAACAAACTGGTATTTAAGATATTTTTTAATTAAGCCTTAACCTTCACAAATAATATTAATATATTAATATAAAGTTATAACAGATTTATAATAATACAAAATAAGAATACCTTAAATGATCGGTTATTTATTCGATTGATGAGCAGTTCAATTATTTTTACTTTTTCAAATCTTTCACATAACACAAATTTGACAAAAGTTTGTAGAAGTCCAGGGTGTGTAACACTACGGAGTAATAAATCCAAATACACTGTTGCTGTTGCTACTTCCTCTTCTGCCACCTAAAACAATTATAAAATAATAATAATAATAATCATAAAAAGAACTAACAAATGGTATTTATTACTTATTTTCTTTTTAACATGGAATGTACACAGAATTTTCATAAAATATTCAATTTTTAGTATAAATACATTTTGTTTTTATCTAACTTCAAAAAATAACTATTTTAGGTCATAAAACTATACTTTTTTAAACAGTTTACTAAATATCTATTATATACAGTAACTTTGTCATTCAATAACTACGATAGTTCATTACGTATCCTCCTATACATTTAAAAAAATAAACTTTTTTCACTTAATATAAAACAAGTTCTCTAAAAAAAAACTGTAAAGTGAATGCTACCTTAAAGTCAATAAAAAAAAAAAAAATTATTTTTCAATTGTTATTGGTAGACAGCTTTTATCTCATTAGTTCACATTCTAATAATTTATCAAATATGTGTATTATTCATTATAATTAAATTATAAAAATTGCATAAGTAAAATAGAAAAAATACGGACATACTTTGCATGATTGGTGGACTCCTGTTGTATGTGAGAAGTTGGGAAGGTAGGATATAAAAGGGTAATTTAATTTATATTTGTACACAACGATAAACCATTGCTAACAAAAAACAATTTGAAGCGAAGTTTTTTTATATGTGTAACAACATTTATAATTTTTTTTTCTGTTTTTCCTTATTATTATGAAAACCACTACGAAAATCAAAAAAAGACCTCTCTAAAGTACTAACTAAATAAAATTCCCTTTCAGAAAAGATGCTAAACTTGATACATCTGAGTAACATTTCTGATAAAATGTTTGTACACACAGTATATTATATAAAACAAAAATTATAATCATCATTGTAAAACCAATACATTCCTCACTATGCCCCGAAACTAAAAATATGATTATAATTATAAGCTAAAATTCGTATTAACTCAACTAATTTGTATATAATTCTGTGTACTTACATTTAAATATGAACACAAAAATTTAAAAAATATAACAGCCATTTGATTGTTCTACTTAAAAATAACTATAGTTTAAGCATGGAATAATACACAAAGCTTAAGCATTAAAAAATATTTTTTGACTTTAGAGTTAATTTTAGATCCAAGGCAAACAAACAGAATAAAATGTCATCAAATTAATTTTTAAAACAAAATATCAAATTATAATAAAACATGTAATTTAATGAAATTTAAGTATAATAATAAAATGATCACATAAAAACAATTGAAGTTTAAAAAATATTTAAGATTAAACCATTGTATATAATAAAACTAATCCAAGGTCAATTTCTAATAAATTTAAATACGTTTAATAAAGGTTTGTAATTTTTTTTATAATATTTGTCATATAAATTAATAAGTTTTTAAATTAAATTTATATGTTAAATTATAATTTCATACAATATTTATTTCATTTAAATATGGTAATATCATGCAAATCAATTAAACAGATACACAAAAAGAACATTGATTTTGTTCATGCAAAGAAGAAGCACAAACACATGAAATAAATTTTACCCGCGATAAATGTGCATTGAAACTGCAAATATTTTCAAAGTCCTAAACAATAAAACAAAACAGAAAATGATTTTGTTGTATGTTAAAATTATTATCAACTAAACAAAATATTCTCATTGTATCTACTATTTATCGCAGAAAATGTGGTTTTTTTTTATGAAAAACAATATTTATGATCTATGTACTAACTATCCTCTTTTTCAAATTCTTCAATAAATGTTGTAATTAATATTAAATATAATTAAAGATTTCTTGAGTTTTCATTAAACGAGTATTGAAAAACATAACTACCAATATTTTGCTTTTAAATTAATAATCTATATTTTATTAGTATAATCATTTGAAATGTGTTGTTCCACTAACAATTTTTAGATGTAAATATTACAAATCAATAAAATACCCAGAAAAATATACTCTGTTATAATCTAAAATAAATTTAAAAATAAGTATTGTTAAATTTTATAATTTTCAGTACAAGCAATCAAAGATTTTTTCACCTTCACCATTAAGTTACTTGTCCATAGAATTTGCTAGTATTTTTAAATAAATATAGTTTTTAATAGAAATTAATTAAAACATTCATTGTACATTATTAATTATAATTTTTTTTAAATAATTTAAAATAGCTGAGTTCTATACAAAAACATAAAATAAAACTATATGATTTTAAAAATGTGATACTTTATTAATTATTTTATGACAATTGCCTTCAAAAATAAAACATGCAATTCCTATAAATTATAATAATATAAAATTTTAGACATGGCTTAAACTAGAGAATCTGTATTTTTATTTAGACACCACACATTATTTACATTTAAGTTTTAAAATATTAAGTAGGTAGATAAAATAAAAGTAGTTAATCTTAATGTTAACTACCCACATTATCTAAATTTTAGATTTAGACTATACATTTATGGAAAAAATGTGTAAATATGTTTTACTAACTACAATCATAGATTAGTATACTAGTATATTTTATCTATGCTTATAGATATCATTTTGATTCATTGCAGATCAAAGTATCTCAAGCTTTCTTTTTCACGTACCACTTATACGTATTATGGCTGTCATGTATCACTTATGACTAATAATTGAACTATCTGTAATGTACATACATTTGTTTCAAAATGATAAGAGCATAAAACAGTAAAATCTTACAATATTATTACTACTATAAAATATTATTAGATTCATTGAAAATATTTGTATAGATATGTATTAATTAATTTTCTGAACTACTATTACTCGAACTTCTGTGTATCATCATGTTGCCACTACGTACCACCAGTGGTACGCTGACCACAGTTTAAGAACTGTTGTTGTAGATAATAGGAATTGTGAAACTATTAATTATAAAATAAAACTTAAATACTTTACAATTTGAATGAATTTTAAATTTGATAGACATACTAAAAAATTATGTACTTAAGGAAAAGACTAAATAATAATAATAATAATAACTCATCCATCATCATAAAATTACACTACATATTTAAACATGTATATATAATATTATTGTATACCTTATTAGTATTACTACTATTCAATCTAAAAATAATATACTTGTAATTCAAAAAACTATATTCATTTTATAATTCAATTAAATAATAATCAGATATTTAAAAAAATGTACTAATATTTTTTACCTGCATCAATGCTGGACCAACCACAGGTAGAAGGAACCCATGGTATAAGTAATCCAAAAGTTGATCGTATACAGATTTATGACATATTTTAGCAACAGCATTACACAATTCTACAGACGCTAAAAAATTATTTAGTTCTGGTACATCTTCTATATTTTCTGGACTCAGTCTGTAGCAGTCATTTTCAAAATCTAACTTTCGAGGTAACACTGAATACAGGCCGCTTAAACCAGTTGCCAATACAGGACTCACATTTGATTTAGAAATTATAATGTTGGCAAGTACATCGTTTTGACGAGATAATGACATAAATATTAAAAGGGCATCTCGGGCTTCTTCACCAATAGATCCTTCACGGTGTATAAATGCCATTAACAATGACAATATAATACATCTAAAAACCATGTATAGTAAATAAAGTTTCAAGATAAATACAATGAAAAGAAGCATGATTACTTTGAATTCTTAATATTCTTTTTTAAAACATTGCTTAATATATTTGAATGGTGAGAAAGAACCACACAAAATTGTCTTAGAACTGTAACTAAGTGTTTTTCAATTTCCACAGATAAGCAATCACCATCGTATGAATTTAATATTAATAATAAAGGATTTAGTATGGAATCATCAGAAAGCAATTGATGGCCACGGAACTCTGATAGAAGAACTCCATAAACTTTTAATTGTTCCAATTTTAAATAATTACTGTATCTGAAAATATACAAAAAAATTAATCAATTAACACATTCACCTATAAAATTATTATATTTTATTTAATTTATAAATGGTCAAAACCCCTTAGAACAACAGTACAGCGGTGATAATAATTTCATAAAAAATTAAATAAGAAACAGATAGCATAGATAACACATACATTATAAAAAATAGAAATATTAATTAAAATAATAAGATATGAAAGTAAAATAAAAATAAATGTTACAAAAAATTTACACGAGATCTTAAAGCTATTTTCTTAAAAACATGATGTGACATAGAATAGAAATCAATGTAAATAATAATATTATTAACTGAAGCAAGAACTCTTGGAAAAACTGAAAACTGTGGAACTATAGTTATTATTACAAAATGGAACGAAGAATAAATGTTTTGACCTAGTGCTATGATTATTAAAGCTATAACCAATCGTAGAAAGTAACTTGGGGGAGTCTATATTACCATTAAGTAAATCAAATAAGAACATCAAATTTACAACTTTTCTTCTTAATTTATTTAAGACTTCTCCAAATTTGTTGACTGTAGGTAATATAAGTTACGGTCAATAGATAAATTTAATTTATAACAAATAAATTAATTTTAGAAATGTATACTATACATATTCTAAATGATTAATATAAAGAGAATAATTAGGTAACCAAACTATGGAGCCAAATTCTAAATAAAACCTAACATTTTGAAAGTGTATTAGTAAAAAAAATTATATGCAATGTGAAAGACATATTTCATTTAAGTAAAATTCCTAAATTCCTGATAGAATTGACTCTCAATAGCAAAGTCTGATCGATTGAATAATTGTAATGTATAGGATTATAAGACGAGTGAAAGTGATGAAAATACATTTATTTATATTTAATAGTAAGCAATTTTGTTTACTTGAGATAACAATCTTGTTCAAATTTGACTGTCGGAGAGAGATTAGATAGGAAAAAATATTAAAACAGCATTGGTAATTAATAATTAATTAATAAAAAAATCAAGAACAGTAGGTAAATCTAAATAAATAAATAAACAAGAAGACCCAAGTGAGAGCCCTGTGGTACACTGGAACAAACACTGAAGTTATAATAATATATTTATGGAAACATTAAATAATGTACTTACCGATCTGTTTTTAAACTCCATGAATATAGTTTTCCTAATAACTGGTTCTTTAAAAAGTATTCAAGACAACGTGATTGATTAGTAGATTTTGCTGATTGTACATCGAGTAACAATAGTTTTATTAATTGATTTAAATGATTTATAACGGCCACAATATCATCATATTTGATAATACTCTTTGAAGTCTGAAAAATTATTATTACTATAACCTTATTGTATTATTTAACTATTTAATTTTATATTAAGCCAAAACTTAATTAAATGCAACAATTCTAAATATTATAAAATGTAGAAATTTAATATGAGATTATCTAACAGGTGTCATATTGTTATAGTTAATTCATGTAATCATGTTTGATTGTTATAATCTTTAAACATAGGTATTTATGATCTCCAAAAAGAGTTTATGACGTAATATGTGAAATAGGTAAAATTAGAGAGCCTAGTCTATAGTGTTAGGTAAAATATGATGCTAATAAGAATCTCAATATTTTACTTTAAGGAAGTATGTATTTATTTTATTATATCATATTTTAAAAACTTTAATAACATTAATCAGTGAAATTAATTGATGATTTATAGGTTTACTAATCATTATTACTGAAGCAAATTAGGTGGGAATAAATTGTTTTATATTAATAGCTACATATTTTGAAAAAGTTATGAATACAATTATTAACATACATTACTTATTAGAAATAAGTAACTTTTGTTTTGAGAATAAAGTTTTTAGATATAATTTTTGGTTTAATATAACTTATATTTATATAGTTGTTTTATAATTACTGATAAGCTAATTATCAACTTTTATTATTCAAAATCAACTTACAAGAAATGAATATCAATTAAAAATTATAAAACAATTATTATTTACTTACTTGAAATCGATCAATAATTTCAAAGGTTTGTTGCCAATGTTTATTGAAACTATCAAAACACGCAGACAAATCAAGATCGTCAATTTTTTCAAATCCTTTATTACGCTTAAACCAACTCATATTATAAGCATTGTGTGTATTTATTATTTAAATTTAAATGGTTCATAATGCACTACATTAAATAAATATAAATAAAATAAACAATTAACAAATTAGAGTAGATATGTATGCAATACAAAATTAATAATAATTACATATATATATATATATATATATATATAATGTTTAAACTTTCAATTTAACATAAAAATGTCAATAAAATAACAACTATAATATTTAGGAACACATTATTAAAGATTAATTATAATATTACAATATTCTATGAGTACAATACTGACAACATTAAAGATTTGAGTTTCAGATTTTCATTTTGCACAATTTGTCAATTATACATTATAATCTAAAGGTAGTGATAACAAGAAAATGTTAACAAAATGATTACGATTAAAAACATGATATACTTTATTTAGGTTAACATAGTAAACAATCAAAATTTGATATCACAATCATAATGCTTTAGTATACATCATAAAATATTTAAATCATTAATATTCAACCTTTTTTAGGTTAAGCCACAATATTACAAATATAGATTATTTATAAGTTATATTTTTTTGTGGCACGAATAATATAATAATATTTTTATCCTAATTGTGGTTACACCACGTTAATGTTAACATTATCATTTTATTTTTTTTGATTTTTTCGTTACCTATACAATAATCGTAAAATAATTTATTACGAATAACGTTGGACTGAACACCAGTGATCCTGAAATTTAATGGGCAGTTGGTTTTTACATACGCCGTTTAAATAAAGTTTCCATTTTATTTAATGTTTTACACATTCAACAACAGTCGGATTTATAAGCTGCCAAATTCTGCCGGTTTAACGAGAATATCAAAACTTTTTATGATTATTGTTGGTAACAATTAAATATTAATCGTGCTTGTAATGAACTTTATGTTTTGACGTTGAACTATATTCAGTTACTATGCTTAATTTTGCTAAAATAAGGATTCTTTTGATTTTAAAGACTAAATGGCAGAATTGAATATAGTTAATCAGAAAAGGAAATTTTTCGATCTCGAAATTATAGACGCAAGTTTCTTAAACGATTTCGATTAAAAAAAAACCAACAATAGAAAAGGTTCTGGACGAAATAATAGATCAGATAAGAAACTCCACGACTAAGCTAACATAACTAACACATTTTCTACTGTTGTAGAAAAATTAATGCTACGGGGTCCGGCTACTTATTATTGATTTTCGATATAATATAAAATAATATTTTGTATGATGGAAAACAAAAATACTATTGCAAAAACCTTATACCATATAAACTACAATAGGTAGGTAATAATTACACAAAATTGTAACGAATATAACTCACTAATAAAAATGATAACTCAAGAATTCAATATTTCAATGTTTACCTACACATGCGCAGAACAATAACTCGGTCATTGGCGGTTATTTTGAGAATCACTGTCAATTAGTTGAAATAAAATTTGGGTTAATTATAGTATTTATAAGACCATTAATCGATCGAAGGTAGTGAGAATGGATTGCTGTAACCGGAAGTGATCAATATTATGGTCACCTAACCGAAGGTTTTACAGACACTTAACAGTGTATTATAGAATGAACCTCTGTTGTTTTGGATTTAGGCCAAATATTAAAATATAAATGTACAGACCGCAAGTTGAGTATTACTGATTTAAACCATATTAAAGTACTTTCTTTGGTACAATCATTTAAATACAATGCCACAATATTTATTAAATGATAATAGATGTATTATAGTATCTATAATCGTTATCAATAGTCACCATGATATTTACTATTTAGCAGTGTATAATCTTTAATTATGATTTGTGATATTCAGAAATATTGAATTAATTCTTTGTAGCATGGAATAACTTCATTTTTATATAAGCTATTTTCTTCTCCGTGTGTTACTTTTAAAATTGACATTCCATTTTTTAGATATTTTACTGCCGATTCAGAATTTTCAACAACAGAACATAATTTAAATAGTTTCATATACAAAATGCCTAAAGAAGGATGACATTCACCATAATACACCCTAAAAAAAAAATTAATAGGTTATTTATTACTTTAAAAAAATATTTATAAATAAAATTTCAAATGATATAGATTTAAACGACTTAATTTTAATTAATAAAAACTAGTATTTACTTATATCCTTCAATTAAAAGAATGCCATATTTCAAGCTCTCTTTCCATTGCTCCATTTTTATAGCACTTTCAAAAGCTAAATCTAAAATCTTAATACGATTGATATTATTTGGATGAAAAATCCCATTTTGTTTTTCTAGACATATTTTACAAACATCAAGATCTAAAAAGGTCAATGGGAAATAATCACTTTTCTTTTTATACATATACAAAAAAATAAATATATAATTATTGTTTAATTGAAAATAAATAAATGTGTATAAAAAGGATACAACCAATATCTCTCATACGATTTAATTGAAATTCAGTGAAATCAGTAACATCAAAAAACATTTGAATTCTATCTTTGGTGACTTTTTCCAGACATTTTGAACAGCTAACTGAATCTGGAATCTTCAGAAATCAATAAGTAATTAAAAACATTTTTAAACTATTCTTAACAATTAATTAAAATAAGTACAAGTTTAGTGTAATACAAATAACACACTTCTTTCTCTTTATTTCCTAAAGGAATTGCAGCTTTACATTCAGCATTAGTACATATCATAGAATTAACAAATTGTTGTTCGTAATTTGTTATACAACGTTTACATTCACACAAAAAATAGTAATTTGTTTGTAATTCATTTCGACGTTCTTCAGTGGTTTGCATGAGTTCCAAATATGATATATATACATGCTATAAATATATAATTCATTAAAAATCTCAGTAACAATAAATAATACAATTTATCATATCAGAATCAATTTTTGGCTAATTGTGCTGTACACATTACAAAAAATTAGTTAAGTTGTAAATAAAACTTAATATACATACATTTAGGAAAATTATCCATATAAATAATTTTATAGAAAAAAGTCTTGCATATGTCAATATAGTAAAACATATGTTTACATGTATGGAAATTAAAACCAAATGTTACGTATAAATGAAAAAAATCTATTGTGAATTTTCTTCTTTAATTAATGTTTTATTATTATTTTTAGTTACCAGTTCTGGATCAGTATGTTCAATATCCATTATAGCACCAATTCTTAATGTAGTACCATCAAATGTTGCAGTTGCATTAGGTACACATGAATGATTTAATACCGAAGCAGCAAGATATATCCCTGTTCCAATAGTGTTCAAGTTATCATCTAATATATTAAATGCATTAATACACATCTGCAAAAGAAATAAATAAAAAAACAGTTATTTATACCTAATATCGAAAAAAAGTTAATATTTTAAAATTCAAAGTAGGTATAACATTGTTCATTTAAAAAAATATTAAGATAGTATCTATAGATATATTACTTGTTAAACCATTATACAGGGTAATACTGTTAAAAAACTAAATATATTCAAATTTTTGTTGAGGAAGAAGAAAAATGTATTTTAATTATATATGAAAAATGATTGGTCTAGTGGTTTTTCTAATTGTAACACATTAGACATTTTATTATTGGGTATTCTTTATTTTATATTTTGTTTAAATCAGATAGTATCATTATACCAAGAAACATAGATTATACATATTATTTTTTATATTTTGTAAACTTTTACCACAAAGGTTTTTATTATATATTTTGAGTCTAAACATTTTTTTTTTTAATTTACTCACTCGACCGTAGATTCCAAGTAAATCTACTGCATTAGGAAGATTTGTTTCACCCATATATTCTTTTAACACTTCACACAAAGTAGCAAAATGTTCTAGCCGATGAGAGTCATTTTTTAAATTAGGGTAATCTAAAATAATAAATCAATTAAATCTAAATCACTCATTTCAGTATTAGATGAAGAAATATGATTACGTGACATAAGATCCTTGAATGTTCTGTAACGATTAGTTGTGTAGTAGCCTTTTTCTGTACATCCTCCATTCTGCATATTAAATATTGTCATAAAATAGAATTTTTTTTATATAATACTTTGTAAACATTTATTACGACCTTAAGCTTGATTATTATTTTTGACATAATTCTTGCAGCATCTGGTATTGTTTTAGGAAGGATTTTCTTCATTTTAGCACATTCTAGTTTATGCTCAGCCCACGATAACTTTTGGCATGTACGATTACAGTAGAGAACATATCCACAGCCTGAACATCTAGAGAGGCTAGAACTAAAATATAACAGAATAAATGGGTACAATATTAAATATAAAATAAGTGAGTGTATCTATATATATATTTGATTTTGCTTACTCAGAATAACAATAATCACATTTTTCGTTTTTGAACGTGGACTTCAGTACATGGATGAATGGTTTATCAATTAAAATTGTGTCACCTTTTTTAAAGCATTTTCTTTTTTTATCCATAGTTAATCTGCAGTTACGTACTAAATAATAAATAATGCTGTCAAGATCAAACAAGAATACATATTTGAATTACAAAGTGATTGGGCAATAACGTGCATTCTGTCTCTGTAGCTTGTAACTGTGATATAACTTTCAGTACAATGTTTTTTGTGTGAGGCAATATCACTAAATCTTGCTAATTGCACCTCCGTTTACAGGCTAGCGAAGTACCGACTGCGACGACGACCGACGACGAGCCGGTACGAAAATAAATACGTAAACGATTATAGTATTGGTATTGTGATTTGAGATTGTACCACAATTCTTAAAATACCGATTAGCGTTGACGGCATATAATATTTATAAAATATGTTAAATCCATAACCTATAATAAGTCCCGCCCTTTTTTTCATATCAGATCACGGAAACCGCGGAAGTCAGGTACTTCCTATCAAGATTAACCTCTTATAGTCTAATTCAATATCCACAAATTTATATTATATAATGTCAATGCGTTATAAAACGTTTTTAAAAAATATCTGCTTAAATATTTCTGGTGCATCTATCGGCAGAAGAAAAATGAACATTATCAACGACTCTGATCAGCATTCAGCTTACAATGTAAGTAAAATTACCATGTATGTTTGCCGATAAGATTTTTGGTGAAACATGGTATTTTTTTTATATAATTATACACTTGGTACCTGGTACCTATTTAAAACATACGCACACCTGTTGAAAACGATCATCTCATGATTGTCCCTTTTTTAAACGGATTTACTGTTTGATACTTCATGGTCAAATTTTCAGACATTGTACCATTTTTAAGCTATTTATAGACTTTTAAAAGCAAGATTTTATATGTAATTTGTATTTGGTATGTACTCTATGGATATCTTTGTTAGACCGAACAAAAATGATTCAAAATTTAATACAAGATTTTTTATAAGTTGTACTTAGTGCCTAGCAAAAAAAAATTGAGTTTAACATGGTATATTTTTTTTTTAATAGAATTTTAATATAAAATTTTGATGATAATAGTAAATATTACGACCTTTTAATACATGTTTAACTGAACTCTGCTTAGAATATTTTTTAATTAGTAATGATTGATCATTGCATAAAGATGAACATTAAATTCTCCTCTATATCCTACCTTCCCAACTTCTCACCTACAACAGTGGCCCACCCATCATACCAAATATATCAGTTTATTTTGTAGCTAAATTTATGATTGCTTTCTAATGATTTTCCAATAATTATATAATTCACAAATTTATTTATGTATTTTATAGATTAACTAATTATAAAATTAAAAGTATTTTAAAAGTTAATATATTTTTAGAGAGCATGGGAGGGGGCAATAGGATATTCCATTCACTATTTCTTTAAAAGTTATTATAAACAAAATTTAATTACAGTTTACATTGGATTAAGTTAGTTATTTACTATGTGTAATATAAACACTGCACCAACCTAACCAATTATATTGTGTTGATGGCTCATGGATTTATGCACCTATAGATCTAATTTATTTTTAGTACCTATTCAATACAATTTTTATAAACTGATAATCTGACATAGTTCTTTCAGTTGTCCATAAATATCTATATTAATATATTATACTTGGTTTAATAATTTGTTTCAGGTATTTTTAATTTAAAATAAATTAGTATTTATCTACCTATTTAATAATTTAATTTCAGCAACCAATAGATTTCAATTAGATTTAGTCTAGTTCTTACAATGTCCCGTAAAGATTAGCTTAGGTTAAGTTAACTGATAGAATTTTAACAGTTTTTGAAAAATTTAACCACCAATTAGTGCTTATCAGACATTTTAATACCTAACAGGTCTTAGCTACTTGACTGAATTAAGTACTGAACTTTTTTATTTTTATTAATAATATGAATGATGAATAAATATCTCAATTTATAAATATATTTATACTTACTCATTATTCATTCTTAAAATGAATATTAAGTACATTATTTATATAAAAAAAAAATGAAAACCATGTAGCTATTCTCACTAACATATATGTGTTTGTTTATTTGATTTTTAAACTGAGTTTATGGCTAATAACCGACCACAGTTGGTCAATTATCTTATAAACTCTATTTAAAAATCAATGTTTTTGTTGGTGAGAATGGACCTTAAGTTCTTATATTCAATAGAAATTTATTACAACTTTTGAAGATCAGCATGTTTGTATTGTTGTAACCAGTACCTTAAACTTAAAAATAAAACATCTCATTAATGAGTTACAGGAATTAAATATTGTCTTGTATAATCCAAAAATACAGTGTAATTTTAATAATTAGAGCTCAGGACTTATTGCTCATATAAACATTAAAAAAAAAAAAAAAAAAATACTTTTAAAGGCAAACATGGTAGATGACTAATAGTCCCTCCTCTAATAACTCTAACTTGTAAAATACAATTGTCACACACTACACAAATGATTAATACAATATAGTTTATTTTAAAATATATATGTGATGTTACTTGTTATCTATTTAGTATCACTTTTTAAGTATGGTTCACTAATTTATGAAATCTAAAAACAATTATTCAGTACTATTCAATTTAACATAATAATTAATAATTATATTTTTAATAATATAGAATGCAGTTAAAATGTTGAACTCTTTGCAAAGTATTAATACTGTATTAACCCGTCATCCAAATAAAAGCAAATTAGAACAGGTGAACACATTTTTAAATAGGTAAATTGTAAATAATATAGTTATTACTATTAAACATGTATAAACACAATTTAATAGTGTTTATTTGGTGTTAGTAGTTTCTAGTTATAATGTAAATTGTTCTGAAGGCTATAAATGAAAACAGATGCAGTGTGAGTGATGGAGATTTGGACAAACTTTCAGTCATTCATGTTGCTGGTACAAAAGGAAAAGGATCAACTTGTGCATTTTGTGAAAAATTATTGTCTACAAGAGGTTATCGTACTGGTTTATTTACTTCTCCACACTTAATATCAGTCAAGGAAAGATTTCAAATTAATGGACAAGTTATTTCTGATGAAATGTTTGTGTTTTATTTTTGGAATATTTTTAATACACTAGTATCTACAAAAGTAAGTTCTTTTTTTTCACAATGTTTAATCAAGTAATTATATTTAGTTTATATAAATTTGTAGCACTGAATGAAATATATTATAAATATGAACTATCGCATATTATATTGCCGTAATTATAGTGGTATTAATTGCAATATATATAGATTTTTGTAAAATTGTGCTATAAATTAACAATGCTTATAATTTTGTCTAATTGATTTGCTTGGTCTTATCTGGTTTCAATACATAGTCAGTTAAATAAAAGTGATCAGTGTCAGTGTTTGTAATTGACAATAATAAATTATTTTCAATGAGTATAAAAATAATTAAATTAATTGGTTATGAATATCTTAAAAGGGGCAATCAAAAAAACTAATAAAAATAATAGTTTAATTGAACAAAACTAAAAATTAGAGTTTTTTTTTTTGTTAGTGAGCTGTTACTGTTGCCAAAAAATGTCAGATTTGTCAATACTACTATACATTGAGTCAGAAATAGTTTTGGTTACCATAATATTTTTAGACCATATCCGGACTTCAGTTTGAAAAACAAATAATATAATATAATAAAAAAATGCGATAATATTAGTAAGACAACATTTATTAATATGTTAATCATCTATTTCATGTCAACAATGATAATAATGGGTGATGTCCCGGAAAAAGTATGGACAAAAAAAGAAATTACAAATTATTCAATTATACATATACAGAGTGTAACACAAATATCTGACATATGATATAACTTTTAGACTGATATAGTCGTGTTTTTTGATTACTTTTCTAAAGTCCGAACTGTTATGACGAAATCTGGAGGTATGGTAACTCTAGAAATAGTTAAAGAAAGATATAAGGTGGGAAGAACTTGTTCATATATTAGCTATGATTAAATCTAGAGAAAAATGGTTTTGTTAAAAAATAGGCTCATTATTTACATTACAGTGTATTCACTTATAACTATCATATTCTGTACATGTATATTCACTTTTATATTGTGTACTATTATTATTACAAAAATTATTTAATTATAAAATAATAAAATGATGTTTTAAATTTTTAGTAGTTTTAATAGGTATTTAATTGCATAACAAAATAAGGTACCTATCGTATTTTTATTAAATTGTTTCACATATTCATATAGTATTACATGAAATATATTAATTTTAATGGCTCCTTGGTAAGTACCCAATATATATTGCTCCTGAGCAGTTCTGATCCTTAATCCAGCCCAAATTATATATGAAATAGAAATTTAATAAATAATTTCACTTAATTTCAATATTTGTTAGTTGTAACTTCTTATTATTACAGAGATCTGGAGAAGATTTACCATCTTATTTTATGTTTTTAACTTTAATGGCATTTACAATTTTTATTAAAGAAAAAGTGGATGTTGCAATTATAGAAACTGGAATTGGAGGTGAATATGATTGCACAAATATATTAAGGTAAATTAGATAAATTCAAAATCTGTTATCAAAACTGCTTAATAAACATTTACTAGTTTAAAAGTTTTAATTATTGTATTCTTATTTTATTTATTTTGATGCTATACTAGTTTCAACATTTTCAAAACTTACTAATTTTACTGGTATATATAATTATAACTAAGATTTTGTTAGTTAACAAGAATATATAAAAAAAACATGCAAGTTGTTTTAAGAAATAATATGGCTAATAGTTCTTCTTTTCCTTCGCCTTTATTTTATCTTTTTATGGTTGATTACCCTCTTCCTAATTTTCCACTTGACCCAATTCCTGACATCATTCTCACAAAAACACACACTATCCTAATATCATTCTCAATCGCGTCCAACTTCCTCTTTTTTAGTTTTCCTTTTCCCCTCTTTCCTGCTATGATTATTCTCATCACAATTCTTATTGCTTCTGATTCCTCTCTTCTCATGACATACCCAAACCATTAAAGTCTACTTTCCCTCCTTTTGCATACTGTCGAAGCCAAGCTTAAGCAAGCTCGTATGTATTAATTATTTATTTTCTCTCGTCACTCCATTCATTCTTCTAAACATTTTCATCTTTCCTGCACTCATTCTTCCATTTAAGTCTCATTGAAATTATCTTGTTACTTAAAACACCCGAAGCTTCTCTCCATTTTATCCAACCACACTTAATACTATATTTCATATCCTCGTCAAAGTTAACGTTATTTTGTACAAAAAATCCTTTGTGCTTAAATCTCTCAACATTACCTATTGTTGTTAGCTTACTTGTTTTCTTCTTCCAAACTCATACTTAGAATGTTCGTAATAAATCATGCAAACATCAGTTATTTGGTTAATAATTGTTTACAGAAAAACATCAATTGTTGGAATTACATCATTAGGATTTGATCACACAACTGTACTAGGAAATAGTCTACAAGAAATAGCATGGCAAAAAAGTGGAATAATGAAGCCAAGTTCTGTGTCAATTGTTACAAATAATCAACCTAAAGAAACAATTCAAACATTAATTGAACGTAGCATAGAAAAACAGGTAAAGTTCTGGTTTTAAAAAAAAATGTTATCGTAACATTTTGTGTAGGAAGGCATAGAACAATAATGTTCTTTGATATATGTGTAAGCATGTAAATATAATTTTAAATTTGTTTCTTAAAATTTTACTAAACCTAATACCTGGTGAAATCAACTAATTTTTTTCGAACTCTTATCTCTTATCTGATTTTAAATTATTGCCTTAATATAAATTCAAAAACTTTTTTCCTATGTCTCTAAAAAAAATGATCTAATTAACTAGCGGACTAATTTATTTATGCATACAGGTTACTCTCATAAATTTGATTGAATTTAATTAAATTAAGTAGTTTTTTTTAGTTTTAATTATTTTACCTTATTCTTTAGTTATGTTTTGCAGATAACCTCAGGGGAACTTATAATACTCCGGGGTTAACAAACCCAGGGCCCCGAACTCTTACTGGTGGAATGTCCAGGTGGGTGATACCAGTAGGCACAGTAAGCATTTGGTATTGTATCTGTTGAATAGAGGAAATTTCCCTTATAGTTGTCAATACCATTTTCCCTGTTAGAAAATAGACAAATGGTTTGGGTATGTCATGAGAAGGAAAGAACTAGAAACAGTAAAAATTAAAATGAAAATAAATGTAGTGGGAGGGAGAGAAAGATTAAAAAAATAGGAGGTTGGATGTGATTGTAAATGGTATAAAGACAATTGGTAAGGTGTAAGGTGAAATCAAGTCTAGTGGAAGTTTAGGTTCATGGTGGTTGACCCTAAATAATTAATGTAGAAGCTATAGTATTGCACATGTTGTATATTAGTTACATTTTTTTGTATATTTCTATTTTATTAATCAACATATAACTATTTAATTTGCTATAGGACTCTATCTGCTATCTAGTTTATCTAAATATATATTAAAAAATATTTGGTGCATAGGTTAGAACTAACTTTTAAATAACACAAGTTCTGTACCTATTTAAAATAATACTGTCAATATAATTTTATTCATAATAACTACTTAATATTTATTTTATTTCAGTCTATGTTATTAGAAGCTCCGCCATTCAATAGCTATAATTGGAATGGAAATACTACAAAATTAAGAGTTTTAAGTCCTGTGCAACAGATAAATACTTCATTAGCTATTCAACTTGCAAATGCATGGATCAATCGTAATAATATTCATGGTTAGTATTTTCATTAAGAACTATCGATTTTGGTCAGGTTATTGATGTTTTGAAGTATATTTGTACAACAACCACAGAATAGGTTTGGTGGTTTTGTAGATGCTTTGATGTTTATTGATTTTTACATTGAAAAATATATATAGATATATGGCCCATTTAATAAAAACTATGATTCTTATAATTTTATGTAAACAATTTATAAAACTAATAAAACTTAAAATGTATATATGATATATAAAATTTAAAATAAAACATAATTTAATACTTTCACCAAAAGTTTTAGAACTTTTAATCTAGTCTCTTGTTATAGTAAGTACTGGATTGTATTGCAATCTTTGTCAGATAATTTAATCAGAAAATTTCTTTTTTCAGTGTGCAAGAGATAAAAATTGTATTAAAATCTATTAATTAAATACAATTTGTTTTACTATTTATTATTAATTTTTAAATATGAAATTAGTTGTTTGAAAATTGGATATTAATTTATAAAAGCTATGTTATATATTGAAAACCACTGTCTAATTGCATTATTAGTCACATTGTTATTGTTTCATCAAGTGATTTGGTACAAACTATATTTAATTTTATGAAGAATAGTTAAGATTGTACTATATTATATTTCTTTAAAATATGATCAAATAATATTTATGGTTATGGATAGTAAAACATTTGTCTAGTGAACAAGCTGCATTATTCAATACTAGAAAAATGATTTTTTGCATGGATTTAATTTTAATTACACTGTTATGTGTGCATCACATTAGTAACATACTTAAATAAAATTATGTAATAAACCAAAATTAATTTTAAGCATTATTTTCATTTTTAATTTATCAATGTATAAGATCATTGTATTTTTCTTTTAATCACATTAAATTATTTTTTATAATTAATGTATGTATTGTCTATAATTTAATATTTTTTTAATTATGGGTCTCTTTAAATTTTGTATTGCATCAATAATCTCTCCTGTTGAATTATGTACTTTTTACTATTTTTTCTTACTAAATAAAATATATTTCTTAAGATTGTTATTTAACTATGAAGAAAGATATATATATATAAGTATATTTTTTTGAGAGGGCTTAATAAGGATTGTAAATTTGTCTAGAATGGTCAAAAATATGTAACATTGGGTTAAATGGTATTAAGCAAGCACCAATTTGGAAAATTACTAAAGAAGATCAACGAGCTTTAAGTGATGTTCATTGGCTTGGACGCAATCAAATTTTAAATATAACTCCAAATTTAACATATTTCTTAGATGGAGCGCATACAATTGAAAGTATACAATTATGTAGTCAATGGTACTTAAATCATTATCCAAAAACACAAACGTAAGTTAATATTATATAATTATTATAATTTTGAACACAAAAATTATTTTTATGTTATAATGACAATTTGTATAATTATTATATAATTGTACAAATTGTGTGGTACATTCATTATTCTGAAGTTAACAATTTTATTTGTAACAATGATTTATTTTTTTTAGGTGTATAAAAAATATTTTATTATTCAATGTCACAGCTCAAAGAGATTACAATACATTTTTAAAAATATTATTAACTGAAAACAAAATAGATTTAATTTTGTTATGTCCAATTTTTACATCTATTTGTAGTCATCGCCCAGGTAAATAGGTCTTAATATTAATTGTTATCTTTAATTTTCTTTCTACATATTTGTTACGAGTACTGTATTATTAGATTTCACATCTGGAATTGCATTTGGAATTGCAAACCATTACAAGGTTCTCTTAAGAAACATGATTAAATTGTAAATACTAAACATCAGTTTATTGAATACAAACAATGTATCCTAATTATTTAAAATTGTAATAATAATAATAATGTTTTATTTTACTTTTCATGTATCAAATATGCAAATAAAACAATTTATAGAAATTAAAAATAATATATGCTAAATTAATAAATTGTAACTTATTTTCAGGTCACCCATTTATTTTTTAACCCAGGAAGATTGGAAGTGTCATAGGCCTGTCTTAACTAATTCTATACATTTATTTTTTTCAGATACTATAAATTTGAATTTAATTTACCAAGATGAATTAATTAAATGTCATAACATGAAAAATACCATAAATTTCTGTAATATAGAAGTGTTTAATTCAGTAGAACAAACAATCAAACACATAGAATTGTGCAGTTCTTCTGAAAAAAACATATTTTATCAAGTTTTAGTTACTGGTTCGTTAAAACTTGTCGGTGGTGTTTTAGAAGTCCTCCAATCATGAAATATTGTATCTATTTAAATGTAATTTGTTTGAATTGTTCTATATGTTATATTTTTATACTATAATTAACCCAAAATATAAATGTTTTTATGGTTTACGAGTATTTATCCATTCACCCAAATGTATATTAAGATTATTTGTGAATTTTAAACAATGTGCATTGTATTTATATTTTAAATATAAATCAATGCTTAAGTATTTTTTCTGTAAACATATTGTTAATTTTTTTTTTAAATAATAATATTTAATAGTACATATTTATTAAAAGTTAGCATACTAAATTTACTATCTTTTTAACAATAATAAATCTGCTGTACTTTTATATATTTATAAAATATTGATATTAATCTTATGAGATCTAATGTATTAAAGATTGGTCTAATCAATATAGGAAAACATTGAAATCATATACTTTCACGCATGGAGATATATTTTCTAAAAAGTACAAATGCTATAACATGTTTGTAATCTTTCAATGACAGTAAGCGAAAAAAACCATCAAATGTTTAAGTAACATTTCAAGTTAAATTTCATTTAATTGATAATCTTTATACATTTGAATAAACTTTTTCTAAGGCACACAACAGTGCATGGATAAATAAAACAAAATTTTTTGGGAAAGACAAATAATATGAACTTAACATTTTATAAGGTACCTAATCTAAGAATGTTATTTATTTAGCATTAAATTTGTAAATATTATTTTACAAAACAATTTATTGTAGTTTTAAATTGTATAAGGATAATAGTTCAATTCTATAATTTAACATAAATACAATTAAAAAATATATATTTTTATTGGAACAAAAAGAATATAGGTAGTTTAACTATGTAAAATTAGATATAGCTTCAGCAATAAGTATAGATTTTTAACAATTATCTTCGTTTATTTCTTTTTGTGTTTCTGGAGCTGGCCTATGCAATTGATGTGTTTTCTTCTTACCCATGCAACTGTCACATTCATCATTATCACTTTCATCACTTTTGTCTTCATCAGGATCACCATATTTTTTTGGTTTTTCATAAATACAACAACATTTACTTTTTTTTTTGTCTAAGTGCTCATTATCTACAGTTTGTGCATCCCAACTAACTTGTTTATGATTATTTTTTGGCTTCTTTAATTTCAAATGTACAACAAGGTTATCAGTGGCTTGTGGCTGTAATATTACTGTTGCACTATTACTAGGTAATGGTAAGTTGGTTTCTTCCATTATTCCCAAAATAATTTTATAACGTTCAAAGTAGTTTAAATGTATTATATTTTTAGTAAATTTAAATAATTTGCTAAAATTTACAAAAATAATAGATATATTTAAAACACAGTAATTTAATAAATGTATAATACACAAATAAAAATCCAGAACATGAATTATTAAATAATAAACACTACAGTGATTATAGAATCACTATATCGGGAGGTATATGAATGGAATTTAATACAAACAACAAAACAAATTGAATTATGCTTAATGCTTAATTAATAAATACTCATGACTCATGAATGATGAATCAATAACAACTAGCATTTAGCAAGCTGCTATGGTTTAATAGTAGTAAACACCTTGGATACCGCTATCTTATCTATATTTGAACCAATTTTTATTTTATACCAAAGAACATAAAATATACCACAACCATAGAATATAATATAGTGCATAAATATTCCACTGTGGTCTAGGAGCGCTACCAAATTGTTTTGTCCACAAATATCTATACCACGGATATACAAAAACTTTATACGAACTTTATAATAATAATTAATAATTTAACATTTCAATTTTTTTACACCTATTCCTTATTATTTTGTGCATATAAAAATTAAATACCAATTAAAATATCTTCTAAAGTAAGCTACCATATAGTCCAATATTACATCCATAGAGAGCGTTTACTACTATCTTTTGAGTGGTGGAGGGGAGTACATGTGTCACGATTTTTACATCGTTATTCGTTCTGTTCCGTCTTATAGTAATCTTATAATATTAGGTATTATTTGTATCTATCTATTTTATTGATAGTAATTTATTGCAAGTTTAATGTTGATCATTCTATGTTTTCGGTAACAAATAAATCAAAACCATATTTTAATATTATTATTAATTTATTTTCATAATATTATTGTTTATTTACTTGAAACGTTTAGCGATTATCATTTTTCAATATAAATTTTACTACCTAAGCATTTACATAATGGCCGTATCGGCAGCTGCTGCCTTACTTGATGAACTTATGGGACGAAATCGGAATGATGGCCCGAATGCCCAAAAGAAACCAGTACATTGGGCAGACTCTGAGGTAACTTAGTTTTTCTATAAACATCAACACATTCGAAACATTTTCTATTTTAATATAGACAAATAAATTACATAACTTCTTATTTATCAAAAAGGTTTATAATGCGATTTTATTAAATTTAATGTTTCACATATTAATACATTTAATAGGTAGTATTATTTTTTAACCGTAGTTAGTTTTTTGCATTTCTATTAAATGGTGTAAATTGGTTGGTTGGTCCCTGTGAAAATGTATTGTTCTTGACAAAATCTCTACTTTTTTTTAATGTGAACATGTGGTTAGTTATATCATTATTGAGCAATATAAACATGTTAATTTCAAACCAAAAATAAATTGTTTAAACCATATTTTAGGTACTCCAGTGCATAAATAGGTTGGAATTACCAATTTAAAACATTACCATTTGCATATTATCCAAATAAGTTGCAATTTTTTATTTAGTTTTATTCAACTATAAGTAGGTAGTCAATTTTTATAAACTCTTTAAGAATCTAAATAATAAGACATCAATAGAAAAACATGAGGTTAGATAAAAGTTTAAATAATTAATTAAAAACCAAAATGTACCAAAATCAGGTTTACCTAAATTGGCTAAATCCATAGAAGACTACTCTATTCAGAATAAAAGTACACCAGTATGTGCACGCACAATTAAACATTCACACGCAGCTAGACCACCTAAACTTTCAATCACCGATTGTACGTCGATTTCGACTCGTTTTTATCTGCCACCAGGTGTGCTCTTATTCTGAATAGTATAAAAAACCAAATTATCCATCTCTATGTTTGATATACACATTTGTTCCTATGTTAGTGTATAAACACTATTTATTTTGTTTGTTCATATGTAATTTATAAGTAAACCGTTGCTATAGCAATTGTATTAATCCAAAATATTAAACATTTAAATCACATACTAAAATAATATTAAATTACATAGATTGATAATTATTTAAAATTTGAAAGTAGTGAAGAAATTTAGTTTTATCAAGATGAATTTTTTTCCTATGAAAAACATTTTTTCTATTAGTAATAATGTTCTGATTTTGTGTCATCCAGTACCTTAAAAGGTGTGGATTTATGACTGGTGGTATTTAATTAGACATTTTAAAAAACTGTTTCAAAAAACAGAAAAAAATCAATAACATAATGCATAGTTTTCTGTGTTACCAGTGAAGAAATATGAATATTATAATCTTATCAGTTTACCGAGATAATTTTAATTGAATATGATTTACTACTGGCTTACATTTTAAATGATAAAATAATGACTAAATTTTTGTTTCATACCTATCTATTGATATTTGATTACCAAATTTATATTTCAAATAGATTTTTAATTATTTGTCATGAACCATGATATAACTAGTAATACAATTAGGACCATATTTATTCAAATTAAATCATTATATTTTAATTAGAAATTTAATACTAAAAGTATAATATATAATAATTTTATTGTAATGGAAAATAAATTATGGGTTGTATACATACATATATACAAATATTTTAGTTTTGAGTAAAGTGAGGAATGTACTGGTTTTATAATGATGTTTATTTTTATATATTTATATAATACATAAAAATTCTAAAAGAAATCTTGTTCCAATGTTCAATGTAGCACCATTTTGAAAGAAAATTTTCCTGGGAAGGTACTTTAAGGAGGTAATATTTTAATTTTTCATGCAGTTTTCGAGAAAAACTGGAAAATCAACGAAAATAATGCTTTTATTATTTTCAATTTTGTTTGTTTGTTGTAATTTAATTAAAAATGTTTGTAAACTTGAAATTTAAACAAACCTATATTTGCCTTTTATAGACATTTTAATTTTGTGAGTTTTATACGTAATATTTATTTGGTAGGTACTTTTACTGTGTTAGACCAAACAGTAATGCTTGAAAATTCAACAAGAAGTTCATTATAAGTTGTACTTAGTGGTCAACAAGAAAACGTTGAGTTTAATGTAGTATTTTTTTTTTTTTTTTTTTAAATTTTAATATTAAATTTTGACAAAAATCATGTAGCCTTTTAAAACATGTATAACTAAACTCCACTCAGAATTGTTTTTCGTTATCATTGATTAATCATTGTCTACAAAAATACATAAATTTCCCTTCTATATCCTACACTCTCAACTTCTCACCTACAACAGTGACCAATCCATCGTGAGAAGTATGACTGTCTTTTTAATAATATATTTGAATGCTATGTAATTATGTTTGGAATAAAAATTACCTATTTTTTCAGTATCCCTGGGGAATTTTTGATTTTACTGAATTGTAATTTTCCCACTATTTTCATATAGGTGTTGAAAGTTTTTGAATTAAGAAGACGTTATACCCGCATCTACTGACTCAGTCCAATTACCTGGTAAAATGCAAAAACAATGCTTATGCAGTATAAGTAAAACTAACTTAATTTTAGTGTAAAATTACCTATTATGAAATGTATAGAGAACAATATTTTGGAGGGAATGTCATACGGTTTTTATGTTATTTAATATAATATATAGCTCTATAAGGTACAAAAATCTTTTTTTTTTAATAGTTGTTAATTAAAAATTACTTAAGACATTCACTCTAAAATATTGTTTTCTATACATTTCATAATTAACTCTTAAATTAAAATTAAGCTTATTTTACTTGTTCAATGTAAGCATTGTTTTTGCATGTTAACCGGTAATTGGACTGAGACAGTAAATGCAGGTATAATGTCTTCTTAATTATTTTAATACTAAAGACTATGCCTTGTTGCTACAAATCTTAATCTCCATTCTCTCTATTCATCGTCAATCATATGTATCATATTGTATTTTTATGTGTCTGAATTATTTTATTTAAATTTAAATACTATCTTATCTATAAATCATAATAAAGGTGTATCTATATTATGTACATTGTACATATTATTTATATTTTTAATTGTATTTATAAAATAAAATAACCAAATGATTTTTTACATATTATTTTGGTATATATAATTTTATATTTTGAATTATCTTATAATTGTTTGTTTCATTACCAATTTTTTTTTATTTTTTTAGTTTTGTAAATATTTTATGGTCAAGTTCTGCCCTCATGACTTGTTTGTTAATACTCGTGCTGATCTTGGAGCTTGTCCAAAAGTTCATTGTGAAGAAGCTAAAACACAATATAATGAAGCTAGTAATCGTTCTAAGATGCAATATGAAGATGAGTTTGTGGCATTTGCTACTAGTTTATTAAATGATGTTGAGCGCCGCATCGAAAAAGGCAAACAAAGGTTGGAGCTTATGAATAAAACTGAAACGGTTAGTATTCTGAAGCTATTTTATTATTACTTAGGTAACATTACATCATTTTAATGTGAGTTCTTGACAAATATTATAAATAACATAATTACAGTTATTGTTTATAATAAACGGTACTTAAATGAAATCAATAATTTCATTTGGCCTTAAAAGTTGTTAGCGTATTCTATAGGTAATTTAAAAAATGCAGATCGTGGTCAGATGCTGTATGTTGATCATGGATGCGGCGCTAACGGCCTCGAATCTTAATCACGTCAAAGGTTTTCGAGGTACATCATTAAATAATTCCCCCCATTTATATATATATATATATTTTTTTTTTTTTTTTTAATAATAAATAAGTTTAGATATTAGTTTAAATTATATGTAAATAATGGGTAATAATAAGTCAAAAATTTAAACCAATCACGAATATATTTTTGTATTTTTAACATATCTTGCAATTTGTTTTATATTTTCTCTGTATTTGGTCAATTTCATTTGTTTTTTAGGTTGCTCACAAAAACTTATGTCAATTTTTTTATATGCGTTTACTCACCAGATATTTTATTTTAGAAATTCTACCATTAAGAATAAAAAATAAATAGATATATTTTTAAATTTAATAAGAATATGATATAAGTTTGTTCTTATAATTTACGTAATGCAAAACTTACAATGATACAATTTCATTACTTATTGAATCATATTATGAAGACTTATTTATTTTAATTTTTCATGATAATCGTTTTTATAAATATTTTTAATAATAAAATAACATACCATACAACTTGAATTGAAAAATATTTAGCAATCGATTCAAAAAATATTAGTTATAAGAATTTTTTTTTGTTTGCTTAGTTTATAGGTTATTACTTATTATTGGTATTATGTAATTTTAATATAGTTTACATAATTTGAATTATAATTATTTTGGGAAAAATACTCATGATCAGTAACATATTATTTACTTAAATAACATTCTGTTGCAATGTTTTGTAGCCGATGTCTCATTCAAATAGTCAAAGTCAGAAAAACCAAGAGCAAATAAAATTGTTATCAGAAAAAATTAATGGATTGGTGCAAGAAGCTGAACAAATGGGTACTCGTGGTCATGTTGAAGAAGCCCAAGGACTCATGAAGCTTTGCGATCAGTTAAAGGACGAACGTGATGCTTTGAGAAAACAAAATGAAAGCATTCATTGGTCTCAAGTAATTTTTTAAAGAATATAACCTAAAAAAATCACGTTATGTATTAATATAATTATGTAACATTATTTTTTTTTGTAGACTTATGAATTAGCTGCGGCTCAAGAAAAACAAATGGAAGTATGTGAAGTTTGTGGCGCTTTTTTAATTGTTGGTGATGCTCAATCTCGTATCGATGATCATTTAATGGGAAAGCAACATATGGGTTATGCCCGTTTAAAAAATGCTGTTAACGAAATTCAAGAACAAAGAAAAAAATATATTGAAGAAAGAGAAAAGCAACGAGAAGAAGAGAGAAAAAAGCGTATGGATCGCACTAGGTAATTTTTTTTCTATCTCATCTAGTCTGAAATATATTTGAATTGTATATTTATTGCAGAAGTAACTCCAAAGACATAGATAGACATAGTCGTGATGCTGACCGAGACAAAAAATTGAATAGTTCCAAAGATCGGTCAAATAGAATTGATAGGTAAAAATGTTATAGTAGTGAAAACATTTGAAACTTAAATATTATTTAGTTTATAAATATTTATGCACTGATCATGTGTTATTTTTGTAATTTATTTCAGTTATAGAGCTTCTTAAATCATTATAATCTGTTGTAACTATTTATTTCACAGAAAATCAGAAAGACATGAAAAAGAAAGACGGAGAAGTAGAAGCCGTGATCGCCGTAATAGTAGTAGTCATAGACATAGAGGTATTTATTTTCATATTTTGTTTTATGTTCTGAATTAAGTTATTTCTTTTATTTGTTTTATTATAAGGGCACAATGGCAATAGTCGAAGAAATTATCATTAAAATAGTATCCAAGATGACAATACTTTAAAATCATTCATTACACTTAAGGTAAATATTTACTTTTCATGATAGAGGTTGTTTAGAATTGATTTTTAAAAACTCCATGCTATTTATGAGGTGTAATTTAAAAATGAGGGTAGGGTTAAGCATATAACTATGTAACTTATTAAAATAAAAACAAAAGAAAAAATCCATAAAAATTATTTTAATGAAAAAAAAATCCTGTTACAACTATGGTGAAATTATCACATAGCAGAAGAAAATGGTCATTATGGGCGCTTTATTTTCAAAAAGTGCTTACAAGTCATTCGAAAGTGCAGATCTTCAAAAATTAGATGTGACTTTTTGTCAGGTATTTATATTAAACGAGGTATTTATATAAAGTAAAATATCTGAAGTAAATAAATACAATGAAGTGTTAATATATGTATGCATGTATGTGGATATATATGTATATATGTATATGTATATAAGTATATGTATATTAATTAAAATATTTTATCCTCAAAAATTTACCACCCTTTAACACCTATATTGGAAAAATGTTCTCCCAGGCCAATAATTTTGCTATAGAGGAATCAGTTTATCGGATTGATGTTATAACATTGTACTAAATCCAGGGCTTAAAATCTAAAATATCATTAAAAATCGAAAAATTATACTTCAAAGTATAACTTCAAAAATATTTTATTAATGATATTCAAAATTAATATAACAATTTCAAAGCTCTAATAATAGCTCTATTAATATTGTTTGTCATCAAGTATTGGGATTCCCAATAATATATATGTAACTAATACAAATATTTTTAGTAGGTACTGACAATAATCAATATTTGGTTTCTTAGAATAGATTGATTAACAAGGTGTTTTATTATTACAAACATAGTGGGTTATTGCCATAATTTAATATAATAGTCTATGTTTTTTAAAAAAAAAATGATTTTATCAATTATTAGACAAAATGTATTCTGTATATGATATATACATGTATTTATATTTCAATTTGTTATATTTGAATACTAAATACTACTATATTTAATTTTAAAATTACTTTATCTAGGCCCTAGGTGCTTTGCAAGCACATATGGAATTTGTTGAAAAATAAACCCCCGATTTCTTATGCCAAAACACATAAAATAAGCTTGTATTTTATGTACAGTATGTTGATATGCAACCATGTAGTGATATCAAAAACTGTTCTTATCATTTTTATATAACTACTGTCAGAAGTATAATCAATAATATATAAATTTCCTATAGCGTTTATAGCGTTTCCTAAACTATAAGTTGAAAATGAAAAAAATTGAGGAAAAACTGAAAATGTACAAAATATAAACATTAGTTAAAAATTATTACGGCCTTTTTTCCTATGAAAAACTTTTCTAGCAGCAATTTTGTTCCAATTTACAATGACGGCACTTTTTCTGAAAGGTAATCCGACTAGAAAGATACTTTAAGGATGTCATTTTTTGATTTTCCCAAGAGTTTTCAAAGCAAATGTTATAAACTGAGAAAATCGGTACAGTATTAAAAACAAATATTATTAAAAAAAGTATACAATAACTATTTTACCATAATATAACATATATATTGTTGATAAAGCATTACTATCAACTGAACTCTGCTTGGAAACATTTTTTCGTTAGCAATGGTTCATCATTCCTTATAAAAATACATTAAATTCCCTTCTGTATCCTACCTTCCCAACTTCCCACCAACAACAGTGGAGGTTGCCATAACAAAAAGGTTGGGATACACTGAGCTAAACTGTTTTAACTCAAAACTTAGTAATTTTCATTGCTGCTACGTTATTATAATTGTAATATTTAATTTTTAAAATTGATTTTCTGTAATGACTGCAACAATGTGAAATTTATAATATCAATATATTATTTAAATTTAAATTAAAAAACTAATATTAACAACCTAAATTAAAATCAAACATTCTTTATTTTAATTTCAAGCCTTTTGACTAAATCATTTGACACAATTTATGTTATTAAATCAGGTGATTAGCATTTGCCTACACTACTAATCTGGAAATTAAAATTTATTTGTTTACAATTTGTAAAATGGAACATTTAGAATATGTGACAAGGTTTAACTTGGTATGAATTTGAATACAATATAGTGATACTTAAAAAACTTGTAGCCATTTTGTAAGTGAGGGTGTTAATTTATAGGGTGGTAAGTTAAGTTTCCAATGTCTGTTTTACACATGTATATACATTTTATTATGTGAAGTAAATAATTGTAGGAAATCTTTTAATTCAATTTGTTATTATTTTAATACATTTACAAATAAAAGTTATTGTTAATGTTTATTTTGTTTTATAATAGATCTCAAAATGTAAGCCAGTATTTTTTAATAATTTAATATCTATTATTAATCTAGTACTGTTTTAGTAGTATTTTTATTGGTGTAAAATTATTAACAGAATTGTTTCAGTATCATGTCAATTACATAAAAATAATAATAATAATAAACAAAATTAGCTTTTTTTAATTCTATTTTCCTAATTTATTTTGAATAAAATTAAATTTAAAAGAAGATTCTAATTGTAACTTTAATATTTTATACTATACATTATTATATTATTAAAGTATTACCTAATAAGCATATTAAATAGCAATTTACATTAAATAGTACTGGGTAATAATTTAAGTATATTATTGATGCAAACATTTTTGGAATTTAAAAAAAAAAATTTGTTATTCAAAATGTTTTTTACTTATAAATAGTTTAAATTTCAACTAAATATGCTCCTAAGAGTTATTTGCATATTTTTACTCATTTTACATTTACAATTTTATTTTTATTTTTTAGATTGAATTTGATGTTGCAGTGTGTTGTAAAATGTATAACACAATCAAAACTATATCTTTTTGTCTTAAAAATTAAAATTAAAAGCAGGTAATATTTCAATATACAAAATTATTATAATAATTATTTTAAGTAAGATTTAAAATAAACTATTTACACAACAAAAAAAAAAAAAACATGTTATTGTGCTTTTTTTAAAACACTTATTATTTTAGTAATTTACATTATATTAAAATTAAGATAAATACAGCCATAAGTTATTTAACTAAGTAATGCTGTCAAGGAATCAAAAAACTTTGGTCGATCTTTGGTTTTTAGTTCAGCAATGGATGAATCGAAGTACTTCAATTTAACTTCTATATTTGTATTTTTTGCAACTTGCGAAAATGCTTTTCCAAAAAAACTGAAACATTATATAATTATATTATACTTAAGAATAGTAAATTTAATACATAATGTAATTTTTTTATTGAAATAAAAATAAATGATCTAATAACAGGTTAATTTTGTTTTTTTCGTATCCTTATGAGAACAAATTATTAATTGGTTTCAATAGATGTTTGAAAATCACTTTTTTTAATCAGGTAGCTGGATTATTTGTTTTGTCTTGTACACTGTTAATACTAGTATAACATTCAAAGAAATAAATTATTATAAACTGTCATTAATTTCATTCATATTTGGTTTTTTTTTTCTTATTAATAGTGTTGATTTCTGGCTTTTGAGTCTAGGTAGAGTAAAATGTTGAATATTGTGTATTATTATTAACTTTTATTTGTTCAAAAACAATAAACAGCATTAAAAGATTTAAAAACAAAAATACTACAAGATCCTCCCCCTTGGACCATAAATTCACGGATCATGATAATACAACAATATTTTAGTTTCAATTTTTTTTTTTCATACATTAAAATGATAAATTTAATTTACCTTCTAGGCATTGTTTCTGTGATTGGAGGGATACCAACTATTAAACATGTTTCTTGCTCTGAATTAAGAGTAGCTGAAGCAATTAATGGCAAACGAGTAGATTTAGTTTTATGTGATGATGCAATTTGAGCTCTTAGTGCAAATGAGGCAATCATCATTAAGCAGTGAGGGTTAGAGTAATGTTGGGAATGTAACGTACCCTAAATAGAAAACAAACATAATAACATTAAAAATTAAAATTGATTTATCCATTTTTAAACAATTGTATAAAAAAAAATTTATAAAGTAATAATGTACCTCTTGTATAATTAAATAATAAAATGGTCCAGCCAATATAACTTGTCTCATGTCCAAAGCAGCTTGAACATGCCTAAACATGTTAGTTAATATCCACTTGGCTTTTTCTATTCCTTGATCCAATAAATCTTTCTTTGATCTATACAATATTTATAATAGGTATTTTTGATATTTCATTATACACCTTTTAATTTATTAATTTTGAATACTTACCGAGACAATGAATCCAATGTATTATAAAAACACTGAGTGGGGGGATTTTCACGAGACTATAAGTATATAAATAGATTGTTAGAAAAATTGTAAACATATAGTATCTTGACAAACTTACATCAGTTTCTAATGTAGCAACTAATGAATAAACATAATCAGCACACTGATATCTTGTTTTAAATCCTTGATGTAACATAAATGAAGGGTAAGTCATTTGCAATAAATTATGTGCATTTGACATTTTTTCCATCATACCATAAAATTGTTTGCGCAAACTTAAATCCATAGAATTATACATCTGACGACTTTCAGCTAACGGTAATCTAAAGAAAATATAATTAAAATTATATAATTTCTAAAAATTATATTATGAATATGATAACAATATAATAATATGACAAGAGATTAAAGTACCCCATTTCTGCAAGTATTTGCTTTAATCTTTTTTCCCCTTTGATTGTCCAAAGTTTTAATGATACTGCTGTAAACATAGAATATCGAAGACTACATTCAATCGTCCAGTGTCTATATAAAGCCAATAACAGACTGAAAATGGGTAAAATTATTATTTTGTTTAACTTAATATTTAAATATTTATTGAATATGTGTTTTACTCTTTTTCGGATTCAATTCGAAGATGTGTATTAGTATTAGATGGTTTAGATATTGATGATTGTGACATATTTTCTTCGTCATCATGATTAAGAGTAGAATCACACAGACGACCAATGTGACCAGCTATCAACTCTACTTCTTTTAGGTAACGCATGCGTTCTGTCTTGCCTAAGATGTATTGTTCAGTAACACCAACAATACCCCACCTTTTATGAACAAAAAAAAATTCATAAAAATATTAAATGTGTGTATTAAAAAATATATCTAAATATAATATTCACCATAACAAATCAACTGATTCTCTGTGTAACTTCCATGCAAGATCAAACATTAACATAGCAGCCTAAAATTGATCACAGAATTAATAGTAAAAAATTAAATTAAAATAATAAAATGAAATTGAATATACCGAACGTCCATAATATGAGAATTGAGTATAATCAAATAATAGTTTCTTTCTGTTTTCGTCCCATCTTCTCCTTTCATTTCTTTTAATATGTGCATTTTGATCAAGTTTTCTCCTTTTGTTTTGTTGTTCTTCAACATTATCAACATCAGACCCTCCTTCATCTAGTTCTTCGGAACCTATATCATCATCTGACGACTAAAAATATACATTTAAAAAACAGTCATGTATAATAACCAATACTTCCATTTAAAAATAATTACTTCATTTTCATTAAAAATATCTTCAAAATCTGGAATATTTTCATCGTCATCAGGAGGTGTTAGTACTCTTACCTAATATTAAATATAATTTATATTGTTTAATAAAATGTTTTGTATAAAAATAGAAATATATAGAAATTTTTAAATACCTGAGAACTACTATAAATATTACATATTTCTGTTGGCCTATGACTGTCAACCACAAAAAATATAATATCTTCTTCTGGTTCCAATATTTCTATTATATCTAATGTACCACCACAGTTGATTAACACTACATGTTTTACCTGAAAAAATTTAACTTTAAATATTTGAAAAAATATATAAATGTATGACAATTTAGTTTACATCAACTTTTTGTTCTTCAAATGCATTTTTAAATTCCGTAGTAGTTTTTACTGGTACTAGTACATAAATTATGTTGTCAAACCGTAATATACATTGCAAAATTTTGACAGCACAAATGGCATCCACATCGTAGTTTACTAATATTAAAATTTTCTAGAATAGATTGAAAAAAAAATATACTATTCTACAATTATCAATACGTATTAAAAAAGAATATTTTAATATGTACTGTTTTATATAATAAAAAAAAATAATAGACAATTTATAATTGTACAATCTATCTTTAAATTTTGAAAAATATACAACATTAAAATTGTATGTTATATTTATTCACTATTTAGTTCTTTTAATTATGTATTAATTGAATAACATAATTTTAAACTAAAAACTTACCTTATTTTTAACAACATACCAAAATGCATAATATTATATAAGGATAGCATAAATGTAAAACAAGAGATTCCAAAGTAAAATTTTAAAAGTTGTCTGTATTTATAAATCTAACTAATTTTTGTAGCAAAGTATGCACATTTATATAAATAAAATTAGATCAACAATTTTTGGATTATATGCATTTTTACCTCTAAATAGTCTCCAATATATAAATGATTTTGAATTAAAAAGACACGTTACTGAATTTATGGGTTTTACCGGTGATATTGTTAATGGTAATCAATCAAAATATCCAAATTTAAACATTTAGAAAAAAACGTTTTTATAAATAAACAATGTGCTTTTAGACTTTAGTATTCTATTAATTTCATCACTATCTACTTAGTGTTAAACATCTTTTTCTATGATTGCAATGTTATAATTTAATATTTAAACTAATCTTTATTAGATATAGTGTTATCTACTAATATATGCAAAAGAATTATTTAAAATTTTAACTTAAATTTTCTTCTTCTTCTGGTTTTAATGACTATCTAAGAGTTTAATGCCAACACATCACGTTACCTATCCATGTTAACCACCGTTTCTCTCTATGCATCTATTCCAATATTCCTTAGATATTCTTTGACTACATCGATTAACCTCTTCCCAGGTCTTTCCCAAGGTCTCTTTCAACATGGTTTCCATTCCATTATTACTCCAATTGTATCGCTTTCCCAAATTAAGTTGTATTTTATACTATTTAATAATATTAATATTTCAAAAAAATATGTGTCTATTTTAAAAAAAAAAAAGCATTTTTTAAAATTGGATATTTATATTGACCTAGATTATTTATTGACAGTACCAGTAACAATAGTAAATCAGTTAAGTTTTTCAAGAGAAAAATTAATTAAAATTTACTAGTACTCTACTACGTTCAGTCTAATTATCAATCTTGGTTGTAAAATCAAAACTCACTCAAAGAAAATTAAGAAAAATGCTGTTGAAATATAGTTAATAAGTAGGTACTCATTTTTGTTTAACTCTACTTACTAAGTTGTGTCATGTATGATGTATACAAACTAGTATGTTAAAAACTATTTCTATTTGCCAGTATATTAAAATACACTATACCACTGTGTATTTAACAATAACAATTTTTCGAAGATAAATACATCCATTCTGATGTCTTCTAATAATATTAAAAAAGATTCCAATTAAAATACTAGCCTAAAGTGCTATTGCAATCTTACACCAACCGTATGTGGGCACTTACGTTTTTTGAAATTATGTCATAAAATCCTTTGACTAAATCCTCTACAAACATATTTAAACAGTTGGAGAAATCCCTGAAAATTAAAATAGAATTATTTAAATGTTTATACAAATACAATCTTAATGAAGGTAAATGAAGTGATGAAAGAATGAAAGTGAATCTTTTCCCATGACTAAATATGACTTTGATTAAAATTACCAACTTTTAAAATAGCTTTTTCTACAACAGATGTAAAAACAAATTGTATTATTATGCTAAATGTAGTTGCTACAATTGTATAGTAGTGTTTTTTATAATTGTGGTGATGGTTTTACTATACTCACCTACACTAGTAAAAGTATTTCGAATATAAATAGGTAATTTTATGTTATGAGATGACACTTTTAAGAATTCATTTTTTTATTTTAACGCGCAATACACAAGGAAAATCACAATTAATGGTATGAAATGCAAGTACCTACCTTATATAATAAAAAAATGTAAAGCAACTCTTACCTTCCTAGCGAAGTCTCTCAGTTTCTTCCAAAAAAATCATCACATAGTACAACAAAAGCGCCAATATCAATAAGAAACATTCGTCTTTATTTCTGTGAATGATATTCAACAGCAACATTGTTCAATCACATCCAATAATAAAATTAAAACGACCATCCAAACGTAGTGATAATATTTGAAAATTGGTACAATAGACGTAAGTATAATTTTTTTTTTCAAATAACAAAAATAATACTTTTTTAGATAGGTATATAGTTTATAATTACACAGAACAATTTTAGTAATAAAACACTAATTAGGGTGGCAAATACGAAATTGACAAGTGACTAGAGAATTGTAGTGATACAACCAAACAAGTACACAACTGAAGATGATCGATAACAATTAACAACAATAACAAAAGTGAAAGAAAAAACGCACAAATTCGCGGTATAACCTTAAACTTGATGTTTAGGAAATTAAAATATTTAGAATAATAGTTTTTTTTCGTTTTTAATTCTATACCAATCTAATTAGGAATTATCAAATATTTGAACAAACTGAATTTCCCCAATTGCGTCATTTAAATTAATTTATTCTTTCCTATCGTCCAACTTGTTTAAATATGTACTTATATAAATATATATATATATATATATATATTATATTAAATAAAAACTAGCTGTGGTCAAAGTAAAACGGTGTGATGCATCACAAGGAGTGATACCTATAGTATTTTTTTTTTCGTTACAGCGGGTAGGTAATCGATAAACCTTATTTCAATCTGCGCAGGTCTACATGCGTACTTGAAGCGAAACGCTGTGCGCAATATCATTTAAGTTTATTTTTTTTCATCACCTGAATTTAAAAATAGTACACTCGTTTCGAGTTTTCCACTTGGTATTTACAACCACCTATACGTATTAACTAAGATAGCCACGTATAGGTACAACATTTTAATGTTTTTATGAATGAGCTTTATGCCGTTATACCAATATATACCTTTACCTGTATATGTATATTATAATCGATGGCGTAGTCGAGGGGGTGGATGCTATACCGCCACATTGATTTTTTTCGTTACAGGCAATGACGTATTTTCGAGGTGTTGGGGGATCGCCGGTTCGTGACCCTTAGATTATAAAGTATATATTATATTATGTCTGCTTAGTGTTTTGTATTTATATATATTATAATTCAATCGTATTTAAAAGATACATACGACATAGGTTAGGTGAGGTTACTTCAAACTGTGCGGGAAATTAAAATATTTAAAGGACGAATAGTATTTTCGTTTTAAATGATTGTGCTCGGGATAAAAAAATCGTATCTTTCTCCAAAAACATAAAAATTAAAATACAAAATAAAAAAAACACATATGTGTAGCATGTATCCGTCACTAAAAAGTCGAATTTCCCCAAACCTATTTTGTATATTACAACACTATACTGCAATATATTGCTTCCGAAAAAAATGTGATATTTTTACATATAAGTGGTGGTGGAACAGGGTGGGTTTTAAAGTGGAATTGTCTTTCCCAAAAGGCTCTTTTTTCACATTAACACAATGCTCCAAATTATAGAAAATGTCATCTCTCTTCATTTGAGGACGGGACACCTGCAGGAATGTTCAAAGCCTAACACAAATCCTCTCCCGTGAAAAATTTTCGAAATTCATATTGAAATTCAATTCAAATTTTTATAACATCATCAATTTACTTGTAAAACAACATGATTTCTCAAATTTAAGCTCATTTGTTCACCATGGAATCGTTATATAAGAGTGACTTATAGGGTTCTATATATGTAGCGGAAAATAGATCTTTAATTGAAGATACAATACAGTACATTGTCATTAATAAAATTCATGATGAACATAAACCCGTGCTCCCCATTTATTTATCAATTTTGTACATCTATATAAAAATGTATAGGCAATAGATTATTCAAATTAAACACATTACTCTTCTCGACTTTATCCGACCACACTTAATCGTATATTTAGCATTCTCATTAAATTCACCGCTATTTTATACAAATGATTTTAGGTACTTAAAACTCCCAACCTCGCCTATAACTACTAATTTTCGTTAGCTGCAGTGTTGTCCTATTCCTGTAAACTGTAAGTATATTCCTTTAAACTCATACTCAGTTTTATTTCTACTTACCCTTGGTCCCTTTCCTTCAAGTGTTACTCCTTATTCCTCAAGCTTACTGTTAACCTTTCCAGATTTTCTCCTATCTAGGCTATATCATCTGCATAAATAGCATGCATCATGATACCTCCTTTCACATGTTGTTCCTACATACATCCAAAATGGAACAATCTATCAAATTCTTGTTTAGAGCTCCTTATACTGTTTGACAGAATTTTAAATACGCTGTCGACCTGACGCAACCACATTTGTCACCTTTTACGATGGATAGAGGTACCTACCTGGTAGTAGGGGTATTATGATCCTCTTCCACATGGAGCGTGTTGAAAATATTATAAATACGTAATAATATTATTATATAAAATATATTGTAAAGTTTTATTGTGCATTTACTCATCGAGTAATGATACCCAGCTAATCCCTGGCTATTATTTATAATTTTATAATAGCGAGTAACTAATTTATCAAAAAGCCATGCAACTTCACATGTAGATGTAGCCACTGCTGTAGGTGAGAAGTTAGGAAGGTATTAGAGGGGAAATTTATTGTTTATCTGTATTTGACGATAAACCATTGCTAACGAAAAGACGATTCTGAGCGCAGTTCAGTTAATAGTGTTGCTTTGTCAACAATATATATGCTATATTATGGTAAAATAACTACATGGGCATTATGTATTTTCTTTAATAATATTTATATTGTAGGACCTATTTTTCCGTTTTTTCTCAGGTTTTTTTTCAGCTTTTCATATTTGATGAGAAAACTCTTAAGAAAATCGAAAAATTGCTTCTTTAAAGAACCTCCTCAGTCCGATTTATTTTCGGAAAAGGTGCTACACTTAAAAATCGGAGCAATATTTTTGGTAGAAAAATTGTCCACAGAAAAATTTAATAAACATCTTTGTAAAATCATAAGCTTTATCGCTTCACTCAGAATCTAAAATAAATATTATTTAATATAAGTAATCCATCATTACGATCACTATTTTTTCTGAATAAATGATTTTTCATATAATTAAATTTTATTTTGTGGTATAAGATGACATGTATAAATTAAATTAAAAAAATTCAGTGAATGAAGAAATTTCGAGGGGGTTTTGATCCCTTAACCCCCTTCCCTCTTTGTGTGCGCCTCTGGACCCCCGGTGTCACGGCATATTGACGAATAGTACCGAAGGTTGCATCAGGGGCGTCCACGGTTTGTAAGTCAAAAAGGGTTATATAGTGGCCGATATGGACACACAAACGATAATGAGCCATTAAATTTAAAACCTGTAAATAATGGGTATCTCCGGTAATTTCTAACACACGACAAATAACATACGTAACTTATCATAATTTAATGTTTACTACATTTCAGGTAAAATTATCGACCAGAAACATAAAAAAAAAAAATCTTTGATTGTTATTAAATTCTTAGATCGTAGATTCTATTATTATTTAATTATTATTCATGGATTCTTGAGTAAATCAGTATAAAAATATATTTGCACATGAGTTTACAAACAACAATTTATCACAGAAAATTACTGAATTGGTGACTAAAAATAAACTTAACTAAAAACTTGATAATATTTCTGCAATATAATCCAAATAATATAGCAGACATATTCTTTAATCTGTACCATAAGCTAAAATATTCTGAAATATTCTCTCAAGTCAAAATATACACTCATATGCAAAAAAAAAAAAAGCTTTTTAATAGATTCTACAAGTTATAAAACGCAAACATTTCTAACTCCCATCAAACAGCATACATTTGTTAAAAATATGTTTTTGTGTACAAATCTGGACTCTGGTAATATCCAACAGTAGGTAACAAAATGATAGTTGAATAATATATAACTAATTGAATAAACCACTGAATTTTTACTCTAATATTAAAACTAATAGCATAACAATTTTCTTACTGAACACTAATTTGCTATATTGTATATTTGTAAGACGGAAACAACAAAAATATGTAGATTGTCCTAGTTAATTCCTCATAATATATAATTTTTTTTTTAAAAAAGATTTATTTTAATAAAGTATGTTATACACATTATATAATATTTATTACACATAATATATAACTATAATTTTTAATAAACATTATATCAAGAAATCATGATTCATTTTCATTATATTTCAAATTATAAAGTATAATTTATTTGTATTTATACATTTATTGACCCATCAATTGGGGTGGTGGAGGTATCATATTATTCATCATTTGAGGTGGTCCAGGATTAAACATAGGCGGAGGAGGGAACATATGAGACATCATATTTGAACCAGGTTGATGCATCATGTTGTGTTGTGGTGGTGGTGGTAAAGATGGTGGAGGAGGTTTCATTGGAGGAGGTGGCTTCATTTGTTCAACTTTGTATGCAAATTGTAAATAAAATTGTTTGGCCTGAGTATTCCAATGAGCCCAAAATTTCATTTCAGACTTATCCACTTCACGACTGGGTACTTTGAATGCAATGGTTTCATAAGGTTCAGCAGCAAATAACAAATATTGCCATTTTCTATCAGGTGGTTCAATTCTTTGTTCATATGCTGACATAAAACGATGACGCGGTCGTACATTATCAGTAATTTCTAAGTGCATAAAAAACAAAAGTTAATTAAATACTGTATAATTTAAATAATTTCATTACAAAAACGAATTGCATACCAGGATAGTCAATCTGAAAAAGTAAACTCTGTTGTCCAGTTTCAGGATCTTTCTGTTTTGTAACTCGATATCCAGGTCTTCCAATCTTAACAAACTTTTTGGTTTCTACTCGTGGTTTTTCAGGAGCTGGTTGTTGTGGAGCATCCTTAGCTTCTTTAGCTGCTCGTCGCGCTAAATTTGCTTGATGCTTTTTACCTTGTGTATGAGCCAAATAACTGCCCTCATTATTATGAAGCGTCAAACAAAGTTTACATTCATAAGATCCTGGAAATATAATTATTATACAATTAAATGTGCTAGAAAAATATTGTTTTTATAAAATATTAACCTAAATGATTTTTCATAAAATAGGGATCTTTTTGAAGATCAATTGTTTCCAATGCCAATTGCCGAAGACGCTCACGTCTATCCTTATTTGTCTCTGTCCATGATGCTACACCACCACCACCGGTTTTCCCACCGGGACGGTTTTGGTAATCCATTGTATTTTATTAACAAAATACCTATAAGTAATAAAAAAAAAAACAATGCACATTATTATAAATACTATAAACATGAAATTACAATTATAGTCTGATATCTTAATATCTGGTGTCCATCTAGCTAATGGAGCTATACAAAGAAATATAAATACAATTTAAATTGTGACATCTACTTAGGTTATAATTCAAACAAATATAATCAAATTTGAAAAGGAAAAATGGAAATATCCATATTTCTTATAACCTATAGGTTTATCATAATAGGTCATCTAGATACTTAAAACACATCAAAATTAAAAATCTATAACTTGTATAAAAATAATAATTTAATAAAATAAAAATAAATTAAATAGTCAGCAAATAGTTTCATGAAAACAATAATAATATTAAAGATAATTTTGGTTTTTAATTGTTATAGTTTGTTTACAAGGTTCCTCTTAATAATTAATCAATATTAATATCTAATAAATAAATAATGTAACTTACTGAATAAAAATGTATGAAGTGGTAAACTTTATTTTAATTTGTAATTAATAATTCTTAATTTTCAGAATAGCCTAGGTTAAGATTAGAGATGTGTAAAATGTAAATAAATAAATAATACAATCAACATCATCACGCAAACCATTAAATGGTCATATCACTACTCTATGTTCTTTGATATTATTGGTTGCAGTCGACAGTTGTTACTACTGCTTATAGCCCGCCAAAATGCTTTCCATCTAGATTTTTGAATGAAGTAATATTTTCTTGTGGTAAATTAAATACAACAGCTCTTTATTCATTATTCAATTTATAAAATGACTTATAGGTATGCCGTTTAATATCATCTACAACTTCAAATTACAAAAATATGCATTATCAGAGCTAACTTTTTATAGATTTATAATAAAAAATATAACAATTTGTCATTTTTATAATAAAAATGCTGTCCTATGATAATGTGGTTGCTGAATGGGTGCAGCCACTGTTACAGGTGAGAAGTTGGCAAGGTTAACTCAAATCAAACAACATCAAACCTGTATAAATGTAATAAATGATTATGAAGGTGTACGAAGATGGAAAAACTCAATTAACCCTGGATATTTTTATATAAAAAAAAAGACTGACATAATTCACACGTGGGTGCAGCTACTGTTGTGGGTAGGAAGTTAGGGAGGTAGGATACATATGGGAATTTAATGTATATTTGTAAGCAATGATAAACCATTGCTAACACTGAGCATAGTTCAGTTGATAGTGTTGCAACAATATATATGTCATACTATGGTAAAATAATTATATATGCATTATATATTTTCTTTAATAATATTTGTTTAATATTGTACCTATTTTCCTGGTTTTTCCCATTAATTAGGAAAATTAAAAAAAATACCTATTTAAATTACCTCCTCAGTTAGATTTCTTTTCAGAAAAAGTGCTATCATTATGAATCTGGTAGAAAGTTGTCCACAGAAAAAAAATTAAAATCTTTGTAAAATTAATACAATACTCTCTCCACTCAGAATCTAAAATTAATTTCAATATTGTTATAAAATATATGTTATGAGGACTAAAAAATTTTTGTTATTGAATAAATCAAATGTCAATATGTTGTTATCTAAGCCACTGATTTTATTTATTTTATATTGTTTTAACAACTAAACATAGGTTTAAAGATAATGTTGTTTATTAGACTACCAAAATGTATTTTAAATATGAATACAAATCATTTGTATTCATAATTTATTTGTATTATGATGTAAATGCCAAAAAATGCATTTAATACTTTGAAATTTATCAATTTAAGTCATCCAATGATAATTATAACATAAATTATACTTCATACAAAAACCAGATATTTTAACTATTTAGAAATTTAGACCATTTATTGAGCATACGTTGTTACTTCAATTTATGTTGCATATACTTACTTTTTTAATTCGTATAAAAACTAACTAAATATGTTTACTAGAAAAATAAATTAATAGTTTCATTTTCATGAATGTATTGTAGAAATATTCTTCACGATATTACAACTTGTGTTATTTGTAAAATTATTTAATATAGTATCATTAGTATTTTAAAAAAATATAGTATTTATTTATTGCCAGGAATGAAGCCCTGGAATGGTGTTGTATTATTAGATTGAGGGTTCCATCCAAATGAGTTTGGTTGTATTTTTGCATCTGTAATTATTAAATATATTTAAACAGTAAACTTTTTGATTGAATTAATGTAAATAAAAAATAATTTTAAATCTTTTTTAATTGTTTAAATAAAAGATACATTTATGAAAAAAAAAAAAATAATATTTATTTTAAAAGGCTTTAAATCTTAATTAGATATCAGTATTTAATTATATACCATTGCAAACAAATGATAGTATTGTAAAAAAAGTATTAAACTATAAAAGCATAATTTATGAAATATAATATCAATTTAATATTTTAACTTATACAGTTATGTTTTGGTACCTTGAGTTTGATGCATACTGGGCTGATCTAATCCAAAAGTTCCTAAATTTAGTGCTGCGGAAGCTGTTATATCTAATGGAAAAAAATGTTTAAGTTAAATAGATATTAGACCCCAATTTCATAAATACTAGTACATATTATGAACTTACTTATACCAGTAAAAGGACTAGGTCCAGTAGTGTCAGGACGAGATGTAAAGAAACTAGATGAATTTGAATTCTGATTTGTTTGGAAAATATTTGTAAAGTCATTTAAAATTTCTTTTCGGAAAGATAAATGTTTTGCTTTTAACACTTGGACTTCATTGTGTATACCATGTAAATGACCAGCTAATGCTATTATATTCTTGTAATACATTTCTCCAATTTTTCTTAACTCTGAAATATAAGATAAAATCAAACAAAACCATTAAATTACAAATAATTTGGACATACCATCTACAGTAACATTGTTATTATATGGTAATGTTGCTAAATATTGTTGGGTATTTTCAATTTCATTTTTCAATATATTTCCCTTCTCTTGTAATGATTTTATAAGCTCAGTGAAGTATTTGATGTTAGATTCCATATCATTTTGAACCATTGCAGGGTGGTCATGATTACGTTGTGCAATTTCAAAATCTTGTAAACACTACACATACAAATATCATAATATAGCATTAAAGTATTGTCTAATTTTAAAAAAAGAAAAATACATTTCTTATTTGTACACCTTATTAGTTTCATGTTTTAACTTTTCTACTGATGTTTTTTGTTTATCTAAATTATGTTCAATGAATTGTAAATTATTTTGGCATGTTGTTATATCACCTACTACTTCATTTGAACCTTTTGAAGACATTCGTGCCAATTCAGTGCTCATTGTTTTTTGTTGCTTAAGAAAATCTCTGAAAATTTAGTTTTTATAAATAGATATAGTATGAATATTGAAAAATTAAATATTTACTTTAAATGGTTGACTAATTGTAAAACTTCATTAGGTACAGGCATTTCCAGAGCTGGTATCGCTTTGTTTGGTGCTAAATATAATATCGTAAAACATATAATTAATTAATTTAAATTAATACAAATTAATTAAACTATACTTTGATTTAAATTTGAAGATGTATCGAGTCCGCCAAGCCCACGAGAAACTGAAAAACAAATATTTTATTTGTATTAATTAATTAAAAATAATAGCATATTAATTGTATACATAATAGTTTAACTTTTTGTAAAAAATTTAAAATAGCATATTTTACTATTTTGTGATGAAACAGAAGGAATTCGGCAAGAAGCCGACAATATATAATATTACATGAATTAAGAATTATCAATCATTGCAGAACAAAGTAATGTATAAACATTATTTGTGAAATTAGATTTGAACCTACCGGGAGCAACTGAAGTAGTAACGTTAGCAGCAGCACCTAGTGTTAATTGGGTACCAATAGTGGATGCTGTAGTTTTAGTATTTAATGTACTTCCAAGTGTAAATGGAGAAACAGTAGCTGCAGTTGTAGTTGTAGTAGAACCAAAAGAAAGATTTAATGGTGCATTTGGTGTTGTATTAATACCTAGTGAAAAACCTAAATAATTTTAAATCAATATATTATTTTATTAAGTTTAAAAACAATTTGTTTGTCAACAATTACCTGTTTTAGCAGCTGTAGTTGTTCCCAAAGTAGTTGTAACTCCAAAGGATAATGATGAAGTTGCGGGAGAGCCTACATTACCAAATGAAGTAAATGACGTTGTGGTAGTTGGCTTATTACCTGTTGCGCCAAAGTTACCAAAATTTGTTGTAGTTGATGCTGTCGAGGCAGATGGCCAACCAGCCACAGATGATCCAAAACCAAATTGAGGGCTATAAAAAATAAATTATTATAAAATATACTTATGGACAATTTTAAATGTAAAATTAATAAATCCTCATACTACTCAAGCGTACTTTTAATTTTAAAATATATCATTGTATCTAACATGAAATAATGTAAATAATAAAGTTTATCAATGATTTTCATTAGTTAACTTCAATGAAACTTTTATTTTACAACTACTACGGATAACCTAACAAATTATAAATAAAAAAAAAAGACATTCACAATAACAAAAAAACAAAATAATAAAACAAATAACTTACCACATTTGTTTTTTCTAAATATAAGTAATAGAAATAAAATTTAACAATAAATTATTAAATACATTAATAAAAATTTGTATAAGAAAAACTTGTACAATTTTTAGAAAATTGATATTAAACTTAAAAGAAATCTGAAAATATCACTAAAAATCAAGAACTAAAGCTGATTTATGTGACAAGTTATAGCTATGTCAAATAAATAATAATTTATTATTTTTTAGCTTGAGTAAGTATTTTTAAATTAAATATTTACGTTGCTGTTGTATTCGCAGTTGTATTGGCAGGAGTAGAACCACTCAAATTAAACATCGACATGATGCTGACAGATTTTGATAGTATAGGTACTTTAAATCGTTATAATAGTAATTAAAATTAAGAATTAATTAAATTTTTGTAAGTGTTAACGTTAGGAATTAATTTTTGAAGTAACAGTAAATACTTTGATATCATAAAAACGGACAAATACAGTAACACGGTTGTAACAGATTAATAACCGTGGTTGTTAATAATTTGAACCCATATAGATAATAATAATTATTATCTATATTTAAAGCCTACCATTGGTCAGAAATGGGTTTATCACAATAATAAAAGTAATAATCACTCCCACGGTCCCACCGGCCACCACTGAGGATTGTGCAATTGTGGTACATCCGTTATTGTTTTTATTATTTATGAGTATAAATGAAATTGTGAATTATTTAGAATAAACTTTTATGATCATAGTTTAGCGCCATTAAAAATCAAAGTATAGAATCTGCAGATCTTTTAAATTATTTTCATCAGTCTTCATTATAAACAATATACATAATGAGATATGCTCAATTGGTGATGGGACCTGCTGGCAGTGGAAAGGTAGCCATAGAATGTACATATATTTTTAGACAATTATAATATATATAATTGGGTAAGTTACCCACGGGAATGAGATATTTACAAGTAACAAATTAACTTGTTAATTGGTTCTTCCATTATGACGTGAAAGAAGAACCAATAACATACTTATGTATTTATAATATTAAATGGCTATTTGTATATATAAGTATAAAAAGCTATAAGAGCTATAAAAGGTAAAGTATAAAAGCTAGCTTTTTAAAAAATATGACTGAATAGAAAATCAGTTCTTCACTTATTCAGACAGCTATATTTTAACAACATATTACGATCCAGAATATTTCACATGGTACAGTGTTTAGTGATAGATGTATTTGCATTTAACATTTCAGTTTATAAAAAAATGTGCAAGATAAGTTGCTCCCCAATATATACCTAAACATTAATACATAAAAAAAATTAATAATTTCTGAAAAAATGTAGATATTTAATAATTTAAGTACCAAATATCTTACCTAATATATTATGTTTAGTCCACATATTGTTCTGCGGTATCACAACATATTGAAAACGAAAAAAATTCGGTGATAGTTGTTAATTTGGATCCAGCAGCTGAACATTTTGAATACACACCAACGGTTGATATTCGTGAATTGATTCATATTGATGATGCTATGGAAGATGAATTACTACATTTTGGACCAAATGGAGGATTGGTATTTTGTATGGAGTGAGTGATTCTCACCTAACCTCAGTGATATTGAGTGAGATTTTGATTTTAATTTTTATTAAAATATTTTTAATTTGTATAGATATTTAATAGAAAATCAAGAATGGCTTAAAGATCAGTTGGGCGATGATGATGACGACTATGTTATTTTTGATTTGCCTGGACAAATAGAACTATATACTCATATGAAAACTGTGAAGCAGTTGGCAGAATTACTTCAAAACTGGGGATTCAATGTGTGTTCTGTTATGTTAATTGATTCCCAGTTTATGGTTGATGGACCCAAGTTCATTTCTGGTAATATTATTGTTTAGTTTGTATATTTATATTTATTTGGGTATTGCTTAAATATTATGCTGTATCCATATTAAACAAATGCTTTGCCAATAATTTGTCAAACAATATTTCAAATGAAAAATGCTGGTTTTGTACAATTTATTTGTTTGCTTAAATATTTGCCCAACTAATTATTGTCAGTTGTGATTATGCTGTATCTAGAGCAAGTAATGTGTGTTGGATCAAATACCACATAACAATTAATCGTCTTATGTAATCATAATAGCATTTGAAATAAATAGTATTTTGGACTTATTATTTGTATGCATATTACAAATCATTATTTAATGAAATACCTAATTATATTTCCAAAAAAAATATACGCCAATATGTTTGACTTTGTGAGAGAAAATTTTTGTTTATACTTGATGAACAAAATTATTTTTAAATTTGTACTTGTACATGCCAAACATATTTGTTTGATATTTTGGCTGCTTATTAATTGTTTGTTAGGTGTGGATGCAGCTTTAATTGAACTTTAAGTAATCCTGTTTTGTTAACATTTTAATTAAGAAGAATAATTAGAATATTTTATTTTAATATTAAAGTTAAGTATTTCATAAAATTTTTCTCTATTTAAAATATTTTAAATTATGCTTTGGACACCTGAAGAAGTCTGATTTATCTAAGTTTTGATATTGAATCACTCTTTGAAATTTATATGTTACCATTAATATTTGAAAATAATCTACTGATACTGGTAAATGCTGATATTTAGCAAGTTAAAATTTTGAATGAACTCAATTTGTATAATTTTTAATAATTTTGTCATTCATTGGTGATATGATCATTGATGTACACAAAAGACAGTTGGTGTATGTTGAAAAAAAATTCATCTAAAATATGTTGTGTGTATTGACATTCACTACTGAAGGATTTATTTTGTATATTCTATAAAATATATTCAAACATTCACCGATGATTTTCACAGTTGTCAATATCTACTGGTTTACTTATTCCAATTTTAGACATTCACGGTAACATAAATAAAGCTTATATATAAAGAATTAATATTAATATAATTTTAGGTACAATGGCTGCTTTATCAGTCATGATCAATTTAGAATTGCCGCACATTAATGTTCTTTCAAAAATGGATTTATTGAGTAAAACAGCTCGAAAACATTTGGACAGGTAAATATTTAATTTGTACTGTTTGTTTTTAATTTATGTGTAACTATTTTTTAATGTAGTTATCTAGAACCAGATACTCGTGCATTGCTCTCTGATGTAAAAAATAATACAACATGGGGAAAAAAATATCGACATTTATCTAACCGCATTGGTCAGATGATTGAAGATTATAGTCTTGTACAATTTGTACCGTTAAATATAAAAGATGAAAACAGCATTTCTGATTTACAACTTACTATTAATACAATGATTCAATATGGAGAAGATCAAGATGTTCGTATGACTGATTTTGATCAGCTAGATGAAGATGATACAGCAGAAGGTGCTGAAAGTTATGATTAAAATACACTTTTGTAAGCTTACCTTTTATTTTAATTGACGTTAATTTCTAAAGTATTTGTAAGATTGTATTCATTTAATGTTATGTTTGTAATAATAAAGACTGAGTGTATTGCTATTACCATATTGTCAAATTTATTATACAATATATATTATTATACGCAAAAAAAAAAAAAATGTTGAATCCAAAATTTAAACGTTTCAATACTACATAATTTAATAGTTATTGTATTTTAATCTAAAATTATGTTTTCTATATTTTATAAATTATTTAGTGCTCATTTTCATTGGAAATTATCTTTATCCAAATTATGCCATCTGTAAATTATAATACTTGTGTTAGGTTATAATAAAATAATTTCCAGTTTCCTCCATAAGAAAATTACATCAACGAGTAATATAATAAATATTTTCACATTTTTAGTGTTAAGTACTATAGTAATAAATTTGAATCACACTATAGATATTAATTACACAACAATATAATAATGAATTCAGTATGGAATTTTGTTACTAGTGGCGCAGAACCTATATGTAGGTGTGGCTCAATTATAAAAAAATTACTCGGCAAATTAAAAAACAACTTTTTAACTCTCCAACTAAATTAAGAATTCAATAATTGAAAGTCTATAGTTGTTTTTATATTGGAGCAATATATTTATGGCTATATGTTAAAAGGAACAAAATTGACCGTTTGTTGTAATTTTTCGATTGGAGCATTAATTCTGATAGAAAATAATATCATGCATACAAATTTAAAATAATGAAATTTAACCTAACATAACGCCGTGGCGTACTGTAAATATTTATAGTTTTGCCTATAACTTCCTTGCATGACTTAGGTTTAACATCATAAAGAGCTAGGTGGGTATAAATTTATGTTTATTGCCACACACAAAAGATTAGTTAGGCGTCACTGTTTGTTGCTGATTCTGAATCTGGTCTCAGATTTATTCTTGTTTTTGAGAATTGTGTAATTAAATTCAACTAAAAAAACAATTTTTATTTTCCCCCTTAAATATAAATGTATCTATTATATCATTAACAGTTGTGCAAAATTTGCGAACGATCTTTGAAGTTGAACCTGTTTTCTCGAGCCTTTAAATTTGAGTTTAATAATTTATTATCAAAAAATTGAGCTTAATTGTTCACTATTATTTTTTTTTAGTTTAATTCACAATTAATAAAAAGCCAATTTAATAAAAAAAATTTTAAAATGTCATTGATGTGTTGGCTGCGTTTTTAAGAGCTATCATTGCTGTCAGTAGAAAAATGTGTAATAAATACTATTTTTTATAATATTTATTACAAAAAAAAATTCCTATATAGATTTTGCTGTATATTTGGTCTGGACAATCTCTTTGTAAGGTCTCTAGCGATAGTAGGTCATCATATAGCTATCCCATTGGCTTTGGTATCATTTTTAAAGTCTTTATATCCTGATATATCCTTCCCCCCCTTTGTTTCTCACAATGTAGTCTTAATGAAAATAACGAGTAATCCGAGACAGTAGATACCTACCATAATATCATAATGTAGATATATTTATTATATAAATTATTAATTATCAAAAGTGCGTAAAATAAGTAATCACATTTACTAATGAAAACGAAGTATGTCAGAAAAATATTTATAACAAATTATACCTAATGAATTATTGAAAGTTTCACACATTTTTCTATTGACAGCAATATTTATGTCAGCTCTCAATAACGCAGTTATGCACAACTCTTGATTAGTTCAATAAATTTATATTTAAGGGGGGGGAAACCATTTTTATGCATAATTTTTTTTTTATTAAAATTAAACTATATAATTTTTGATTTCTTACAAATTTGTGATAATTTTGATAACAAGAATCAATTATGCAAATTTGAAATCAGATATAAAATCAATAGCAAAATTTCACACATAATTCACTTTGAATTATTGATCGTAAATATTTTTTTTTTTTTTCGTTGTCCAGTGTTATTATCATATTTTTGTTACTTTATTTCCATTATTGGTAATTTTTCTTTTCCGTAATGCAGCAGTTATATTGCCACAAACAATTGATTCAATGGTCAATTTGGGTTTTTCTATTTCTTCAATATCTTAGTTTAATTATAAATGACATATTATTATATTGTATACATTTAAATAATACCTATTTATTGTTTAACTTACTTAAAGTTTGATTTCCATTTAATTGATTCAAGTTTGGTAAAATTGCATGCACTTTTTTATCAAAATTGTCCATCTTAGCTACTGGACATCCTGACAGTGATACATTTTGCAATTGTTCGCAAAAATTTAAAAAATGTAACTTTGTTAAGTCCATAATTTTATTCCTATAAAATTAGGGTCTTAGTTCAAATTAATAAAATATTATATTTATTCTTAATGGTTTCACAATATTTAAGAAACAAATAATTAATTAAAAATATAATAATACATTAAATACCTACCTCGATAAGTCTAAAGTTACAAGTTTAACGAGTGTAGAGCACAACATCAAGTCACTAATTTCATTGTCAGGGGCATATAACTCTTCCACATTTGGTATGTTCCAAACTCCATCCAATGTCTTTAGATTGCATGAAGCTACTTTTAGAATTTTTAAATTATCCAGTTTGAACGCGAAATCTCTACAAAAATATTTTATTTTAATCAAATGGTATTATGGTTTTCTTTTTAAATTACTTTTAAATTAACCTGAATGAAAGAAGGAAACTATCGGTTAAGTCAAGCTCTACTAAATTTGGTACATATGTACCTAGCATACATAAACGGTTTACAGACATTGGAGCTTGTAATTTGAGTGAAGTTATTTGATCCAAATTTTTGTTTTTCACTGTATCTTCCTTAAAATTAAATTTGAATAATTATAGCCGTATTATATTACAATAATTATTATTATTTAGGTATTTTAAACTTAAAGCTACTGTATAAGTAATATCTGTATTAAACATATTAATTATTAATTAGTTAGTATTACATACCTAATTAGTATTTTACAGAAGTGTATTTTTTTTTAAAAAATATAGGTACCTGAGCATCTAATAAACAAATGACCTTATATCTAGTTAGGTTCTATTAGAACAGTACAGTTCTCAATACCTAAGTCATTTTATAGTGTATACCTACCAATAGTGTTGTTATACCCATATTTCTGGTGTTATTGTTTATTTCGTCCAAGTATGGATCCATAATAAATTGTATATAAATAATTATAACACAACAAATTTTTACAAATCTATTAGTTGAGATCAATTTTATTTCTGTTGTTAAAATATTATTCCTTAGTGTTCTTTAGTAGGTATATAGATACCGATTCGTGTCACAAAATAATATGTAAGATAGGCATCCATGGTTACCTGCTATTATTGTTTAATCATTATTCCTGATTATTCATTGTTCATGCCGAAAGAAATAAGATTTATTTGTTCGATAAGTTTATTCAATTATCGTTGTTTAATGGTATAAATTTAATAATTTTATGTACTTATCCCACCTACAGCAGTGATGTACCCATCAGCAGTACCAGCACTTTTTTTTTGTAATTCAGTTTTACTCAGTCAATACCTACCTACTTGAAAATACCTTTTATATATGCAATTGTCTTCCTAGCTATATTTCAATTTTCAACAATTTTATCATATCCAAGTACTTATTACAATATTGGGTAAGTAGTGGGTGACCTTTCATAAAGCAGTTTAGAATTTTACATAATTTTATTAGTGACTTATTTAAATTTTTTTTTTTAGACAGAGTGACTATCTAAGGAGGTTTTAAGTAGGTTTTGAGTGTCCAAATGAACAGTAAAGTCCATTGGACACCCACTAGAGTAAGATTTTATTTAGTGAGTGTCTATTAGAAAATAAATATTTAACTGACGAAATGGTAGATTTTGGAACAAGATGTTATATATCCAAGGAAAAACTTTGGTGACAGGAGAGATAACCAGGGAGAGTCTAAACGTTTATGGTAATGTAGGGTTTATCTGCACGTAGGGATTTTTTGAGGAAAGGGGAAGTGGGCACGTAGTGAAAATATATTAAAATACACACCTACCATTGATTTTATAGTAGGTAGGTACCAGGTATTATAAAATCAATCCGCCAATTTTCAATTTCTATTTTCTAATTTAAAATTTTAAAATTATGAAGCTCTCAAATATTTTAAACTGAAACGAAATCAGTTTGAGCATGGTTTTAAGTTAGGTACTTCATTTTTGAATTATATAGGTACTGGATTTAAATAAATATCAAATTATGAAATTAAAATTACATATTATTTTATTCATTATTTAAATATTATTTTTAACAACGTCAAATGTCCATAAAAAATTGTTTCGATCGTATTTGAATTATTAAAAAATGCATGCTATTTCTTTTTATATGTGTGTATATAATCATTAATGTAATTTTTAGATTCGGAGCGGATCTCGATATCAGACGAGTGATTTATTTGTTTCTTCCATGGACTTATGCATTTTTGTTATCACGGGAGAGAACTGTTCAAGTTTTTAATCTGGAATTTGCTATCTACAACAAATTTTTTTTTGACAGTCGTTTTCTAGTTTTTTTTTTCTGTTGTCCCGTCTCAAAAGCCGGAGGGCTCTTCATAAGATATACCTAAAAGTGAGTACATTTTTATGTTATTCTATATTTAGATTGTATATTAAAGGCAGTGCTTGAATTTGAAAAATTAAAGAATGGGGACTATGTGACTTAAAAAAAATCAGCAACCTTTGCAATGACCCGACTAATACCCATTAAACCGTGGGGAGGAATACACTATAATTTTTGATTAAATTATTGGGGTTCTCGGTCCTTCCCCTCAATTTGAGCACAACATAATGGTCAAGAAAAGAACAGTGTGCTCATAGCTTTGTAATTTATTACAGGATGTTTACCAGTTTAAAAGAAACGATTGTCAATTTTGTGCAGTCCCCTTTCGGCATTGTTAAGGCTGAAGAAGAATTAGTTGACCCTGCCAAAGTTTTGAGGGTATGTTTATTAAATAAAAATACCTAGGTTTTATAATTTAACTCAATATGTTTTGAATCTTTAGACAAAATGTGAGCAGCAAAATGCAGCACAAGAACGATTTGCCAAGTTGCAAGAGTGCAATGAACGTGTCAACTCTAAAAAGAAAACTGCTGAAACCTGTGTTGAAGAGTTGTGGGATTTCTTAGAGGTTGTTGACAAATGTGTTGCAAAAGACTTATTTGATCATCTGAAATGATATTAGTATGCAGTTTAAACAGTCAATTGGCTTAGGTATTTCATGTGGTTAATTTATTCAGTACCTAATAAAATTAAAATTATTAATTGATTAATAACTCAATCATAGTGAAATTATGTACAATAAATGTATTCTTTAATCAAACAAAGTTTCCATATTAAATAATTGAATAATTGAATATAATACAAAAACTTACTTTAGTTTACCAGAATGGTTCAAACAATTTTACATTAATATCAACAGTTTATTTTTCATATTTTAGTTGTGTAAATGGTTTAGTAAACATATTTACATTTCTAACTTAATAAATTGAATATCGTTATTTAATATTATTTTTTTATCAAAAGTGATTGCTTTATTGCTATTATTGTTATTTAGATCAAGTGTAACGTGTACTTGTAATAATAATTTAGTACATATATTATATATATATATTTGTTTGTATGTATAATATGTATTTATTTTATTTTATAGAACAAATGGGACTAGCCCAAAACTAACAACTCTAGAGATAAAAATAAGATTTACAAAAGGAAGTGTTACATTACCTCTGGTTTATGAGGTGAATCTGGCTTGTCATTATTTATTATCTGATCTGTAAAATATTCTTGCGCTTAATTACGTACATTTTAATATTTTACATTTTCATAAAAATTTAAAAACATTTAGATTTGGTCATCATTATTTATGGCCAATATTCCTGGTATGGCTTTCATTTTTATTTTATTTGTTAGGTATAGTGTAATTTTATAATTGGTTGGCCATATGGTTATTGTCGTGTCCATCCACATTAAATAATTTACTGAATATTAGTTTTTACTAATCATAGATAGTGTGATGATGATCATAGAACGAAAAAAATTAAATTTTAAATTTTAATACCAGTTTTTCAATCTAATGTTTTTAAGACTTTGAAACTCAAACACTGTGTTGATATTTATTAAATTTATAATGTATTTATGGTTTAACGTTGCATTTTGTTTAACAATTGATTTAAATAGATTAAATCAAAAATTAATAGGAAAAAGTTTTTAAGAGGGCCATATGTTTAAACATATGAAAAAAAAAAAAAATAAATACAAAATAAAATCTTAATTGATATTGTCTAGTTATTCACTATTTTTTATTGCCAATTATGTTATTTAAAAATAGGATTATAAATGTATAATCTTGACTTGCCATAAGAAATCATTTTAAATTTTTGGTTCATCAAGAATATTTTTTTTTTTATGGCTCGCTATAAGAGTATTAAACAAATGTTGTTAATATATATATATATATATATATATATATATATATAATCACATATAAAATGGCTAAATAGTAAGCTAAGGATCTATATTTGCAAAACAAAGGTGGGTTGAGTAAAATAAGAAGTGGAACTACATATTATAGATAACATTTTTTTGAAAGTCTGAAACCTATTATAATATTTACTCTTGCTATTATTATTTATTAGTAAACAGTACCAGTAAAACAAAAAACATATAATACAAAATGTATACAAAAACATGAAATACGTAGTACACTGAACAAGAATACTCGTTATCTGATGTCCAATTTACATTGCTATTAAATAAAAGTGAATAGTCTTTATTTTAAAACGTAAGTTTTATATTGATGTATTGACAATTGACACTGCTGTCACACAATTGCATAATAGATTTGTGAATCTTATTAAAATAATTGATTTTTTAGTTGTATTTTACAAATAAATGGGGTATACTAGGGTTGCCAGATTTTTGAAATCCCTAAACCGGGACATGGCATTGAATTAATTTTTTTTTTAGAATGCTTTTGAAAATACTTAAGTACGATAATTTTGGTGTAATTTACTAGTATATTCATCATTGATAATGTTATAATAATGTAATATTATTCTATGTTTTATTATTAAATAGTAGAAAAAAAACTTAAAATTAAAATATCCATAAGTAGTCCAAATGTATGGAAAATTTTAATACATCAAGAAAAATCAAGTATACATTTTCTGTCAACATTTAAAGTCTACGGATATTTTAAACTGATTACATTAAAAAAAAAAAAAAAATTAAAACAATAAAATAATTATTTTTGTAAATTTTACCATTTTTTTTCTACTAATTTTTCGATTTTTCTCAATTATAAAACAAAAAATTAAAAATAAAATCAAAAGATAAATTATTTGGATTAAAAATAGAATAATAAAGGTCTTGTTTTTTTATTTTTGGAGAAATATTTATAGTAGACAACATAGGCCATACAAATATAATTAATTATTAACAATAATCACCATAATTAATGTAAAACCGACTTCAAACTAACTTCGTTTCAGTTAAAATATTAGTGATCTAAATAAATTTAAAATTCGAAAATAGAAAATATAAATTATAAGTTGCTTGATTGATTTTATAATGCCTAGTTACATTATAAAATCAATAGTATTTGTGTAAATAAAAATTAAACAAGTTATTAATAAAATTATGTAAGATTCTTAACTGTTTTATGAAAATTAACCTACTACTAAGCTACTTAATAATTTCATAAGTACCTAGATACTATATAATTCTTGAAAATTGAAATTTATATAGTTAGGTAGAGAATTGCATGTATACAATCTTCATGTAGGTATTGACTGAGTAAAATTAAATTTCTAGAAAAAAGTTGGTAGTGCTGATGGGTGCCACTGTTGTAGGTGAGAAGTTAGGAAAGTAGAACAGGTATATAAAATTATTTATTATTTATTTATATTAGTAAGCAACAATAAATGGTAAGGGAATATACGGTAGTGTTCAAAATTATAATTTTTCGAAAAATCAAATGACATTCTAAATTGCATAAAAAAAAACCATTTCTTGTCATTTTTCAACTTGGGAAATATTTCTTTTAAAAAATATAAGCCATATAAATGTAAAGTAATTATTACAATCTTGATGAAACTATATATTGTTAAAATCAAAATCACAATTTTCATGAAGGTTGCGCAACTATAAGAAACTTTTGTTTCGTGAATTCCAGTGTACGTATCTGTTTTTTAATTGAATGGTTTCATGAAACTAAAGTTTCACGTTTCATGAAATTGGTTCCATAAAATTAGTTTCTTTAGTTATCCTTCCTAAAACAAAATGGAAAATAATAAAAGCATTATTTCCGTAATCTTCCCATTTCTTTTTATATTTTATTTTTCAGTTTTGTTTAATTATTAGAAATACTTCACTGAAAATCAATAAATTAATTTCTCAGTCACCAAATAGACTAAAATGCAACAACTATGGTCTCGTGTCGTTTTTCTATTGGAGCAATATTATTGTTAGAAAACAATGCGTACAAATTTAAACTAAAGAAATAACGCCGTAATTTGATTAGTTTTAATTTTTCGAATTTTTCCGGTTTTTCTCCCAATCATTATGGAAACTTCTGGAAAAATCAAAAACTTTAGTTATTTACTCAGCAAATGGATCTAAAATTCAATGAAAAAAATCACTTAATAATTTTTGATTAGAGCCGTACCTATTTCTAGTAGATAACATCGAGCGTAAAAATGAAAAATAAAATCTGTAACCCCGTGATACGCCGTAAATATTTGCCGTTTTTTCTATAATTTTCTTTCGGGTTTTCTCCATTTATTTCGAATACCTCTTAGAAATTCCTTATTATTCGAAGAAGATTTATAGCTAGTGAAATTCACTCTCTATTGAATACCATTCCCTAAAATTTTGGTTATAGGTAATTTTAGTTCTAACATTTAATTATTTTTGTTGAATTATGGGTTTCCGTGGTAGCACGGATGGCAAAAATATGAAATCCATGTACTGGTGTGGGAGTATCTATGGAAAAATTAATTTATTAATTTCTTAGTGCACAGTCTATTCTATCTGAACATTTATCCATTTTTGAGAAGTGTTCATCGCAGATAGTTCACAACAATTTGGTTCTTCAAAATGCTACCAATTAGACGTATTAACTTAGGTCGTAGAGGTCGTGGTTTGAGAGGAATGTGTTGTGGTGATGAAATAATAGTGGTGCTAAATAATAATATATTTTTGTTTATTGTATGGTTGCTATTGGTTGCAGATTAAAATAATAATAGTATATTAGTTACTATTGGTTAATCAGGCATGTTTGTTGATTTGTATTATTTTTTTTCAATTTTATAATTAGTTAAAATTGTAATGGTGTCTGAGATTTGAACTCGATACCATTGCATTAATATTATAAACGTTATCTTTATATACACTATAGACAAAAATGTAAAAGGTTGATCAAAACGTATTTATGGTAATTAATAACGCACAAGATTGCAAATAAAATCTTTTTTAAAACTTAAGTCTGTTTAAGTGTATGATTCTTACTGGCTGTGAAGCTGGGAAAATGGTCTTACCAATGATATCAACCAATCTATCATTCCATTTTAAAAAGCTCCAATTTCCCGTGAAACTATATTTTTCAATGACCACCAATAAAGCACAATGTTGAAACAAACATTAAATGTTGCTGGTTTAGAGTTTAGACCTAACCGTCCAATGTTTTTCCTATGGTCAATTGTATGTCTATCACGTGTCATATGCAAAAAAAAATTGCTGGCCCCAGAAGGTGAGACTCTTAACGTGGTTTATCCAGAAATATTTAATGCTTAAGGTAAACCATAATTTAAATTTAAAAATATATGCCATAACAGAATACTTTTAGTCTGCCGAAGGTGGACTACCCACTTTTCACAAATTTGTTTTTATTCATAACTGATAATGTCAAAACCAAAAGGAATATGGGTGAAAAGATAATAAAATTTGGCACGGGCGAGGCCGGGCAGGACCTAAAGTAAAGGGATGGGGGCTATTAAACCCCTTTTATTATTTTTTCGATTTTATACATTTTTAAGTGATTTTTTCAAGACTTTTTGACGTTTTCAAGTGCTTTTTGTGGATTTTAAGAACATATAAATCCGGTTTCTAATTATGACGATTGAGTTATTAATTTTGTATCAATATAAATTGTCGGCAAATACGTACATAAAGGTATAAAAGGAACGTCGTGCCATCTGAAAGTGACGACTATAATACAGTTCACGCATTCTCCCACCGCCGAGCCTACTTCCCGATAGGTTAGGTTAGAATTCATTTCCTTTGAAATCTCATCCACTTCAAAATTCGGTGTTATGAAAATCATGAAAAAATGTCACAACATAACACTTTTAGTCCGCTGAAGGTGGACTACCCACTTTCCACCTATTTGTTTTCATTCATAACTGATACGGTCAGTACCAAAAAGTAATATGAATAAAACAAATAATAAAAAATTGGCACGGGCAATGACGGGCGGGACAGCTAGTGTTTTAATAAATTTAAATTGAACAAACTATGGATGATTCGTAACATTTTTGTATTAATTTGAAACTACAAATGAATCATTTTTTAAAAATGTTCATGTTCTTAAGTTTATGTCATACTCTTGTTTTAAAAAAATGAAAGGTTTTTAACTACCCACCTACTTGCAACTTACAAATAGACCTGCAGTCAACTACATAGATAGGTACCTAAGTATTAGGTGGGTAAAAATATCCAAATATTATTTTCCAATTGCTAAATTGAAGACAACGGTATTTTGTAGTGTTGTCAAGTTGCCAGCAACTACCATAAATACAAAAAATATAAATATATATATATATATATCTTAGGGTAATATTTAACGTTCCTACGTTTCATTATTTTAAAATCTATTGTTAAGGTTGCCTAAATAAACACTCGCTCGTTTTTCTGTAATCATTTATTCATCGTAAGACGGTTTTTGACAGCTCAACGTGAAACAAATCACAGAGTGCCTATACGCACGCCTGGCAAATAGGTATAACATATTAATACGACAGAATTGGACGATTACTTTTAAAACGTACATTTTCCATACAAGTCCTATGGCGTTAACTAATATATTATTATTGACGCTCTGTGCCAATTGGCCACCTTCAGACATTACAGTGACTACTGTTCCTCCGCCGTGGCAATGGAGTAAGTTATTTATACGTTTTTCATATAGAAAAGATCATTACTATTTATGTGTACCTATAGGCCTAATAGCATGTACACATTTTTTTTCATCTAAGTGCGTTATAGCTGTAAGTTAAGTTGTAATGTTGGTTTGGTATGTAATCAATGATGGAACATGTAAACAGGAATCTATTAAACATAACCGCGGTGATGATACCTATAATTGATCTGCCATTGAAAGAGCTTATAGAAGTGGAAGGACATATTTCTAAGAGAACATCAACATTTAAATGCATAGAAATACCTAGTAAATACCACAGTAAAATGTGAACTAATTCAAGTTGTGTACGATCAACAGAGGAGGGGGAGAGGCTGGAACTTCTTTAGTTCGTCAAATTTTTTTTGCTAACAAATATTTGTAGTATATACAAACTAATAACTGTCATTTGGTTCATAACGAATCAAACATTGAATGCAGTTTTTAATATTTAAAATTATCATCTACTCTTTAAAAATAGGTAGCTTATTAAAAATTTGTCAGTAATCATATTACTTTAAAGCATTTATTTTCCATACAGTCTCTGAACATAAAGCAAAACATATGAATAGCAGTAATTATCAATGTGATCTAAAAAACAGCCAGCAAATTCAGCACGAAATATTGCGGGGCAAACGATTGAAAATCGCAACATTTCCTGTGAGTATAATAAATAACGCAGGTACCTACTTCGACTGCCCCAACTAAAAAGGTATTATCTCATTTTTAATAAAAATATTTTAAAACAAACATATACAGTTGTTTTTGATGAAAATCAAAGTTGTAGTAAATTATGCAATTAATAAATATCTAATCTCTGTGGATTTTTTGAGATATGATCGTTTTCGTGGGCGATAGAGAAAACACTCCACTACTAGATCACCCTACTAATAACAAGAAATATTACTTCATCGAGATATTACCTTTTTCGCTGGGCAGTCGACTTATACATGTGTATACTGCCGTGTCCTAATCGAATAAACTATAAATAAAGCTACGGACATACTTCGCACAATGGTGGGCTACTGTTGAAGGAAATTGGGAAGGTTGAGGGAAAATTTAATGTATATCTTTACGTACCTTTAATGTATATTTTTTCGGTTTTTCCCATTTATTATGAAAACTGCTGGGGAAATTAAAAAATGACCACCTTAAAGTACCACCTCAGTTAGATTTTTTTGAGAATAAGTATTCCACTTGAAAATTGGAGTAAAATGTATGGTAGAAAAGTTGTTCACAGATAAAAAAAAAAAAAAAAAAAAACATCATTGTAAAACCATTGTATTCTTCGCTCGGCTCAGAATCTAAAAGGTAGAAATTAGAAAAATAATTCATAAACTCATGTACGTGTATCGTGTACTGTGCTGAAATGTATTTTTAGTCATTTTTCACATTCATAAAAATTCTATATCTTAAACAAATGCTAGAAAAAATTAGGTTGAAACAAATCACGAAAAACTGTTATTGAAAAAAAAAGGTTACATAAAGAGTTGTTTAATTTTTACCTGTAAGCAACAATAAACCATTGCAAATGAAAAACGATTCAGAGTGACATTCGGTTATACATGTTTTGATGGGCTGTAAAATTTACGATTTTCGTCAAAATTTGATTTTAAAATTCTTAAAAAAAAAATTACATTACACTGTACTAAGCCACGTAGTATACGCATAATACTTTTTTCGTGATTTTTATGTTTTTTTGTTGTTGTAATTTAATTAAACAAAACCGTAGATACCTGAGTTTTCTCTGAATTCTTATATTGGCCCTTTTTTTACAGGTAAAATTATTCTGGTCATTTTTGAATTACCTATCTATTATAGCCATTTAAAACTTTGAGTTTTATTTGATTTTACGTAAATAAGATAATATGACTTCTTATTAATGTTTAAAAATTAGATTTCCTCATTGATTTATTATTGTTATGACGATAAGAAAAAACTGTAGTCTCGGTTTAAAATTTAAATTTGTAAAACAAGCTTTTAATACATGTTTAACCAAATTTCGCTCCGAATCGTTTTTTCTTAACAATAATTTATCGTTGAGTCCAGATAAAACGGGTTAAGACATTTAGAGGCCCCGGAACTAAACTTTTCAATGAGGCTCTTGTTGAAAGGCTAAATTTATACATTTTTTAAAAATGTTTATTAATCAATGTGTTTTAACAAAAAAAAAAAAAATGAATAGTATAGATACATTATATAGATCTCAACTCAAAGGCCACAAGTATTATTTAAATAAATACATATATTATTTTTAACAAAGTTACTAGTAGTTTAAACTATATAACAATAAGAATAAGTCACCATTAGGCAACAAAAAAAATTAAAATATCAGAATGCAAAGTTAACGGTCAAATACATACGTATAAAAAATAATACATAAAGAACATACTATGGCAAAAACCGAGGCCTTGGGAGTCTGGTGGTCCGGGAGTTATGGCCCTCCCTGAACCTCCCTTAATTTGGGCTTGAGTACAAATATAAATAAATAAAATGATCCTGTGTATTCTACCTTCCTAACTTGCCCACTATATAATAGTACTGCAGCGGCCCTCACTATGCTGCCCTTTTATACATTTCATGCGGCTCGTACTAAAACTGAGTTTTACATTTATAAGTTTAACATACTACACTTTTAAAAAGCAAATAAAATAAAATACATGAAATATTTTTTATTGAACTTATCTTATTATTCTTATTGATTTCATCTATCATCTATTTTTACCATTTATTAAATTACCAGTTTGACAGTTAAGTAGTTACGAAAATGAGTTTATTTAATACAAAATAAAATACGACAATCGAAGACCCTTTTTATTTAGGTCAGTACTGCGCAAATTCAAATTGATTTACTGCATGCGGCCCATAAGTAATTCTAGAAAATGATATTCAATCTTTTCCAAAATCCTAGTGGAAACCGTTACATTAGTGACACACTCATCAACAGTATACATTTTGTTTTTTGTACAGAATTCAAAACCTTTAAGTTGGGTTACAAAAGAAATAAACGGTACACTCATTGGCCATGGCATTGCATTCGAAATTGTGGAAACTCTCCGTCAACGGTATGGTTTCACCTATGACGTTGTGGTGCCGAAAAGAGAAACTCTGTTAAATGAAAACGGTAGTATCATGTACATGCTAGTCAAAGGGGTAAGATATAAAAAAATAAAAACTAATTTTCGTTAATAATCATAACTATGATGTATTTATTTAATAATCATATAAATAATCAGATTAGTAATTTACGTGATTTCAAATTGAATACATTGATAGGAAAATATATTTAATTAGGAATTTATCATTGTGTACATTTTACTAAGTATATCAGATATTAGAATATATAAGACATAACAGTTATTTGAACTTTAAAAATTGTATGATTAACTGTATTATATATAATTACTATAGGGATAGCTATAATGTTAGTCAGATTTACTAAAATTATGTAGTTATGGTAACTATAATAATAATAGTAACAGCTAAAACACTTTTAGTAGTAAATACTAATTACTAAACATTTTAGTAAATAAACATATATTTTAAAGTAGCCATTACTAAATTTTTAGTCAATACTATCAGTACAAAGTTGAAAATAATAAATGCGAGAAATAAAAATGCATTAAAGCTCTTGCCACAGAATATAGAACTTGGAACCTCTACACCTAACGCAAATCAATTTAACCACTAGACTACCTACATAACTATTGATATTGGGGACCGTTTCATGGGTATATAAGCTATCAAGTCACTTTTAAGGTAACTAAATAACTAGTTCATATTTATCCGGCCTTGAATTTACAAGCGGAGGGGATATGTTGGGTTCTATTACATAATTATGTAGTAAATATATAATGTATCATATTTTATATTATTTTATTGGTATGCATGTTAGTTAAGGTACTCACTTTGACGAGTACCTTAACTAACATTCAATGACCTTAATACTTTAAAAATTTAATTTAATAAACATTAGCTAAATCGTCTAATATCTTTAATGAATTAATAAGATTGTCGGAGATGTATTATGAGTAATTAATAATTAATGAATGATTAATGACTATATATCCTAAGCCTAACCTGTTAATAACTTAGTTCTTTTAAAATTTAAGGAACTTATGAAATCGTACCATTTTCTTCAGACTAAGTGAATTTAATACGGACATTTCTTTTTTCCCAAACAATGTTATATGTAGGTACTTATTTTTATTGTAATTTCAACTATTAATATTAGTAAATTATTTTAACTATATTTTTGAGACAATTTAAACATTTAAAAAATGTAGTAACTATAAAATATAGTAAACATTACCATAACAAACAACTATATTTATATACGTATATTACGTCTTCATAGTTATTTATACATTTGAAAACGTAATTAAATGTTAATCGTTCTTCGTTAATTTAATTGATTTCCAATCAAAAATGCATTAGTTTAATTTTTACAGAACTTATTTAACCATCAAATGATTCAAATGTTTGTTTTTCAATCATTTTTTAATTTATTAGAGTACATATTTATTTTTTTACTGTTTAAAAATAAATGCTATTTAAAAAAAAAAACTTGGAGGTATACTTCATCAAAATAATTAATTAGGCAAGTACTAGAATCTATAGATTGATTTGTACTTAATATTAATGACTATATACACAGCATTGTATATCTATTACTGTCCAGTACCCATTTTATGTATTGTTTTTTAAATTAACACTGATTAAAAAATATTATTTTTAGAATGATTTGAGTAATAATTTTAGCTGATACTCTTTAATACTTTAATGTGTATCAATTATATATTTTACATATATATATATCTATTATATACCTATTTGCTTCAGGAAGTAGATATGGCAGCTGCTTTTATACCGGTTTTGCCGGGATTGGACCATATTGTCAAGTGGGGAATTGAATTGACTCAATTTCAATATGTTGTACTAATGAAAAGACCTAAGGAAAGTGCTACTGGATCTGGTTTATTAGCGCCTTTTGAAACCGAAGTAAATTTTTAAAAAAAAAAAAAAAAAAAAATGCTTATATTATTCTGTATGTAGTATGTGTAAGGTAAATTGATTTTACTTTTTCAGGTTTGGTTGTTGATTTTAATATCTTTGATAGCGGTGGGGCCAATTATTTACGGTATTATGTTATTGAGACACAAACTTTGCGGTCATGAGTCTGTTGTGTATCCAATACCCTCATGCGTATGGTTTGTGTACGGTGCTTTAATGAAACAAGGGTCATCTTTAAACCCAGATACCGGTACGCATAGCGAGTGGAAGAGCTTAAATTTGTAGATTTCTGTTTTTCAATAAGTACTTAAATTCGTATACAAACTTAAAATAAATATATCGTAGGTATATTTTACATATTCTAAACAATACTCTGAATTTAGAATAACTTGTTTTGATAATATTTCATTGTGATCCGAACATTGCGTATGATTATACCTATTTTAATCTAAATATTATAATCTAATATGTACTTACTATTTAACATAATATTATGTAGATTCTGCCAGATTGATATTCGCCACGTGGTGGATATTCATAATGATATTGACCTCGTTTTATACGGCCAATTTGACTGCGTTTCTAACGCTGTCTAAATTCACATTGCCAATTAAAAGACTTGAAGACATTGCGGATAACGAGTACCGGTGGATCGCCTCGGAGGGTAGTGCCGTAGAGTACATTGTTAAAGTGGACAACGATCTGGAGCCGCTCAAACAATCGATGTTTGAAGGAAACGGACAGTTTATGGAAATAAATATCGACGAAATTCAAACGATTTTAAATTATATATCGTCGGGTGATTGTTATAGTAATGAATAATAATAAACTAAATTGATAATTAACGAATTTTAACATCGACGCACGAAATATCACAGGCCTATCTACCTATAAATAACATTTTTAATAAACAATCTTGTTTATATTATAAATTATTTTCGCAGGAACGCTGCTTTTACACAATAAAAATTGGCTCAATTTTTTAATGTTACACATCGAGAGATCAATAACGGATGACAAGGAACGGTGCCGTTACGTGTTGACAACGGATCCGTATTTAACGAGATCAATGTCATTCGTCTACCCTAAGTACAGTATTTTACCGCCGCTATTTAATGAAATGTAAGTTTACAATATTTCTGATATTTAATGTTAAATATTTGATTGTATTGTATTATTGTTTATTTATTTTTAATCTGATTAATGATTTTAATTTAATTATTACTGCGCATGCAGTTTCCAATATTCAATACGAATAAATAACAGCAGATGTGTGACTAGGACGTATGTATCCCATATACTTATACTAAATTTTATAGTACCCGTGGATTATATGTGTAGGAATATATTGTATAATGTATAAATTACTGAAATATTATACAATTGTGCAAACGATTCAATTGCATGATGCAATTTACGAGTGATACAGTGGTAAATAGTAAACACCCTCTATTTTTACCCCTTCCAGGTAATCGCAACATGTTTGAGAACATTTTGACATTTATATCTGTAAATAATGTAGAACATGTTTGAGTATATAAATAAATTACGTACATTTTTACAAACAAACTGAATATCCCTTGGTACTTTTGTATATTATCCTGATTGTCTCTGATTCCATGAATTCCGTTATTCTGGTTTTTTCATCTCCCACCTCTTGCTTTATCCAATATCGGTATCAGGTTTGGTCGGTTATTTGGATCAACCGGTAGGTTAGGTTTTCGTTACTTTTTAATAGAGATACGGTTTACATATACCTTTGAACGTTGTATTAATTTCGACCTACCTAGAGTATTAAGGTTAAAACATAGGTACAAAATGGGGGTCTGTATAGGCTTCGACCACCTCTCAATAAGCCAAGCTCTCCCAAATCCAAGTCCTTATCAAATATCAAAAAACTATTACGTTTAAATAACCAGTATTATGGGGTGTCGAGCCCTCGAAAAATATTTGTGCTATTATTGCGGCTACAACTAATGGTATTTACACCAGGTATTCGGTCGCAAGCTATCAGTGAATATCCACGGTGTTAGTAAGGCACGTGTTTAAAAAAATTAAATACCCGCTGATGTAAGCCGATGCCTTTAATACTAATAGTATTTTATAGCGGGTTTAATATTCAACTACTACAAATAAACACGTGCCCACACTCGATATTTAAACTTTGGATTTCAATCGTCTTCTATAATTACCTATTATATTATAAACGCTGCAGTATACCTGTTCTATGATGTGCCGCAGAATGTTGTCGTACATGGAGTCGGGTATCGTAAAACACCTGCAAACCAAAGACCTGCCGGAAGCGGTCATCTGCCCGCTGAACCTGGGCAGCAAAGAGCGGCAGCTCCGCAACTCGGACCTGTACACCACGTACGCGGTGGTGGTGTGCGGGTTTTCGATGGCCGCGGCCGTGTTCACGCTCGAGTTGCTGTCCACGCGCACCGGTTGGTTCGTGGCAGCCGAGTTCGCGGTGGATGGCCGCCGACACCACGGACACAGCGCCGTCCAGTCCGAGATCTCGGCCTTCGGCAGACCGTCCAAGTCCGTGTATCCGTTCAGCCATCGGGACAACGTGAACGCCGCGTCCGCCACCAGGTTCGCTTTCGACGGCGCGCAGTCCGGTCGAGGATTCGCCGCCGTCGACAACACCTGCTATAATATCGCCGGCGGTGGCGGCGGCGGCAGTGGCGGTGCCATGAACATTGCGGCCAAAGTTTCGCCATCGTTGCTGTTGTTCAACGGGAAATCGTTACCGCGTTTTCAATATTAGCGTGTGAAAATCGCAAAAGATGACGGCATTTTGTAACAAACTTCAGAACCGTTTTTCGTTTGCGACGGATCATTTATCATTGCATACAGTCCGTACAGATATGAATTCAATTATGTGTAGAGAAATAATATTGCTCTACCTTCCCAACTTCCCACCTACAACAATAATGGCATACCCATCAGCAGTTTATCAGATCTTTTTTTTTTAATATTAAATACTAGCTGTCCGGCCCGTAGTTGTCCGTGCTAATTTTTTATTATTTGTTTTATCCATATTACCTTTTGGTATTGACCATGTTGGTATAAAATGAAAACAAATAGGTGGAAAGTGGGTAGTCCACCTTCGGCGGACTAAAAGTGTTATGTTGTGACATTTTTTCATGATTTTCATAACATCGAATTTTGAAGTGGATGAGATTTCAAAGAAAATTATCTAACCTAACCTATCGAGGAACGCTCGTACTGTATTATAGTCGTGACTTGCAGATGGCACAACGTTCCTTTTATACCTTTATGTACGTATTTGCCGACAATTTATATGAATACAAAATTAATAACTCGATTGTCATTACTCATAATCTTTATGTATTAACTGAAGATAACAAATTGATTCCATAGTGTGTCTGTATAACCATGCATACCACGTATCCAGGCAGCAATTTCACAAAAACAATGCATCGCGAGTACAGGTATACGAGTGTACCACGATTATTATTAGTGTTGTGGCGACGTACGTACGTTTTAAACTTTGTTTAACTAATATTATTTTGCTGTTTGGGGTGTAAGTCTATCAAAACTCAATGAAAATCAGTATTAAATTAAACTTTTAATATAAGGCGTAAATTAACTTCTTGAAAAATTCACTCAACTAACTCAAAACTGTATAAACGTTCAGATCGAATAGACTGTTTATTAAAAAATAAATAAAATAATTTTTTCGATAAATGTCGACCGATGCAGCTGTCAAACGACATTTATCATATTCACTATATACAAAGAAATGAAGAAATGACAATAAGTACGTCAGTTGTTAGACGATAGGTTAGACTACGTCTACCATAGAGTAAATAAAGATAACTGAGAAAAAACGTGTATAATGTTAGTGAAACGGTATCGAGTTCAAATCCTAGATATCATTAATAAGTTTTTGCAATTTTTCTTCTTATTCGGTTGACTTTTTGAAACTGTCTTTGTTATCTTGTCTGGAAAATTATGAATACAATAAAAAAATAAAAAAATAAAAATCAGCAAAATTGGTCAAGCTGTTCTTTCGTGATGTGATGACCAACGGAAATAGGGATTCATTTATATATATATATAAATTATGTACAAACTCTTTTCAAACCGTGGAATTCGACGGTATTAGTGACAATAATATTAACTAATCCATATCCATATCAATTGCAGATCATAGGTTAGGGAAAATATTAATTATCATCGCAAATTAATCGTATTTTCATCTATGTATGCATGAATGTGTAAATAGGTTATGATAATAAAATATTAGTGTTAATTCATAATCAATATTAATCAGCAACTCATAATTATTCATATGGTGGTATCTAATCTATACATAAATAGGCGATACTTAGTCATATTGCTAAATTTAAAATTGACCTATAATTATTGACAAGATCAGCCTGGAAAATATTGAGGTCCTGTGCAGAATTTTTTTCGGGGCCTCAATTAGTTTTTTTTTTTTTGCTTTTCATAGTCTAATACCAATTGTAGGTAATCTATACAATACAATTTTTCTTGGTTCTTATTAGTTTTAATCTGTATTTTACTAAAATTATTGTGACTAGATGCGGGGCCTCTAAAAGCGTGGGGCTCTGCGCGAGTGCGCAACTTGGACTGCTTTCAAACTGGCTCTGATTTATCAATTACTACTTTTATGCTCGGTTGCATCAAACTTGTCGTTATCTATTGATACATTTACCGTTTAATATTTATATAGGTAGTAATAAATTAAAATTTTGACATGCGTTAAATTTGCGAGTGTTGTAAAACGCAAAACATTGATAACGAAATTTAACTATAGGTATACATACAATTTCACCCGACGATAAACAGATCTGTAATTTAACTCGACTCAATAAAATACATTTTTATCAATAGATAAAATTTAAAACATTGTCTGTGCAACAGAATTCACTTAAACTCCTAATAAACGAATTTATCTCTGTGTAAATATTTAGCGCGACCCGGTGTTATATAATTATTAAATATAACCCGAATTGAAAGTATGATATCCGAGTATATTTGATATTAAAGCCTCGATTACATTGTACGAATTTACTCGCCGTGGGTCAGCGAACAAAGTCGCGCGCGAACGAGGTGTGTATATCTGATTACACTGAGCTATTAAATTCGCCTAACCCAGGGGTCGGCA